ATTCATAGTCCAAGTGTATAGGGAACATAATTCATTGCGAGCTCTGGTCACTGGAGCTCTAGGGGTAATACGTACAAACGGGTCGGAGTAGACAACTTCTGAGTTTAATATGCTGGTGGCCATGAAACTACTCAACTAATAACCTGATAGTCTCTCTCTAGCTGGGGAAAGCAGCTCAACTGCCTACACAATTTGGCTTATGATAAAGATAAGAAAACCTGAATCGCCATCACAACGTCCAGAGTGATCATATGATTGACGCTAATTACATGTTAGCTTTATCAGACTTGAAAGACGAGTTGAGGTTGGCTCCCTTAAATATTAAAGAGGCTAGGGATTAGTTGACTTCTTTCTGAGCTCTAAATAAGCTCTATAGAAACTCGACCAGCATGAGTTAATTTTCTCATTTGGAAACTAGAGAACTTAATGACAAAGTCACGACTAATGGAAAATTTAATACCTGGGATGTAGCTCACGGTTATACAAACAAGTGGGATAACAACAACAACAAATCCTTAATAATCTTACGATATAGAGAGCATGTTGCCAGGAAAGATTCTCTGTTCTAAGTGGGAAACAAAGTCAAATGCAAACGCCCTATACATTCCTCTGAGCTTTAGAGGCTTTTCAATCTCTATGGTTGGGTTGGACTAAAGAACTACGTCCACTAAGCGGAAGGCGGGATGTCTATCTACGCGAAAGCACCTACAGAATAAATCACACCGCTTTATCATATGTCTTGATAGGCTTATTAGATATAGCACATAGGTCGAAAAGATACATATTCTAGTGGGCATGAACCATCGGCATCATTGATGTTCGTAATACTTTTAATATTTGTAAGCCTTGTGGACTATCCTAGCGAAGTTTTGCATAGTCGATAATGTTGTGTTTACAGCTGTACTGGCATTCAACAAATTGTAATGTAATTATTATTTCAGTTGGGATAGGGTTGACCGTCGTCAGTAAAAAGCTGTAAAGGTATAGTGTGATGCTTCCCCAAATGATAATGATTGGCACCCTAAAAGCATGGCTATCTACGGGCCAGAGAAGTTCGTAACAACAAAATACACGCAGGGGGATATACATGGCGTAAATAGCGTATCGGTTAATTACTGGGTCTTTATACGGAGCTATTATTTCGACATGTCTTGATCAAACTTGACGGGTTAAACTTATTGGACTTCCAAAGTCACTTCGATTTAAGGATAGTACATTTTCTCTGCAGTAATCGCCGATTTATGATAGTCACAACTTGAATCTACTTAATGCTAGTAGTAATGATTTAATTGGGCTGATAATCTAGAACTACGTAATACTCGCAATTTGGGTTTCATATATACAAGTAAATTTTTACCTTCCGATTTTACTATCATGGATAATAGGGGAACAAGGTATTCGAAGCAGGAAGATTCAGACGATAGTATTTTATTTCACAAATACCATTATTACCTGCCCTCAAGGTCGCTGCAGGCTTCGCATAAAGGACTACCAACAAGCCAGCTACGCAAGTTGTATCAGTTATCAGCCCGCGTTTATGGGTAGGCTCTCGTAGTCTACTCCTCTAGTATTCCATCAACCATAATGCGAACACTATACCCCTTGGCATCTGACATACCATGAATAAACAACAGAAGACCCATCTTCCATGGATCTTTGCCACTAGTCTCTGTATACCGTCAAAATTATTACTCGAGTTTGGGCGTGATTTGATGTTCTCCCGACGCTTCCGCTTTCCTCGCGATTCACAATTTAGGAAATGACGAAATATATCGGCTCGATGTCACACGGACGGAATCATAAGCAGTATCGCTTCGTTGTGTAATATATCGGGTAAAATACGGCGTATACTGTAGATAAAGCATTCAGGACTCGGCAAGCTTCCAGGTGTTCTGGGCTAGGATTGATCTAGCAGGTATTATACTGATAAGATGAAAACATCGCGAAATGCCTTGTCGCCAAGTGCATTACTACAACCATTGTCTTGACATCTTGGCCTCGTGACAGGCACTCACACCTTGCCAACGTACTTGTACACACCAGACCCCCAAGTTACAGTCATAAAAGTTACCTAGCTGTGGAAGTATTCTGTATATCATCTGTTGGAAAGCCTCGTAGGACGAGATTCTTACAAATACTAGACTGTCCGATTCCAGGATCCTTCTGAAATCAGCACATGATATGATGCCGAATGCCCGCTGTGGATACGATTGAGCTTGCCAAGGTTGGTCAAGGCGTGAAACAAATCTTGGTGTAATCGGTTGATTCTATTACTCAACATCAGACGATGCACGTCATTGTAAGGCATACATAGTAGTCGCACCCGTATTATCGCCTTAATCCTTGTATAGCCCTAGATTAATATTCAATAATTGAGGGTACTCGTATAACATCGTGCAGAAGATCATGTAGTTCTAAGGGCTATATTATGGCAGCTCGCTGATTACCTACATAGAAGCTTATAGCCCTGACCGATCTCCTAGAAAAGGGCTTGGGGCTTACACGAAGCGCCGGCTATGAGGAACAGCTTAGGAGTGTAGGCAGGCCATGACATGCTAGACACCCTCGAGCCTCGACGCAAGGCAACAACCAGCATTTAAGCCGTCAGCAATTGTACATTTAGTATCACGTGTCTCTCGAAGGATTTCATCACCGGAACTACCTAATCTAGGTATCCTCAGATGCCAACAGTTCGTACTTGCACTGTTTAGTCAAGCTGAAAAACAGTTGGTCCACCAAAGCCAGTTTTCGTTTCGTAAAGCTGGCGCCTCATTCCTGTGTGACTAACAACTTACACTTCACTTCTCGCTGCCCATGATCTCTGTCCGGTTCCGAGCTGCACATTCTCCAGCTAGCGAAGATCATGCTACTTAACTGAGGACAATACGGCGATTGGTCCTCGTGCCAGGTTGTATTGCAGAACATATAATATTTAATGCTGATAGAACACAACAAGCGCGGATGAACCACTCAAGGGTCACCACTGAATGAAACCTGAGTAAGTCATCTAGGAATTTGTAGGCTTTCAGCGTCTCTGTCTGCGAAGTAATTAGGTTTATATGTAAGCTACGTTTAACCGCCTCGCCTCCAGACTACATAATACATGCCACTCGAGTCCTAAGGCGGCCGATACGGAGAATACGGCCTGGCTGTGTTCTATTTTAGGGCGTCGTCGTTCATTCCATAAATATGTTGCCACAAGTAGTCCTTTGGTTGGCCAAGTCTTCTAGGTTAGCAATATAGAAGGGCGTGGAGATCCGGGGAGTCGCCGCACAGGACCAGAGTACGGTAGGTATACGGAAATACGAAGGAAGAGAACTGAAGGTGTTGGCTGCATTGAACAAAACCTGATTTCGTCCGTTGAGTCATGACTGAAAGGCAGGTGGCAACTCTCAGCGCTGAATACCAAGACTTCTCACTCGCTTGCAAGCATGGTGAAAGGGTGGTCGCTGGCGAACGCTTGATCCGCCTGGGGTGCGGAAGTGCTGCACAGATTTATATTCAGCTCTCGTCCGTGCTGCAGAGTAGTGCATCGACATGAACCTAGTGTAGACAGACAGATGAACTAGGCTCAGTGCCAGCGCCCCAAAAACATCCCGAAAGTATAGATCGGGATCACCATGTCAACTTCATCTCATTCAGAGAAACTAGCACAGGCAGCTCGTGATAGCTTCCTGGACAGCTACTTGGTACTTGGTATAGCTGAGAGCTTACGAACTTGGCAATTACTCTACGGAATGATTAGCCCATTTGCTAGTCAGCACATCATCATTTTGGTGGCGGCTGACTTGACTGTCCTGAGTACTAAGTAAGTGACTAAAAGGGGCGGACCACATGTAGAGTAGCGCACCAAGGCTAACACGCCAAGTACCTATACGATATTTTCTTGGTGTGGAGCGTCTATGTAAGATGAGAGGGTAGAAAAAAAAAGGGTGCCATAACAAGGACTTGCCTGTAATGGGATTCTCGCGCTCCTGTGCGGTAAGAGCGGCGAACCAAGCGTTTCAAAGGTCCGAGTTGACGGGTATCGCCAGCTTGGCGGGTTGAAGATGGTTAAGCGACAACTTTAAATAAATACCCTGGTTGCTCGGCATCTGTGCCAGGGAGTAATCAGAGTTGAGAGTTGATGGGCCTTATATCAATTTCAATAGGATTTTTGGGGTAACACGAATATTTGCTAAACAGCGGGTTACGTCTCGACAGATGGGTCGTGGGTCAACATTATCGTCACGAAACGAAGCGCCTATAAAATCATATGGGCGTTTAGTTACTATAACGATAAGACTCTATCGGCCTGCCCTACTTATAATTGCTTTGTAGATGGATGATGCTATTGCTAGAACTGGTCTGACGTGCATAAGCACACCACACAACAGACTCGACAGAGTAACAGCTAGGGCTGGCAGAGCTGGGTAGACCGGCGCTAAACTAAAGAAGACTGAAGCGTTGCAGTGCCGAGATCACCGCCGCACAATGGCATATAAGTATGTATATTTGGAGCAGGGTTCTAGACTCGGCACACGGTGGACCTCAAGTTCGAAGAAGCGGGATGATTCGAGCGACCTGGTTGGTTGCTCGGGGGGCGCGGCCCGAGGTCTTTCTGGTCCAACACGTGCGCCGTCTTCTCAGACTCTGCCGGCAAGAATGTTGCCGGGTTCGAGTTTCGGTCCCGGTAACGCTTGGTATCGCTGGCACGGCTGCATCTCAGGGAATCACAAGACGCACAACGGCGTTGATGATAGGAGGTTCAGTTGCTGGCGTCGAGGTGTGCGATGCGTGGCCGCCTCACGGATACATACGGCTGCGACTCGCGTTGAACCCAGGTTGGACTACACTCCACACTACGACATGGTATCATTGCATGACACCTAATTAATGTCCGCGAGGGTATTTTCTCGGCAGGCAACTAGGGTTACCCTTAGCCTCCTACGCTATGACGCTCAGGCCGACCCGGCTGGCAATAGCCCCTGTCGAAACCAAGCCACGAGGTGTTGGTCGATCCCATCGCACCAATACAACCATCACCTTCGCCAGCACCAAGACCTACTACTAAGCCGTGGCCTCCGTTTTGTCGGCGAGTGGGCAGCAATGTTTGCATCAATAACCCTCAGCTACCCCAGATAGGCGCATGTCAAGGCGCTTGCAACAACTTAAGCTTCTCTTCCCGTCTGATCTCTGGAAACCAAAGCTTGTTTGGGGACCACAGCGGAACGGGAGGCCTGGCTCCTCTTCGGCCGCCTGTTCATTCTCAGCCCTGGCTTCCATGTCGAACCATATAGTATACGGTAGTATGAATGGTGATAAGAACTACTTACCTATCACAGGACTAAAGCCCGGCTATCAACTTCGCTTTTCGGGACGATTCTGCAGTCTGGCGAGCGGGGGTCGTCCTCCTTGTGCCTATCTATACCACAGTTGGCAAGGATTCACATTGTGCGTGGGAGGCAGGTTTTGGCCTCTACTACCTAGCACTCGATCCCTCAGCGGAAAGTCATCCGTGCCAGCCTCACTAGTGCCAGTACGTAGCTGTAAGCAAAATCCACGTGTGGCCGCCACGGTCGCACACCTTGGATGTCTTCCAGTTGGACACATGCAGACGAATATGCGCCAAGATGCATTGCAAGCGATTGTGTGGTAGATTTTCTTATCTGCGTTGACTACCTACGAAGTAGGTATGCCATGCGTCCGCTCATGCTGCGGAGAAGAGAAAAGCAAAAAAACGGTCAGCAACAAGTCGTCTCGTTCCGCCATTTCGGTAGAGCACCACATAAGTTACCTCAACGGGCACAGCTTCACCTGCCGATCTTTGGCTAGAGTAGGTACCATATTAGTTACCTACAGTAGTTGGTGGGTTCACAATATCTATCTGGTCTGATCTATGTAATACGCTGTTACGTGATACGTCGGAAGATCGAGCTTCACTACCTACGGATGAAGAGGAATTTCTTCTCTGTGGAACGAATTCTGGAACGAATATCTGGGAACGACGGTAGAGTAGCGGGTTGGTGGACGATGGTGAAAACAAATTTGGTCTAGATAACTCGGGGCCGCACAGCACTCATGTGATCCTACCCAGATACCTACAGTAGGTACTTCGATGAGATTGAGAATCCATGTTTCTCAAAACGCCAGTCTTTATGCCCCCTCGGCCCCTTGTGTTTGTGTGTGCGTGTGTATCCATTCAAAGCTTCCAACATGGCTTCTCCCTGAATCCTTGCGCCACTCACCACGTACACTACGGTACACTAGGTACACCACACCACACTACTACACCGCGCTTTATTTAAGCATACATTTAGCTCTGAATGACGCTGAGTATGAACGGTGCTAGAACCTGACGCCACCATCTAGTATGTAGTGTAGGTATGTGTGTCCTCGAATGTGAGCTAACGGTACACACACAGAGCACCAGGAGCGTTGAGTATGACTGTACCTGTGTAGCATACTTGATAAGTCAGGTCCAAGTAGCGCAAGCCAAGCCGTGCTAATGTCTTGTGCTACACCTCATACAGTCTCTCGGCATTGTCGCGTAGGACGGCGTCGAGCGATGTGGATGGTGTACTGTACGGACTCAAGGACGCAAATGGGAGCGCCCAGACGTGCCCAGGCGTGCTAAGATGACACAGCTCTGCTCGCCAACCAACCATGAGCGGGCAGAAGAACAAGCTCAAGACCGTCTGTGACTGCTAATTATGTACACTGATGCAAAAATAGACATCGCCAGGGCAAACCCCATCTCTCCCCTTTTCTCCGTTTCATCATTATCATCGGTGATTTATGTTAATCTACGTCGTTGGTGGTTGAAATGTTTCAAGTACAATACTTAGATAATCTAAATGCCGGCATGTGAAGGACATGGACGATCGCTCCAACGGCTTTTCCCGGTTTCCCTCGTCCTACGTCCAGACCACGTCAGAGAAGGGCAGTGATAGGCAGACGCACGTGCGTGCATTTTTCGCGAGTCCGACTTGTTGGAACCACTCTGCTGCACTACTATGCAGGCCTCGCAAGTCTTGGCGAATGAGAGGCATTGCCTGAGAAAAGGACTGCAGGGTACTTCGGAATCCAAGGCACTGGGCTCTACTGGTGGTCGAGACCGCGCGCGCTCGTCTACGCCAGGTTGAGTAGAGAGCTAAGTAGTAAAGAGCAGAGATTTTCGAATCCTTCGAGCCGGCGATCCCTGCTCTACCGCGTGTCAGCGGCATTCTATCACGTCAGCACATTACAAAGCTCACCACCAGTTTCCAACGTCGCTCGCTCATTCATCGCACCCACCACCGGTCTACAGTAGGTAGGTATATTCTTTTTGCTGCCCGGGACTCCATATATCGTGACTGTTGGTCCTGTGTCACGATGTTGTGTCCGTGATACTACAGGGTAGTTACACAACACGAACAGAAAGATGACTTGGGACTCATCATAACGGCACAGCATACCTAGCCTGTACAAACGCTATCTCGATGATAGCAACCTGCGTCCCCGCATTCGTCGAGAGATGCGTAATGGAATGTAACATGCAGGCGGTCTTTTCCCTCCCAGTAATACGCCAAGTTTGCGGGCAACGGGGCAGAATATAAACAGATATTGGATTCCCTTTTAGGCATGAGTGCTGACCGTCGACGGTGCTGGGTGGCTTGTCAGGCGAACGTCCAAGCACAGTAGCGAGCTCGGCATGAAGCCATGAAGCTTGGCCTATCTAGATATTACTAGTTGCCAAGGTATCCCGGACTCAGCCAGCTCGCCCAGGCCGACTTAATTAGGGACAAAAATAACCTTAATCTGGCGTACACAAGACTAATCTAACATGTACTTGATGGGACTAGCATGGGCCGCCAGAAGCCACAGAAGGCATGCCGTACATTGGTCGAGGACGGGGATTGGTGGTCGTGCCGGATGGCAAGGTTGTGTGCCCAGACCCTAGCTTCCAAATACACCTCTTCCCCATCCGTGGCGTTCACTATCGAGCATGGTTGGCCTGCCCGCCCAGCAATCACTGTTCATGATACAAGCTTATGTCAAGACTTCGTTCCTTTGCTTGGCAGGCCCTCAAGGCTACACGATGTGAGCTTAGCTGCGAGAGGAACCCACCCGTCATGACGCATGGGAGAGTAAGATGGAGCCTGCGTGAGATGACTCTCGATGATGAACATGGGAGTTGCTAGGGCTGGATATTGAAGGTCTCACAGAGCTGCTGTTGGTATAATAACCCCGTGGTCGCACCACCTTTCGTTGATTCGATCGACACGCCAGTCCTCGTCAACGCGGTACCTTCTTTCTTCTTTTCCTTATCCGAAGACGCCAGTTTATGAGTGTCCTTTGAAAAGGTCACTTCTTTTTTAAGGCTTATTTGGCTTCGGTTCTTCTCCATCCTTTTTTTAAACATACCCTTCCTTTTTCAACCGCCCCTCCCTAATCCGCCGCAATGGATTCCGACAGCTCCAGCAACAATGAGAAGACTCGCATCGACGTCGAGGCTTCCTCCATCGAGGAGTTCACTCCTCAGGAGCAGAGAAAGATCACTCGACGCATTGATCGCCGTCTCCTCACCGTCACTGGCTTCATGTACTGTATCAGTGTCATGGACCGAAGTAACTTGGGTTCTGCCTATATCGCCGGCTTGGGCAAGGATCTCCAACTAACTATTGAAAACCGATACGTAAGTGCCTCTTGCTCATCATGGTTTCCCTTTTATCCAGAACAGGACTGATTTGAAACTTAATAGTCTATTGTCACACTCGTGTTCTTCATCACTTACATCCTCTTTCAACCCCCTTCCACTGTGATCTGCCGAAAACTTGGCCCACGTCCCTTCTTGGCTTTCATCACGGCAGCCTGGGGTGTTGTCTTGATTGGTCTCGGTCTAGTTCACAACTGGGGTGGTCTTGCTGCTCTTCGTATCGTTCTCGGTCTCTTCGAGGCTGGTTTCTTCCCCAGCGTCATCTACCTCTTGTCAACATGGTACACTCGATATGAAATGGGCAAGCGATATGCCTTCTTCTACGTCATTGGCTCCTTGGCCTCTGCTTTCTCTGGTATCATCGCTTACGGTCTTATCCACCTGGACGGTGCCGCGAACCTCGAGGGCTGGCGATGGATCTTCATTGTCGAGGGCCTGCTTACGGTCGTCATTGGTGTTGGTGGTTACTGGCTCCTAGTCGATTTCCCTGACTCTGACCGCAAGGTCTGGGGCTTCCTGAATGCCAAAGAGCGCGCCTGGATTGTCGAACGTGTGAAGGTTGACCGTGGTGACACTGGTGTTTCCGAGTTCGACCTCAAGAAGTTCTTGGGCGGTGCTCTCGACTGGAGAATCTGGGCCTACGGTGGCATGGGTTTGGGTACTTCGACCATCAACTACTCTTTCTCATTCTTCTTGCCCATTATCCTAAACCAGAACTTGGGTTTCAACGCTGCGCTGTCTCAGATTTTGGTCGCTCCTCCTTACGGTTTTGCCGCCATCTACATGTTCGGTATTAACTACCTGGGAGACAAGTTCCATTACCGTGGACCCGTCATCGTCGTCAACATGATCATCTGCCTTATCGGACTGCCCATTCTCGGCTGGCACAGCAACTCCTATGTCCGTTACTTCGGTGCCTTCTTGATCTGTGCCGGTGCCAACGCCAACCTTCCTTCGGCTCTTGCCCTCCAGGGTAACAACATCCGTGGACAGTGGAAGCGTGCCTTCTGCAGTGCCATGTTCGTCGGTCTGGCTGGTATCGGTGGTATCGCCGGTTCTCTCGTCTTCCGTGCCCAGGACGCTGCTACCGGCTACAGGCCCGGCTTGTACGCTTGTATCACTGCTGCTGTCCTTGTCCTGATCCTTACCGCCATCTGCGACTTCTCTTACTGGCGCGACAACGCCGCCGCTGACCGTGGTGAGAAGAACCTGGAATGCGACGAAGTAAGATATTCCCCATTGACCCCATTCTCGCGAGATAGAAGACTAACCAATCTATACAGGACGAGCCTCAACCCAACTTCCGATACACTCTCTAAGCTACATAGGCTGGAGGGTAAACGATCAGGCCTCGCACCTCGATCGATTCATGAATACTGTCACTCATTGTATTTACTGGCATAGCGACTATCACTGTCAGCATATCTCAAGATATCCCGGGGATTTAATGGTTATATATATAGACTTCAACTTGCACATATCAATGAAAATTTTATAGCGCAAAAACTATTCAATTACAACTTCGTTTAGTACCCCATCCCCATCCCCTCAGTCATTGTATTCAGCATAGACTGAGGGGATGTCTCGCCTTGATTGATATAGTCGATTAATAGACTCCTCCAACACCTCGAACTGCATGTTCATGGGGTTATTTGTGTAGCTACATCTTGCCCCCACTAACCTGACCAGGAACGGAACCACGAGTATTGATTGCCCAGACTCTTCAATTTAGCCGAAACAGAACCTTGTCTAGTGTCGCGATAGTCATTCATCGAGCATCTCGTCATGGCCAAATTTCCAGCTGTCGGGACTTCGCCTTTCGATTCTCAACGACGGTCACGCAGCTCTAGCCTCCCAATATCACGAGCAGACGCTAGAGGTTGTGCTTCATGTCACGATGAGTAGCAGTAAAGAAGATGCGATGGAGGAAGAGCAGGCATTTCTTCGAAGCTCATCAGGTCCCGAAGATGCGGCTTGGGCACAACAGAGCAGAAATCGGAAGACGCATTACCTGCGATTGGCCCTGGAAGTTGGAATGGCTGCCACAATAGTTGTCTTGCTGGCGTATATACTTCACGAACGGACCCAAGTCAAGTCATCGCCAACACCGAAGTGTATGCCATACCCCTCCAAACCAAGCAAGACAACTTCTGGATGATTAAATGTCCGTCTATACAGTTCCACGGAAAACCTACAAATTCCTCCCCGACCCGAACTACGTACGCGGCGACATGCTTTTCAGCGAGCAAGAAACGCTGAACACGCTCCACAGCTGGATACCCCTGAGCTCAGGTAGGTGCAATAACGGAGGACAGATGAAAGACTACAAGCACACACACACACTCAGAGCTGGAACTAATCCATTCTTTCCCACTCTCCATAGACGCCAGAGGGTACGTTCAGATCCCCAACCACGCTTCCTACGACATACTAGCCGACCCTTACACGGTGGCGCTGGACCGGAACACCGACGGCCCGGCCTACATGATGTCCGTGTTCCACCAGCTGCACTGTCTATCGTACGTCGTGGACCACTACCAGCGCGGCTACGGGGGCGCCAACCTGACCGACGACGTCGCCCACCACTCGGCCCACTGCTTCGACTACCTCCGCCAGTCCATCATGTGCGCGGCCGACACCAACCTCGAGGGCGAAACCGAGGCCGGGCCTGGCTGGGGCTCCGACCACGTGTGCACCGACTACGACGCGCTGCTCCAATGGGCGAACGAACATGGCGCTATGAAATGGCGGAATGGCCTCCTGCCGGGCGTGGCGATCCTCTGATAAGTATCCAGATGGGATGAAGAGGAGAAGGACGACGGAATGAGATACGAGGTCGATATCGCCCCATCTGCAATACCCGAGTCCTCGGCTCGTGCACATTGGCGGTCCTTTCCTTCGACGAAGGAAGTATTTCAGGGATCGCCCACTGCAATTTGCTTCGAGAGTCAGTTCGAGGATCCGATCCTCAGGCTTGACGATTGATATCATCTTGCCCTGTACTTATTATACACAGCTCATCGTATCTATACGAAATGAATGCCATGCTTGCATGTTCCGCCAAGCGAACTTCTACTTCGAGCCGACGATGCAGATCAAGTGGTGGTCTATTTACCCGTTCCGTTCTATTAGTCGGACATATCGGGAAGGTACTTACTTACTTACTTACTTACTAACTTAGTTCTCGATATGCATCGCATTATATATTTCTGTATCGCAACGCACAAATAACGTCGCTTTTCTCTGTACGTTGCCAACACAGGCGGTGCGGTACTATAGCCATGGCTTCGCATCAGGACTGGTTCCGCCTCTTTTATGAGGGGCTCTTCTGGCTCGTTGTATCTCTCCTACTCTCCGTGTTCCTCTATACCGCCGCACGGAAAACCCAAAGGAACCTCGTCTCAGAGGAGGCGAACGGCCGCAGCAAGGATATGACGCTCGAAGAAGCGTATCTCGTCAAAACCAGGATCGCCGAGCGCGAGTTCCCCTTCGTCTTTTCCGCTGCGACGAACGCCGTGTTCTTCAAGGTTAGATGGATATATATCCCAGCGCGCAAGCCCGGAAAATGAAACGTTCGGGTCGAGATTTGATTCCGTTTTTCCCGATGTTTTTACCATTTTGTACAGCGCGTTTTCACAACTGCGCAAACTAGCAATAACCATTTACTCAAAATGTTACTTACTGACTAGAGACTGCATGCATAGGCCGAAGGGATCCCCTCCATAGCCAAGCTCGTCGCGCGCGCCGCACGGCGCTCTACACCCCGGAAGGGACCCAGCGCAGCACCGCTAGACCTCCTCGGCCGCCCCGGCGCGTCCGCCACGAAAGCCGCCGTCGATCGCGTCAATTACATCCACAGCTTCTACCGGCCGTCGGGCAAGATGTCCGACGACGACCTGCTGTATGTCCTCTGCCTCTTCGCGCTCGAGCCGATCCGGTGCGTCGAGAGGTTCGAGTACCGCCGTTTGACGGCGCTGGAGCGTCGTGCGCTGGCGACGCTGTGGAAGGCGCTTGGAGAGGAATTGCGCATCCCGTTTGATAGGTTGGGGGAGGGTGGCGGTGATGCGCTGGAGTGGCTTGCGGAGCTGGAGCGTTGGGGACAGGAGTATGAAGAAAGGTTCAGGGAGAAGACGCCTGAGAGCGTCTTCCTCGGCGAGAAGCAGTTGGACGCTTGGGTGAGCGGTGTACCGCTGTTCTTCTTGAGGCGCTGGGCTCGCGAGTGTGTTGCTGTGCTTATTGAGCCTGGGCTTCGGCGGGCTATGGGGTAGGTTTGCTTGAAGCTTTGCGTTTCTTGCATCACGGGAGAAGTTGATTGCGTGGTTGCTGATTGGTGGTGATTTATAGTATCGAGACACCCTCGACGCTGGCCGTGGTTCTTGTGGAATCGGTTATCGGCGCCCGCAAGTTCATACGGCGTTGCCTCTGTACCCTGTGGTGGTAGATCTGTGACCGTGGACGTCGCCGAACAGACAGGGAAATGGACACATGCACTCTAGAAAGGGTTTCATGTGTTTGATTGTGAATCTAGTATACCATCAAGATACTGCCAAGGTATTAGAGGCAAGCGTTTTGGGAGCCGCACTGACTCTGATATGATCATGGGGCGGTTCGAACGATGTAAGAGTGGCATGACTTGACACGACGTTACTAACCGAGAAAGAGCGGTCAGTTCTCTGATGCTGGCCCTTGATGCCTACCTCGGTTCCATATGGCCGGTGAAAAGACGAGAACACAAAGCTTAACTAAGTCACTTCATAGGAAGATAAAAGCTATTAGTAATCTATCAGTATACGCATTGAACTACTTCGTTGTGTTGAAAACGAATCACTATATTATGTCTATTGTCAGACCCTATCCTTGTTGTTATAAAACATGCCGAGTACCTAAATGTTCGCTACGCACACCTAGTCCAACGACTCTTATGATGGGCCAATTAGTTGTCCAGTGGGCTCGTCAGAGGATCCCAGCAGACCGGCGAATATTCATTTGTCTCTAACTCGGCCATCTCCTCCTTAGAGAGCTCAAAGTTGTAAAGATCGGCGTTCTCCTTGATTCGAGAAGGGGTCACGCTCTTAGGTAGCGGGACCAGGCCTTTCTGCAAGCTCCATCGGAGGAGGACCTGGGCTTCAGTCTTGCTGTGCTTCTCAGCCAACTTGACGAGAGTCTTTTCACCCCATCGCTGTCCCTGGACAACCGGCGAGTAGGCCTCGCAGGCAATGTTTCGCTTCGCAAACCAGTCGACGACGTCGTTGCGGGCACACCAAGGGTGAATCTCGTATTGACCGACGGAAATGACACCACCGTTACCCCGCTCAGACTTCAGCTCGGCCATGTGCTGCTCGAGCTCGTCTAGATGGTGAATGCCGTAGTTGCTGATGCCGATGGATCGAAGTTTGCCTTCTTCAGCAGCTTCGACGAGGGCCTTCCACTATACGTCGCTATGATTAGTAATGACTCTCACAGGAAAATCAAGCGCAAAGATTAGTGCTTCCACTTGAAAAGCGGTTGCTGTAAGAGGGTAATAGAGGAGAGTGATAGCTTTAGGGTTAACGTACGGCGCCTTTGCGAGCGGCTGATCCACCGTAGGGTGCGTGAAGTAGCATGAGATCGAAGTAGTCTACCTCAGCGGTCTTCAAACTCGTCTCAATCTGCTCTTTCGTGGCCTCATACCCGCCTCTCACAACACCTGCGGGGATTTTAGAGGTGAAGTAGACCTCAGAGCGGGGGATACCACTCTCTCGGATAGCCTGACCAACGCCGGCTTCGTTGCGGTAGGCGGCAGCAGAGTCAATGTGGCGATATCCGGCCTTGAAAGCCTCGAGGCAAGCATCTTTAGTAGCATTGGGTGGTCTGATTCAGAGATTAGTACGCCTGCAGGGTGGGGGCCATAGCTACGTGATGGGTAGCGAACTCACGTCTGGTAGACCTGGTGAGAACAAGTCAGTATAAGAGTGATGGTTGTATAGAGAGCTAGTAGAATTGGGGGGATACGAACACCAAAGCCTAGACGGGGAATCTCATAACCACTGTTCAACTTGAAAGTTGAGTTGAGGTTGTACGTAGAGGCCATTCTGTGGGGAGAATCGAGATTAGTTTATTAAGCTTTTGGACCTACTTAGAGAAGTAGAGATGAGGTAACTTTACATACTTATAAAATCTCGAATGACTGTGATTATAACGTATTCCAGGTAGAGTAGAAGTGTATGAAGGGCGCAGAATGAAATGAGATGGGGAGGCAAGTGATGAAGTAGTGAGAAGGACGGACGTCAACGACTTTATATGAGGCCCAGATGCAAGGGCATGCATAGGTATGTAACATGTGAAAAGTCCATGCATTATGTAGCTAGCGACGTATTCCCATACCCTGTTCCCCGTTCACAGCACTTGGATGGTGATCCGCGGTGAATATGTCGAATTACTAAATGCGTTCGGCGTTAAGAATCTGGCGGCTGAGGTTCTAGACCATTACTAACGTAGTCTCGCTAGGTACCATCGAACGAATGCACTCAGGTCACGATCAATACTCATCTTCTCCCTTGTCTGGATGGGTCCTGTCGGAGTGAGATCTGTGTTGTATCGAAACTGTAGTGGAACGAGGGTATCGCCGATGATTATGTCAGTCCACCATCAAGGTAACTACCTAGGTAGGTTACTTACTTAGCTTATTTTCGCTTACTTGGGCCATCCATCTATTACCCCTACATTCCATACCCTCCTACCCCGGTACCTACGTGTAGCAGGTGCGTGTCACTAACTCTGTACTTACCCACTTGTCTACCTCATCTAAGATGAATATAAAGATCAGTAAAGAATAAAGCGGCTTTTATGTACGGTTGGTTTCACAGAGGACAATATACGATATCTTGGGGACTTTTGGAATCTGGTTGCATTTGACATAGCGCGGGGTAGTTTTCTTAGTGCGGGGCAGTCTTGGGCCTGTCACGCACGCGCATTACCATCGATTGATGTAATGGCGTTATCCACAACCTCATTCCGATCGCGGAGTAACGGAGCTGATTATCTATATCTGAGGTTGGGCATTAACTTAATAAGTAGGTAGGTAAGTAGGTAGGTTGAAGATGATCATCTCGTATAGCAATGGCGAATATTCTTGGTGTGGTAGGTGAGTAATACTGTAATCTAAACCCCGACAACTCAAGGAGAGAAGATGCGCGAACTACCTAGCAAAACCAAGTAGCCACACATAGCCATTGAACATGTAAGTTAGATGGAAAGCTATGTGGACTAATAATAGAATGTCTTGAATAATAACACAGACAGGCATAAATGAAAGATGAAAATGGATATATTATAACATAGAGTTGAACTTTCTTGCTTGTACCTTGTATGAGTGGGTGGGCTCCTTTTTATGATGGAAAGGTACAGGTACTCCCTCCTGCACCCTGCACACAGGTACTTCATGCATGAAATGTTAGGGCGGTATGTACATCTACTTGCACTACCAATCTGACGTAACGGCCCCCGAGTGTCTGCACATGTAACCCATCCATTCCCAACGCTTGAGCATCGTCGAGTAGTTTACTGATTACTGATTACTTATCACGGAAACACCCAGCACGCCTACCAGAGACAATCCGACAAATTCGACGGCCCGGCGAGCGCACCATTCAATATCTTAAGCATCGCCATTGCTAATCCCCGTGCCGTGCTCTGCTGCAACCCCGCATTCACAGTCGCCATCATGCAGCTCGTCGGCTCCAAATCATCACGGCGCCTCGAGGAAATCGGCGAGGACAGTGTGACCCTGCTCCCCACCGATCCAGAAGATATGGTAAGTGACAACACTCACCCTTCATAAACCCGATACAAGCAATATCAGACTAAATCCTCTCCCTCTCTCTCTCTTCCCAACAGTGGCATGCCAATAACCTGATTGGTCCCCAAGATGTCATCAAGGCGCACGCCATCCGTAAGGTCACCACAGAGTCCAAGACGGGTAGCACCGTTTCGGAGCGTGTTCACACCGATTTGACCATTCGCGTCACCTCGACCTTCTTCGACCCCGCCGCCTCCCAGCTCCACGTGTCGGGCACCGTCATCGTCGAGAATGCCTTCGTCAACATCGGTCAGTACCACACGCTCGACCTCGAGCTCAACCGGCCCTTCACCCTCTGGAAGAAGTACGGCTGGGATTCGGTCGCGCGAGAGACACTGTCCGATGCGCTCAAGCAGGACAAGGATGGCGCCGTCGCCGCCGTCGTCATGCAGGAGGGCATAGCCAACATCTGCCTCATTACAGAGTTTCGTACTGTCCTCAAGCAGCGTGTCGAGAGCGCCATACCCAAAAAGCGGTCAGCCAGCTCCGACCAGGACTCGGGCATGCGCCGCTTCTTCGACAAAACCCTGTCCACATTGTTGCGTAGCATCGACTTCTCCAACCCACGCCCTCTGTTGCTGGCCAGCCCGGGCTTTGTGGCTACCGATTTCAGGAAATACATATCCGACGAGGGGACGCGCAGGGCTGACAAGACCATGATGGCGATGGCGAAGCAGGCGACGGTGGTACATTCTAGTTCGGGTCACCTACACAGCCTCAACGAGGTTCTCAAGAGCTCCGAGGTCACGACGACGATGAAAGACATGAAGTTCTCCAAGGAGACCAGATTCATGGATGACTTCTTCGATCGAATACGCAAGGACGATGGCCGGGCGTGGTACGGCACAGGACCGGTGGAGAAGGCGGTCCGAGAGGGTGCAGTTGGTCGGGGTGGCGGCGTGCTACTTATCAATAACTCGCTCTTCCGCAGCCTCGACATCGCGACGCGGAAACGCTACGTGGCCATAGTGGACAAGGTGAAGGAGGATGGGGGTGAATCCAGAATTCTAAGTAGTGATCATGAAAGTGGACAGAGATTAGATGCGCTGGGAGGCATCGCTGCTCTCCTCACATACCCCATTCTCGATCTGGACGAGGATGACGACGAGGGCGAGCAAGATAACGCCAATGCAGAAGCTGGCGAACAAGAAATGATAATATGAAATTACCTTGACTATTTGTTTTCCTCCGTTCTATTAGGTATTTCTCTTTTCTTGTCTTTGCTACTTAGATTCTCCACCACACCCCTCGAAGTACGATTACGATTGCGATTGCGATCGCGAAGAGTAGATGAATGCATACCTAGGTATCCGCCCATATGGCCCTTCCAATTTACTCATCCGCGTAAGTATAACGCATTCTATACCGGGACGCGGCGGTTCCTGATATCCCATGCAATGGAGTTTGACCGATCTTTAGCCATCCGCGTATTGTTCATGCAGTAAGCTAAGCAGCTAGCCGCCAGAAGCTACTTGGTAGAAGCAGAGTAGAAACTGGGATCCCCCCTGCTGAGGTACCGATGTAATATGCCTACGTCATGCTCCTTTGGGAGTTGCAGATTAGGGGTTGGTTATCGATTCCCCCAAAACTGCTTGCTTCTTGGCCCATGTCGCCGCGGTCCAATCATTCTGAGCCATTCTGAGCCAACTACGATGCTTGTCCGTTTTTTCTCGACCATTAATTGATTGATTGATTCTGATTGATCACAGATGATCGAGTTCATGCTCTCTAAACTAGGTAGGTATGTATGTACCTACTCGCCTACTATGTATGCATGGCGCGCTCCAGCCAACGTTGCATTCATGACATCTTCATCTGATTTACCCCATACCATACCACTACCTGCCCACCAGGCAGTTCGTAGAATGCGCTGAGAAACTAACTTGGTATCTCCATCTCAAGCACCGCTATCTCTAGGAAACCCCATAACTATTTCGCCGAGGAGCGTCTAATACAGCCCCAAGATAGCGTACGATGAGAAAAGAGGATGGAACATGTCGTCTGCATTTTCCGTGACGGCTCAAGGCAGCAACATTCCAGAACACCGCCCCGCCGCTTCCAGCGCTGATCCATCACATCCACCGACGCCTCTCCCGTCTCACGATGGCCATGCCCGCTCCACCGACGCCTCAGCCACCTCGGCGGCTCTCACCGCCAGCCCCGTCAACATACCTCGACGCAGTCTCACCACTGTAGACAGTCCTATTCGCCCATCGCGGTCGATAGCCTCTTCTGGCGATGTCGGTGTGTACATATCTCGCTGACCCTCTTTCTGGACGTTGCTCCATCGGGTAAAGAGAATAGGCCAGAAGAGCCATGTGCTAACTGGGGTTGGCCCCGGCCGGTTCTAGGCACCGACATTTCACAACGACTGTCGTCAACCCCAACCCAGACCCCAGCTAAGAAAGAAAGAGCGAAACCCGCTCGCAAGGATACTACTTCGGCTGTCTCAAAGGATGCCATCAAAGAACCCAGAAATTCAAGGGACTCTATTAAAGACTTCAAGGACCAAAGAAACGCTACCAATGGACGAACCACGTCCTTTGCACATCCCTCGGCCTCCGTAGACCCTTTGTCCCACGTACGTCGAGCACCCCCTCTGCTTCCTGAAGCTACTGCCACCGTCACAAGTGCCGCTTCAATGTCACTCTTTCGTCTTGACGGTGCTAAGATAGTCTATCATCCGTAGCATATATTCACGAGAACTAATACAGAACGCTCAATTGCGTCGCGACTGCTCAACTCCGCGCACCCGGATAGTCCTTCCAATGACTCCATACAGCGTCCCGGCCCTGACATCGCTAACAAGCTCTCTTCCTCTCAGCCCGACTCGGCCAAAGACAAGAAGTATGCGCCACCTGAATCTCAATAGAACCGACTACTAACTCGTCTTTGTTGCTTTGCCATAGAAAGGGCGTATCTTTCCTGAGTCGATTGAGCATGATAGGCGGTAAGAAGAAGGATGACGATGTCTTGGATAACGAATCCGAACTCAGTGAACAGAGAACTGAAGGCGCCAATGCCCTCGCCTTCTCATCCGCCGTCTACATCCCCCACCACAAGGAACCGCCACGCTATATTCGAGTCCACGCTCAGTACAAGAAGGACAGGGAGTTCAACCGCATATTCCTGGCCCAGGAATTGGCGGGAACAGGGCTGTCGTCATCAGCTGGACAAGGAGAACCCCTGAACGAGAAACCCTCCTCTGCAGCACGTACCAAAGGTGATTCGACATTGAGTGGTCCTATTTGGGCCACTGAATTCAGCCAGGATGGCAGGTATCTCGCTACCGGTGGCCGAGATCGCATTCTGCGAGTCTGGGCAGTGATCGCTACGGAGGAGGATCGCAGGACCTATCACGAGGAGGAAAATGCTAGCACAGAGCATGAAGAGCATCTTAGTGCACCCGTTTTCCATTCAAAGCCCGCTCGCGAGTTCACTGGACACGAAGGTGATATTCTTGACCTGAGCTGGAGCAAAAACAACTTTCTACTGTCTTCATCTATGGATAAGACCGTCAGACTCTGGCACATGAGTCGTCGTGAGTGTTTGTGCACGTTTAAACACAAGGATTTTGTCGCTTCCATCGCTTTTCACCCTCGCGACGATCGTTTCTTCCTCGCAGGCTCGCTCGATTCTAGCTTGCGGTTATGGAGCATACCTGACAAAGCTGTCGCATATTCAAGTCAATTGTCCGATATCATTACGGCTGTAGGATTCTCTCCTGATGGTAAGACCGCTATTGCCGGGACCCTCCATGGTATCTGCATGTTCTACGAGACCGAGGGACTCAGGTTCCTCAGCCAGTTACATGTACGGTCCTCGCGCGGCAAAAATGCAAAAGGAAGTAAGATTACGGGCATTCAGACGATGAACTTCGGCCCCGACGACACAGACAGTGAAGTCAAACTCTTGGTGACGTCAAATGATTCACGAATTCGCATATACAACATGGCGGATAAATCCCTTGACGCTAAGCTCAAAGGTCATGAGAATACATGTAACCAGATTCGAGCAAGCTTTAGTGATGATGGCGAATATGTCATCAGCGGTAGCGAGGACCGAAAAGCTTTTATATGGTCGAGGGAGATGGCCGGATCTGAAAGCAAAGAAAAATGCCCTCACGAGTATTTCCAAGCTCATTCCGAGGTTGTAACGACGGCTATTTTTGCGCCGACAACGACTCGTCAGCTTCTCCAAGCGTCTCATGACCCCATCTTCACGCTCTGTAATCCTCCACCCGTTACCTTGCGGAGCAAAGACGAATCGATGGTGAATGTAACGCCCTCTGTGTGCGATACCCAATCAGAGTATTCGGTTAAGGCGAAGAAACCAGAAGAGACGCCCGCTTTTATTTCGCGTTCTAATCACCGTGATGGTAATATCATCGTGACCACAGACAATTCTGGCCTCATTAAGGTGTTCCGACAAGATTGTGCTTTCGCCAAACGTCGTCACGACAATTGGGAAACCAATTCGTCGTTTTCGAAAAAGCTTGGTAGGGACAAGCTGCTACTTGGGAGAACAGGCAGCATCATGACAGGAACCAGCGTCAGCAGTCGGGATCCGCATTCCCGACGTGGCTCACTTTCTCAACCCTTTCAAATCAATTCAGACAGGATCAACACTTGGCGTCAAGGCGTAGAAGGAAATCCGGGTCGACCACTCTCCATTGCTGCCACCGCTACTACCACGACAACTCCCGCGGGCAGCGTGCGATCGCCATCGCCAGTGAAACGGACGCCTGCATCACCCACCATAAATCGAGTACCAGAGGTTCGAAGGCAACTTCGGAACATAACATCGCCCACATTACACCCTACCAGCCCAACCACAAGTATTCGATCCAACAGGATAAGCGAACCATCACGAGGAGAGACAGAGACATCGGTTCCTCCAGCTCCCGGCTTCTCCTTCCGTTCCGCCGATGACGAAGGCGAGGACTCACGACTCGACCTTGCTGGCACAGCCTCTTCGTTCTGGAAACTCAACAAATGGCGTAATATGGGGGTACGCCACTCGTCAATGACGTCCAAACATGAGGGAACCCTGGGTGGGTCCTTCCAGACAGCAGCGGACGAGCTGCCGACGCCAAGCCTCGGGGGCCGAGAGAGCAGTCTGGAAGAATCGTCATCCGACATCATGGCAGAACAACAACAGCAACACCACCAACAACAATCGCACGAGAATAATAGCAGCTTCTTCAAGGATCGCAGACGGAGCGGCAACGTTAGTCTTCTCAAGCCATCGCCGCTTGAGGAACGGGACGAGAACGATGGGTTCTTGGCCCCCCCGGAACAACGTATTATGCTGAGTAAGACGAGGACGAATCGTACCTCGTCGATACTCAGCCGGCTTAGCTCTGAGATCACGTCTGCGGCTAGTGAAGAGGGCGAGGAGATGGAGTGTGTTAAGTGTGGGAGCCATGATTTTCGCGCTAAGAGAGTTGGGGGTGCACAGCGGTTGCTTTGTGGGAAGTGTGGGCGGATGGTCGATGTTTGATACGAGCATGTATCAGATCAGATCAGATCATTGATATGCGAGTCTGGAGGTGGGTGAGTGAAGGAGTGTATATGTGCATGCGAGTTCTGTTCATAACTTGTTGCTTGTGTCGGTTGGTTGTTTGATTGTGTTGTTTTGGGTGTTAGAAAAGGAAAGGGAAGGGAAATTGCATATAGATGGCGCTGAGCGAGTGCTTTTTTTTCTTGTCGTTTGATTCTTCGTTGTTAGCATACACACACAGAGAGAGAGAGAGAGAGAGAGAGATGTGTGCTGGAGAAAGGGAAGACAAGTGATGCGGAAGGAAAGAAAGAAGAGTACATTAATGTGTTGCATATACGCATCGGATATACTCGTGTAGAATATCTGTGTATTATTATGGATGAAGTGTCGAGATACCCTGAATAGGTACATATCTATTTCCATTGCGTGATGTGCGGATAGGATGGGTATTTTCGAAGTTCAGCGCCCTAGATATGGCATTGTAAGACTTGAAAACTTGCCTTCGTTGAGCGATTGCCGAAGCTAAAGGAGATACTGACTCGGTGAACGAGGACAGAAGAACGTAATAAAAGGATGGATAGATATACTACTTTGTATGGAACCCTAATCATGATAACTGCTTGATTGCGATGTATTGAAACAGTCGCTCTTTACGTATGCGAGTGTCATTTGAGAGAGGTGAACTATAACTTGGCACCTCTATAATTGTAACTATCTCCGCGAATCTAGTGAGATCAACCTAGTTGGGAAACAAAGAGTCGGATTCTCCATACAGAAGCACGTGTGATGTTACCATGCGCATACAGGATAGGCAAACATGTAGATCATCTACTACCGCTAAGGGCGCCTACTCTGAGAAAGAGGCGTTATGAGATAGTGCGGAAATATCGGGTTATAATTACGGACTTCGCTGGCAATGCGACATCTCGAGCTTTGTAGATGAGCGGAAGCCGTGGTAAAAGGGCTGTATAACTGTGTATAGAGTCGGATCAGTCGCTAAGGCCGAGAAAAGAATTTTGGCAGCCTCGACACATGATTGATTGTATTGTCGGTGGCTTCGATTCAAAGCCCTGTTACCAGCCCTTGTCATATGTGGAGTCCATTTGTGAACAGGCATAGAAAGCTCATTTTTTTTTCTCAAGAGAAGACGGGTTATAATGGCTTTACGGGATTCGGCATTTTTACGTGGGATTTATGAATCTGGAAGTTAAGGTATTTATATGTATAACTTATGTATAAGAATGGTTGATATTTGCTATTTACGATGCATCGTTACAAGCAGATGACGATCTCCCATCGCCAATACTCATCCGCCGCTCAAATACGCCAACACACAGGCGACTCATGGCTTGAATATACTTGCTCTTAGAGCCCCTTCGTAGTTCGGGGCCGATATAACACCGGTCTTAACTGAGTACATATCCCGACAAGCCATGGTAGAATATCAGCTGATGATTGTAAAGGGGGTAAATCCAGGGGTATCTATTGTTCGGGAATAGTGAACACCTATCGACTGTTATCTCATCATGTACCCAACATAGTAGGTCCAGAAATATCTTGCACCATGGACTCAGCTCAATTGGTGCACGACATATAGACATGATATATCTCCGGGATGAGGTCGGACCTTTAAAGACAGCTTACACGGGCAAGTTGGAATCTGGAGCTGTCATACAACTACGCGGTTTTGCTCGGTGCAACTAGCCTGTCTCTCAGTCGGCCGGTACCGTTTCGTCTTGAGGCCTTACACTTAACTCAGGGCTTCTTTATTTCCCGTGTATACCATAAACCACAGGGATAGGTCGGAATATACTGAATTCCTGGCCTGTGGCGACTAATGTACCAGGAATCTGCGGGTGCCAATGCACTTCCTTTGCGTGTTCTGAGATGTGTTCGAAGAGAAGTTGGGGAGGCATGTCCTTCACGCCAGCGGTATCCTTGCTCTCCTCGTCATCCAGTTCGACCGACAGATCCCACAGTGTGACTTTATGGTCTCCGGCCGCAACAGCCACCATGCTATCATCTGTTGGGTGCCATTCGACGCTAGTAATCTGCTCTTTGTGATAGGCGAAGCTGGCGATGGGACTGGGCTTGTCGGCGCCTCCTTTCCATTGGCGCAGATCCCAGACACCCCAAACTCCGTCGTCGGCACCGGTGGCCAGTAGATGGGTCGTTAACCTCGACCATGAAAGGACGTTAACGTCGGTTGAGCTGACCTGGACCGTGATGGCCGGCTTCCTGCTCTTGCTCCTTACGTCCCAGACGCGAACAGTGCCATCACTAGACGCCGAAGCGAAGACGGAGGCTTCCTGTGGACTCCACTGAATATCCTCGACACTGCTGGTATGGCCCTGAAAAGCCCTGGTATCTGTTACCCAGCCTCCACCATCTGTTCTTGTGGTAGCATAGATCAGGCCTTCGTTATCACCCGTCAAGAGCTTTCCACCGGGCACGAGAGGCGACCAGTCCAGCGCATAACCCTCGGATTTATGGGCCCTGATGGTTGATATGGGCTTATTCTGCTGAGGGGTTATGACAGTGCCGGGATTATCGAACGAAGCGAGATGCGGTGTTACATCGTGAATGAAGATTTGGGTAGACTCGGTCATGGTGGCGGTTAGTGTAGTTGGGGGTTTGGAGGGGTCTAAGGAAGGAATTTGGTGGGCGCGGATACGGTTTGTGGTAGATGTCAGGGGGATCGACTTGTGCTCGAGGATTGGGTCGGTGTCCTCGTCGTCACCTTCGTCATCGTCAGAGTCTGAATCATCGTCTTTCTGTTGGCGGCTCAGGCCACTGAATTTCATGACCATCAATTGGTTGTCTTTCGCGTTGCTGCTATCCGCCTGGGTGCCAGCAACGGTATACATGGTGGCCGGGTACACCTTCTCTCGCTTGTCGCCCAGACGGTCGCGCACGATGTCGAACGAGAGACAAGGCCACGGTGTGCTGAGACTGTGCAGCATCTCGTAGGTTCCCAGGTCGGGGGCAAGATGTTGGCCAGCTTCGAGCTTGTTGCGACCGACGATGAAGGTCCCGTTGGTGTCGTCGACCTCCATGGCGGCTGCAGCACGTTCCTCGGCCTCCCTCTCGGCATCGGGTCTACCGTCGACACCAGCTTCGAATATCTCATCCTCACTCTCAAACTCGTCCTCAAATTCGTCCTCGAAATCGCCCATTTCCTTATCATCTACATCCATGGGCTCAGGGCGGTCGCCCCCCTTGAGAGGGGCATTTCCATCGCCTTCTTCGGCTATACGTTTCGACATGGTATTATGTGATATGATAGCGATGGGTTGGGCAAAAAATGTAGGCTAGTATGACCAGTTGAGACGCAAGCGCTTAGTGGCACGAGGACTACGCGCAGAGAGACCCTGAATATCTGGTCATGGTGTTAAAAAAAAAAAAAAAAAAAAAAAAAAAAAGGTTCAGGTGCCCCGCGCCAACCCCGCGATATGTGGCTGTGCTCAGTCTCTGTGGCTTGAGTATCAAATGATAGGCGGACAAGTGCTAAAGCGGGACGGATAAGACGGATATAGGTAGGTGCATTAGCGGTTGATTTAGACTGCCTACCGGAGCATTCTTTCCATTGCCCCTCCATCGCGGTGCTCCCCGGCGCCCATCAATCACTACCTCTTCGTACACTAAGGACTAATAAGTAGGAGCGCCGTCATTAAGTGCCTCCCTAGACGATCAAATGAGTATAGATAGACACGTTGGAAGTGTAGGTGAAATAGCTGGTCCCACTTCACGAGCACTCTATGCCCTTGTCTTAGTGTGAAATTCAATTCTTCATGACGTGATGATATCTCCCGAGGTTGCGAAGTGACAAGTAAATATAACCGAATAATTATAGCTTCATCCAGCAGTACCAACACAATGGCCACCGCACCAAGCCTGCCGCCCATCTCTTCACTGCCCGACGCAGATGAAGCAACAGTCACATCTATCTTGGATACGCTCTTCGAGCCGTCGTCCGAGCTACGCGCCATCGCCGTCCCCGCCATCCAGCGGAGAAGACGCTTTGTCGCCAACCCGGATGTCCTAGCAGATCGCCCCGACGACGACACCGCCTTCACCACCTACGCCTCTCTGATCCGCTACGTCGGGTCCCTGCTGCAACAGCTCGCCGTGTACTCCGCCTCTCCTGCCTCTCCTTCGTCCTCTGCCTCGCGGGAGAAGCTCCATGACATCCTGGGCTCGCACCCGCGCCTCGGCGAAAAGAAAGTCGACAGCGCCCAGAGCCGCGCCGAACAGGCGCAGCTGAACACGGGGGGCGCCGCCGACGAGGCTGAGCGCCTAGCTGCGCTGAACGCCGAGTACGAGGAGAAGTTCCCCGGCTTGCGGTACGTGGTCTTTGTGAATGGCCGCAGTAGAGACGTCGTCATGGAAGACATGCGGAGACGTATCGATCGAGGGGACATTCGGGCGGAAGAGAAGGAGGCTATTTCGGTGCGTTGTCTGTCTGTCCCATGTCTCGCGAGACTTATCAAGACTCCCTTTTAACTCCCCTTTTCCCATGTTTTGTTTTCCTTGGAAAGAAAACCCACTCAACGACGAGCGACTAATTAGTATGTCACGCTATTGCAGGCAATGGTTGATATTGCGATGGACCGAGCTAAAAAGCTGGGCTCTGATAGCTGAGAAAGAACTTTGGCTTGTTTGATGTGAGATATAGTTGCATCTCGGGGGCGTGATTTGGGATGGAATTGCTGCATGGCGGCAATCTTCTATGAGCAAAGCGAATCACACTGGTTCTGCGCAGATAAAACAGCTTGCGCTGGCTTCTCCCATTTCAGCTTGCGTTAAGACACCTTTGACTTGGGAGTATTGGAGGCGCTACAAGCTCGCACGTTTTTATCCTGGTCTTATCGAGACAGAGTATTATTCTGCTTCAGCATTATAGAAAGCGGGAGTTAGAGGGTGTAGGTAGCATTTCGCCGGGTAGGAAGTTATTCTGGGTGCGCTTAGATTCAATAGGTAATCGCCACATTTAATCGTGGAGAAAGAAACCTGTCTATGCTTTTCTTTTGATAGGCATGTTATCAAAATGATAGATGCTATCGATTGGGCGCAATCCCCGTCTCAACAGCGCTCCCTACTAAATAAAGCCACGATTTCCTGTATCTCTCGCTTTGATTAACCACCAGGTTCACTTCACACTGATCCCTGTAATACATCGTACACCGGAATGAGTCAGTTTCCGGTGAATGCTTCCAATCCCCTCTGTCAGGTCCATACACCAACAGAGACAGACGTATTGCACACATAATAGATGGGTGGGAGGGTTGGTATTACGATGTACTGATTATATCTCAAACAACCCAAGGAATCCCATCCAGTTCGTCCAGATACTCCTCGTAGAACTGCTCCTCGGCAGGACTCCTCGTGGCCCCCCTATCCGGCGACCGCGCGCCGGAGCCGAAGAGCACGCCAAAGTCGGCGTATACGTCGTCCATGTCGTCGTCGGAGAGGTCCGCGTACCGATCGCGGAAGCTCGCCGCCGGGAATGCCGTGTTGTCCTCTTCGTCGCTGACGGCATCGGCGGGTGGTGGAATGGGAGTGGGGATGGAGCTTCTTGGTTGTTCTGGTGGTGCTGTCTCGCTGGGGTATTTGTGTGTGAGGTTTACTTCCGTTTGCGTTATATCCGTAGTACTATTATGTTGTTCGTAGCCTTGGTTAGGAATGATTGCCTGTCGTGTATCAAAGCGGTTTGCTATATCTATACTACGACTGGATCTGTCTTGTTTCTGATGTTGTTGATGCTGTTGCTGCTGATGATATGGTTGGTGATAAGGGTGATAATTAGCATAGTATTGATGATGTCCGTGATGTATAGGCGGGTGAAAGCTAGTAGTATGAGGCCGCCAGATAGGTGGCACCGTCCTATGGCCTTGTGCAACTATTGGCACGTTGGCGACGGTGAATGTAGCGGATGTGGGTGTTGTAACTAGAAGCAATCCGTGATTGAGCGCATTATACCGCGCCGCAAGATCGGCCATTATCGTATGGCCCCTGGACACAGCGGCCTTCCGCACGCCGATGCGCACACGGTTGAGGATGGCAGCCTTCCGCACAAGTAGTGCGCCCTGGTTTCCGGCAGACCGTCGGGCTCCGAGTGCCGCGAGTTGTTGGATGCGATGTAGAACAGGCATGTTGTCGCCGCTTTCCCGGATGAGGATATGTGTCGCAGGAAGCGAAAACGGGCGCGACAGGCGTGACGTGACAAGGTGCAGGAGAAGGCGGCGTTTCTTACATGACAGCGCAGCAGTGCCCGGACCATCGACGTCGTCCAGTGTACGGATTCGCTTTCTTTGTTGCCACGAAGGCAGTTCTGGCTGCGTAGAAGAATGCTTAGGAAGATTTGCCTCAGCTCGTTGCTCCTCAGATTCAACACAAGGCGTGCACGTCTTAAACCGAGCCTCCATCTTCTGGGGAGAGTCATATGGCGACTTGGTGGGTGTCCAGGACTTTGAGCACGATCTTGCACTTGGGATAGCATTAGGGGCCCGGTTCAAATCCCACGAATCCCAAGAGCTCACGCCAACACCCCTAGACCCTTCGCACGGCGCTGGAGAGCGAGATGATACTGACGAAGACGGCAATGAGGGCCGTCCGCCCAACTCCATGTGCTGAGTATGTTTCACCTGACATGCATACGTCCCAAAGGGACTGAGTGGTGCCTGCTGGGCGTCGAGCTCCATGATGGCGCGGAGTGTGATTCTAAAATGATGACGGCGATCATCCGGCTAGGAAGCGAGTTTTGAGGACAAAGAAATCTCCAAGATCCCCAGATGTAAGAAGTGTTCAAGGCGGCAGTCTCCTGATCGGATCCATGTATTCGAGAGGAGATGAAGAGGCGGAGAGCAATTAGAACTTCATCTATCGAGAGTCATGAGGCATAGTCGATCGTGAGCCCATAGAAGGGAGGGTGCTAATGTTCGTAGATCAACCAACTGATAGGGCTAGGCAAGTTTTTAGGGTATTGTGAATAGCAGCAAGCCAGTCGTGCTTGGTTCCAGTCGGCAGAAGACTTAAGTTTCCGCCACACCTAAGATGCTCGTGAGGCTAAGGAAGTGTCAAGTATTTCCAAGCACAAAGGATTCAATATCTCCAACACCGTAATGGTGTGTGACTTAGACTAGCATTAGCCCCGTTGATGATGGCACACGTATCACAGACCTTGGCGTAACTACCGAGAGATGCAGGGACAATATGTCGAGGGGGAAGAGATCAAGAGAGAGGAGAGAGAGAGAGAGGATGCTAATATTGAAAGCCCAGTCTCACAGTCTCGCTTCTCCGAGGTGAAGCATAGATTCGAAGAGGACGCGTCCCCGAAGCACCTCGTAGGTATGTCAGGACGATGTCATCCAGAGAGAGCAGACTGTTGGTTCAGTCCATGTCCTTTAGGTAACCAATGCGCGTGAGCACGGGGATGGAGCAAGGCTATGCTGGCTTCAGGGTCGCAACGTCGGTGAAGGACTGGTGACCAACTACCCACTACTTACCTAATACCAAGCTTGAACTGCACGAGGGGTCGCTTGGAGGAGGAGGTACATGTGAGTACTGACAGCATTGTACACTACATCGTACGTTTAGAAACGCCGGCGCCGGTGCCTATTCGCTCGGAGTCTTGCGCGTGTATGCCTGGTACTAATAGCCGGGCTGTATATTGGTCAGAGTTAATCTGTACGCTTATGTATGTGTGTATAATCATAGCCAGACGAGCGTTTCTTATTATTTACTTACATTTGTTTTCTTGTTTCCCGTCCTTTGCTGCTTGTTTCGGGCCTCGCAGAATGCTACCGCACTTGAAGAACCTATGTTTGTCGAACCGTTCGTCGACAAGAGGGTACACGAGTCACAGATCGCCCACAGCGAACAGTCAATCCAGAGAAGGACAACCTCAAGGAGTCAAGCTTTCGCAGTATGCTGCTACCTATATGACAGTATGCGCAGCGGATGCTCGAGCAGCTGCTGGGCTGTGAACGGCGAAATCAGACCACAGTTGTCGTGTCCTAAGCACACTACAGGTGGGATCAGGGATGAACCAGGACTGGGAAAGGGTATGGAGAAGGAGATGCAGGACACCAGAGATATCCTGGAGAATCCTTGTTCATGCAGGCCGGGGTTTCGCCAAAGTAGTGTACAGCTCGTAGCGTAGCAGCGAGCTGCCACACCACACCACTCTATTCATAGCATGGCCACCGAGAATCGCCACGATTGCAATTCGCCAAGTGAGGTTTTGGACACGATTAATTAGGGTGGCAGACCGTCGCGTTCCCAGACCAGCCCCTGACGGACCTATCAAACCCGCAGCCTCGCAATGCGCAATGCTTGCAACGACGAGTACCAAACGACGACAGGCTGTTCCGCCCAATGAGCCCGGACGGCACCCCTCCTGCAGACGCTCATCGACAGTACCCCAGATTCGTCTGGTCCCTCTTCCCCGGAGGTGCAGGAAGCCGACATACACTCGCTATGTTCCCGTGAGCTTAGCGGTACGCATGCATGACACGTATGGTGGTATTCTTCTCCAGGCCGTATTCAGCCTGGGATCATCATCTACTAATCCGGATGAGCGGCATTGCGCTGTAGCTGCTACACCAATCCACCTCGGTCGGCAGGTGTCTGTACAGCCCAATAGACTGGACTTTGGGAACTGTCATGGGACTGAAGCCACCGTCTCTTCCAGACCTTCTAGATCATTGGCAGGGAGCCAGGTAGGTGATGTAAATGCGCTTTTTAATTCGCGATTTGGCCGTGTACCTAGAGGAGGGGGGTTAGCAGGGTGAGGGATTCTTTGGTTTCTGGGACGCAAATCTCCTGACATGGTCCAGGGAGCATACGTACATACATGTGTACATGCAGAGCAGACGGCGTGAGCTGCTATCCACTATCTAGAGCGGTCAAGAGAGACTTGGCATCGTGAAGCGCTAGGCTAGAAGAGTACATCGTCGCGACGGCTCGACTGGGCTCGTTAAACCGCATACCACCAAGTTTACTTGGGCAGATCTGGGGGACGATCATCTTGCACGGATGAGGTCTAGGTAGGCTGACGCTAGCAGGACACAGCAGCAGGGTTGTAAATCCTTCGACTCGCCATCCTCTTCATATCTAAATTACAAACCGCGCGCTTCAAACTACACAGTATGAAGAAACTTCTCTCTCCAGCGAGGCTGTGATAATTACGTTGTGTACTGGCAACTCTAGCCAGCTGAGACCGAATACGCAGAGACTCAGTAGAATGAGATCCTAGAGACACGGAAGAGTCGTAACTACCTACTTAAGTAGACAGACTTTGATTCAAGATATCTCGAGGTTTCTAGACATCTTCAGTATCTCAATCTGGGACTTAAGTACACTATTCCCTCCTCTCCATATGCCATAACTGCTGTTCATGACAAGGCTGCAAACTGGCCAAGTACCTTGGCACCTATGGGATTTTTGATGATAGCCCGAAGCATCCATGAAGAGAAATACACGGATCCTCCCGACAGCAGCATCTATAAAAGACCTCAAAGACGGCATGTCCCCTGCTGTCTGACAGATGTCGCCTCCTGCATATACATACTTCCTACATATAACTTTATGCAAGCCAATGTCACGAGACTCGTTGAAATTTTCACCTGTTTGCATGTAAGATCTCTCATTCGTGAACATGGTGGTGCATACCCTACCCTTGTTTCGGCCGGGGCTGGAATGGTGCCTTGTTTCGCTTCGCTTTTCCGAAGCATCTTGCCGGCCGAATATTGATTGCCTCACTCGAGGCTCAACGTATCCTATTCGTTTGTCCTACTTACATATACCTTGCTGCGGTTTGTTCTGCCAGCAATCATTGCTTAGCCTTCGGCATTCTCTAATCTCAGGCCTAGAGAAGCTGAGTTATCGTCCGGGGCTCGGCTGCGTTAATAAACAGAATTGTATTCGCTTACTCAAGTGAACTACCTAACCTGGGTACCTGCGTAGGCAAGTTTGTAATTCCCGATCTCTTCCTGGGGTACCTTGCGCCCTGTCAATAGTCAATGAAGGATGTCAATATTTCTCTCAGTGGCGAGCTTACAATTTCACCCACCCACGTGGTTCCAAGATTAGTATTTGACTCATATCCGACTAGGTATACATCTATCAGACATACCCTTCGTAGTACCTCGACCGCACTGCCGCATTTACACCAGAGCTATACATCGGGCAATATGTCCCAGGGAGATCGGCCACCCCGGCCCTGGCATCTCAAAAAGGCACGCTGAGCCAACAGCATACACCTATACTAAAGCATACGAGTAAGAGGTTCATTCCTAACTTACTCGCTGTATCATGTCTCTAAGATGAATCGTCAATTCAACTACGATATTGCACAGTGAAAACCCTCTTTACGTCAAGAAGAAATTGAAACGACATATCTGTGCCTCCCTCCAACCAGCCCTGAAAGTGAAATAATGTACAGGTCCCTACTACGCCGGACTCCAACCGTCATGGTTCCGTTTGTTCTCGTCATGTCGTTCGTTTTCCGTAGTTGTACGGCAGGGAACCGACCAACCGACCAACCAGACAGCCTTCAAGACTTACTGTCGCGGTAGCCTTTTTCCACCCACCATCTCCGACTGGCCTCTCATCGTCCATGCCATCCGGCCAACCAGAACCAACCCCCCTTACATCGTCTGTTTCTTTTTCTCGTTCCTCCAACAAGAGAACAATCCAGCCATTGTAGAGCCACTTAGGTAAAATGGTGTTTCTTCTTTCGTGTTCTTTCGGTGAACGACAGAAGGGAAAATCTTAATCGACCCTCTATAGGTCGCGACTCCTTCCACAAGCCCTAGATCTAGGCCAACGAAGGTTGAATGAAAATATAGAAAGGAGGATGGGGAGTAAAAGGTAATTGTTCGTAGCAAAAATGATCAATGCGGATATGTAAGAATGGGAAAAGTGAGTTAAAGGTAAGTATCTTATCTCCAATAGTCAGATCTGAGCAGTCCCTGAAAAGGGGGTTGCACGAAGAAGTAAAGAGTTTATCAAGAAAGCACTGGTGTTTGCGAATATGGAGTACGTTGCTATCAGCTCCCCCCCTCTGCTAATCAACCCATAACTGATTTTGCATTGAACAGTGTCGCCTAACCTCTGTTGCCACTCTATTTAACCAACAGTGGACTCGATGCGGGTTCAGACTGACGGCATGCCTGCGGGTGCTACACCGGCGCTGCTGCGTTCCTCTCCCAACCGCCGCGTGACCGCCTTCTCCTTCGGACTCCGAGGGTGGCTGTCGGTGCCGAGAATGGCGCTGATGCGTGTCCTGTCGTACATGCTGTCGCGGTCGTTGGGGCTCGGGGCCGGCGTGATTGGCGTCTGGGTTCCGCCCGAGAACATGTTCGCTTTCCAGGCTTGTTCCAAGACAATGGGGCTTACACCGGAGCCGTAGTCGCTTGCGATGGCACCCCAGAACGACGACCGGTGAGCGGCATAGATGGCTTGGAGCCGAGGGATGTCGACATGGGCCGATGGCGGAGGTAGAGTGCAGTCGAGTCGAAGGCTTGGTACCTGTCCCAGAGGTGACGGTTGCGGAAACGGAGACGGACCCAAGGATCGGGCACTATCGGGCAGAGGTGTCGGGAAACTCAAGGCTGGCGAGGTCATGCCCGTGGAGAGCGTCATCGAGGCCGGCTTTGGTAGGATAGCTGGAAGACGTGGCGAGACGTTGTTGCTTGACATGATTCTGGGCAGCTGGATTGAGTTCGAATAGTCAGGTGAGGTGGGCTCATGGCTACCTGCACTTCCAGGAGGGGTGATATCTCGAGATGAGGAATCCTGGATGGAAGGGTTAATAGCCGGTAGCACCGGGGACTGTTCGGACGAGGAACCCGAAGAGACTGATGCGGTGCGCTTGCGGCGGTTACTTCCATGGCTCAGCTGGTGGTAATGAAGGCGGCAAGCCAGCTCGGTCTTTTTCAAGTGTGCGGCAATATGCTTGTACGGCATCTTTTGGAGGCGAGTCTGCAAGAGATACACTTCCTATTCCACAAGACCAATCAGCACCATTCCTCTCCAGAACCTATTTCCAGTATACTGCTCCCCAGATCGAAGGCCTCGTGAATACCGCAGCTCCAATTAATTCTTCATGACTTACCTCATCTTCACTCCAAGCTCGCCCTCCTCCGGTTGACGCTAGCTTCCGATTTTTCGTGATGCCAAATTCATGACGATCATGAGCATCACTTGTTGGGGTGTAAGGAACACCCTCCTGTGGATTCAGCTGAATAGTTGGGGCCATCTTGTAGTAGTGTAAAATGACTTGTTGCTGTGATGGACAATCGATGACGGTGCGGCCGTTACGAAGCGAAATGTGTATAAAATGTATACTGGGCTAAGATGCGCAGGTCTTGCTGCTTGATGAATCGAATGAGTTGAAAAGGTTGTATTGAAGTATGAGTATCGGTGCCCTTAAAAGGTCTGAATCCGGTTATGTCACTTATTGATGAGTTAGACGAAGATATGTCTCGTCTGTCCGACCATGCGAGGGGTCCCTGAAGTCGTGAAACGGAAGACGAGTTAGAGGATAGACCGGAAATGCCTCTCAAGAGTACGAATAGAATCACACCAATAACCAAGATGAAGGTAATTCAAAAGAGTGTAAGCAGCCAAGCCAGTTGGTCAATGAAAGAGAGTGGTCGCTAGCTGCGAAGAAAGAAAAGAAAAAGGGAGGACGGCACGCAACAAACGTTGTCACCGATGCACAAATCGTGCGTGATAAGGGCAAAGCAGAGAAATAGAAACAAGAGAAAGACTGAAGAAGAAGGGGCACAAGTGAGATATTAACGATAACGCATCTGATGCTTCATCCATTCTCGGACGTCGCCTCATCCAGGAACAAGGGCTGAGGGTTGCTGGGGTCGGCCGCTACCCACTCCATCATGCGCGCATACACTACATTAACCCCGTTGCCGTACTTGTCATCGATCCTGGTAATATGGGGTGGATGTGACAGAATCAGAAGCACGACCTTAACTTGATCTGCTATGTCCATAATCGACTGCGTCGATGCAAAACAGCCAGGCCCCGGTCGATTTGAAGAAGAACTGGGAGGACCAGACCGAGCCAAGATGTTGGACAGGGGTGTACTGTTCCCCCCAAGGTGAATCAAGGCATGAGACGAGATTTTCAAAATGGGCGTTCATATGATAATTCTAGGCTCGTTAAGATCAAGACCGGGGATTCCAGTGACTTTGACCGAACCCCATATGTCTCTTTGAGACTTGTATAACCAGACTCGACTTGGTATAACTTGAGAGCATTTTCCTCACGTCAGTATCCAAGTGCACCGCTTCACCAGGTTGAAGCTGGGTTACTTTCAGACCCGAAGCGAGACTGGGCTGCCTGGGATGACACATATTCATTGAAACGACGTCGAGGGTCAGGAGAATAAGCGCTATTGGTAAATTTCCCGTTTCGTTGGGTGCGCGGCAAACTCCTGGCCTTGTCGTGTTTCGACGTGTAAACATATGGAGCGGCGGCCGAGTTGCAGAAACCAGAGGCCGCATAGTTGACCACCCGCTGTCACGTTCAGAACCGTTTAGCTTTCTCTCTGTCTCTGTCTCTCTCTTTTTTTTAATTGCAGTACATGCTGTTGCTGCTGATTTTCTGGCACACCTTCACAGCCGTTTGTTGTGTTCTACGTGCAAACCGTATGTATGTATCAGCCACAGCATCAAGTGTTTGTCGGAGGATGAAGTCATCTTGATGAATAGTAGCCCCGCGCAAGCTTGGCGTTCTCCTTTAATACCATGTACATTCGCATCGCCATACATGAGACATCAGAAATACATCTGGAAGCAGTGTTTGGCGGCTACATGCAGCGGTAGCAGATGAGTCCTCTGTTTGTTTTCTCGCTCTCGTTCATGTTGAGTACGAGCTTCGAGTTTGACCTTCGACGTTCAACGTCTGACATTGTGCGGGTTTGGTTTTGTGTGGGCGGTGCCTCAACATGTTACAGAGATGCGCTTATTCAGAAGACCGGGGTTCCCATTGGACGTGGAGGCTTCTCCAGTCTTCTCTCTCAGCCCCTGAACCCTCCCGTTCCGGTCTTAACTACAGAGCACCCCTGACACCAGCACCAGCCCTGGTCATCTTGGAACTGTTTCTGGAGCCCCTCGGTTTCCAGTTTCGTCAGCAGTGTCGTGTGGATGTGTCTCTTTCGTAGGCAGCGAACCTAATTTACTGACTGCTTGACCTGTAGAGTAGAGCCAGAGCGAAGCCGACGTCAGTCAATGTGTTTGCGCGCTGTGTGTTCGACATTTGACTTGCGAACGGTAGCCTCCTTGAGGCTGTGATGTCTTGATATTGTTAATCTAGAACTTTTAAGGTAATGTGGATTATAAGGCCAATCATGGCTTTCGGCTCCTGCTACAAACACAATTATAACATACCTACTTCACTGATGGAGCACGTAAGTAGATACATAGAAATTAATACAACTGCATGGTGCTTAGTGTAGTATAGAGGGCGAAGTTCAAGTGCTCACTTCGCCAGGTATTCCTTGATGCAGACCCTCAGTAGTTGCCAAGAAAACTTAAGTAAGCTTCAGATGAGCTCTCAAAACATCTCCAGTGACGTTTCAACCAAGAGGCGGTAAGGTGGGCTAGGCTATGCACGACATCCATTAATTGCTCCCGCAATCGAATAATTGCTCGGTGCATCTGACAAACGCTGAGCGTGTAACAGCTAATAGGGGTGGTTTTCATGTCTCTCGGAAAGGAGCTGTGCTCAAGCCGTTTACCATAGCCGATATCAAGCTTTGAAACTGAACACTGCATAACTACAAGAAGCCAGTACTTTCCCAGTGACGTAGTAGAATATATTATTTGCATATTGAGCACCTAACCACATGTCTAGATAGTTGTCTCTTCTCTCTATTTCGTACGCGGTACTAGACGGTCTCTAGAAAGGTTGGCCCACACATACTTAGAGCCGTTCCGACGCAGTCCTTGAAACTCACTAGCCAGGCCCTCGGCAAGGAGTCGGGTCTAGTTAATCCCGGCAGAAGAAAAACAACCTCGACTGTCTACTTAGGTAGGTTAACGGCCCTCACGGCACCCTACATGCAATCACTCGTCGGGAGATCTAATCGTTCGTTTGCCGCGTAGGTATGCGAGGGCCGCTTTTGGTTACCCGTGACTCTGTGGACTACTACGTATAGCAGACCTTGGAACACGTCTCTCATCAGTATGCAGGGCCTGGGTTGCAATCCACACACAACGGCGGCTGGATCTGCAAGCCAAGGACGCACGAGACACATGAAGAACGTCTGGACGAGACTACACTAATGCACCTGTCCAGATAAGGTTGTTAGGTGGGTTGTCACCGGAAAACTGCAACGTCTGATGTGTAGTGTTACGCACTTCGTCCATCCCATGAATGCGGGCGGCCAGTGGATCTTATCACCATGGCCACAACGATGGCCGTTCACGGCGGGTAATGGCCAGGCGGCATTGGCTATGAAGCGGAATTCCGGTCTTTACGGCTCCGGCCAGGCATGCACGGAAACCATCGGTGGTTTACAATATCAACTTACGTCCCTACCTCGTGACCCTAGGTGCATTCCACGAACTATTCTTCTGAATTTTGATCCACGTTCGCATTGAAGATCCGGACACCCGCTCAGACTGTTTGGTTGGGGTTGACATCTCTTGGTCCCGGGGAACACCTCAACTCTTACCAGCCGGAACTAGGAGTAAGGACGGTCCGCTTCGATGCAGTCACAGACCGAAGTATGGTCGATTCGGCCCCCCTTCTTTTAAGAACGCGATATGATCCTTACCTAAGATCCCACCGGTCTGTCTCATAGCATTGCAGCGACGCCTTGTTGAACGTCTCCCGGCCCACGTACATAGGCCGGTGTTCGTGATGACGACGACCCAACACTCCACACGGACGTGTTGAGTGGTTGCCAACGGTCGATCTCGCAACGCGGGCGCGGCCCTTTGGGGTCAAAGTAGATCAGTCGTCTGAACTCCGTGTCTCTGTACGTTGAAATTCAATGCTGAACGGCGGCTAAAGAATTGCAACATACGATTTCTCCAATATCAGAAATTCCTGAAGATTTTGTTCAACTTATAGCCAAGTCTTTACTAGTAACGTTACAAGATGACTGTCAAGGTGATACTAGTTACAAATGGTCTTTCACCAATCATCGTCCATGCAGTGGAAAGGTGGTAATGGTCTAGCCTCAACGTAATCCTGCCATTGTAGCTCATAACTTCCTCAACGCCCTCACTCTAATTCCGCTTTCCCACTAGTAGATAGCGTCGACTGTACCGGCCACTGAGCGGCTGTTACCCTTATGAACTGAGGCGTAACGGGCGTTGAAGCATAGGTTTATGCCTCATACTGTAATCTACTTATCTAGAGTATCCGTGCAACTCGTATTTCATCTTGCGTGATCCAAGACGTCCATTCCATCACCATCCGCACCAGTCTCCATGCGACGACCCGTGCGCAAGCCTGCCCGTTCCCCGGATTCGCCTGTGTAGATAGGCAATCATGGTTCCCATTAGGTTTCGTGGAGTGCCGTGTTGTAAGAAATCGATCTAATCTGCCGTCACGTTGCACAACGAACCTAGACGCATTACCTACATACTGTACATATTGTATTTCGCAGGGCTGAGATGAACTGAGTATGCCTACCAAGCGCCCGGGTGTCTCGGTGACGTACTAAGCGAGGTCGATCATTGAGCGCGACCTGTTCAATGTAAATACTCGTAACGGTTACCGTTCCTTTCCTCTTTTCCTCGTCACACTCGGCCGGTGCAAGCCCCAATGCATGATAAAAAGTTGCTCACCCGCAGAGAGTCGATCTTGGGTCAGCTGGGGAAAGGGTGGTCAGCAGCAGAGCCGCGTGATACTCAGACCACATCAGACTGATCTGCGACTGCGTCTGTTTCAGCATGTGGATATCTCGATGTTCGACAGGCGCATACCTTACCTAACCCAAGAAGAGGGCGCGGAGACGCCGGGTCTTTTATACACTAGCGACTGAGGCCCGCATCGTCGGGATGAGAAGAATAAGTACACAAGGATGGGTTAAATACCTCTACAGACATCTATGTATTTACTTACCTGCCGGTATACCTAGGTAGTAGATGAGGTCATCTCCATACAACTAACTGTACATATTTTAGAAACCTAATCCTTGCACGCTTACTTGGTCAGTATGGGTCCCAGGCTACTGTACTTACTTTATACACGGCCCAGTGTTCATATGTTTCGAATATAATACTTAGTAGATATCCAGTGTTATGGTTCTCATTGCAATCCTCTGCCTACCTGCATCTAGAGCTAGTCAAGTGGGCTCGCAGAGCTCGTATAGACTACCTTAATATGTACCCAATTGGGTGGTGTGTAGCGAGCGAGTATCGAAGTATTGCAGCACTTATAAGCCTCCACACCTTCTTTGTATGCGGGACTACCCGAGACAGAAGAATTGTGTCTTCTGCTAAGTGTCTCTCCTATTCTCCATACCTAGACAGGTAACGAGTGTCTAGGGCGGCAGATCCCGTTACAGGTTCTCTATGGAACTTCATCCTTAGAGTCGCCTGCTCCGAACGAAGCATCTTACCTGGATAGTAGGTTTACTACAACCACACACTCCCTAGACACCTCTACTGATTACATGTAGTTGCCAGAAGCCCACGCCTTTGAGAGGATACAGGTCAAGCGGTAATGAAAACAAGGAGACAAGGAGAAAGCCAAGCGGCCGGGTCTGGCAAGTCCCGCTGTTTCAAACACCGAGGTTTTGAGCATGTACTTTTGTGTAGTTGTTATGGGGTTGTTTGCTGAAACCTTTGCAGAACCGAGGGGTCGTGTGGCCCCTGTCCGGATGCAGAGCCAACCCTTGGGTACTTAGATGCTTGATAATCTGAGTACTAGTACCTCTATACCTCTGTAGCGCACTGCGTACTACTTCGTATGTAAGTACAAAGTACAGTACATCTGTACCCTCTCTTGAGAGAAAGGCCGGAAGACTGAAGTTGCTGAGTAAGATGTAGATACCTCCCTCTTACATAAGTAGGTACCTAGGTACTTGGCTACCTAGATCCGTACCAGCGGTTGTGGCTAGAGAACCAGGGGACGCCAATGTGGCTTGTTCATCCTCTACCCCAAGCCAGGATCAGATTAGCCTTAGATTAGCCGGGTGTCCTCCCCACCACTAGCCACACCTTACCGCACTACAGCAAGGACACATTCTGCGAAACAATCGACAACAGCCGAATCGGACATCGCATCCTCTACACCAACACGCCGAGATGCCCACCCGATTTAGCAAGACACGGAAGCACCGTGGCCACGTCAGTGCTGGTCACGGTCGCATTGGAAAGCACAGGAAGCATCCTGGTGGTCGTGGTATGGCTGGTGGTCAGGTAAGGAATGCAGCACGCCCCGGGGCCATCAATGCTCGTCTATCGCAGTTCAATAGCTGATAGCTTGTTCGATTCGCAAAATAGCACCACCACCGTACCAACATTGATAAATACCATCCCGGTTACTTCGGAAAGGTCGGTATGCGCCACTTCCACCTCCAACGGAATCACCAGTGGAACCCGATTATCAACCTCGACAAGGTAAAATAATACCCCTTCCCTTCTGCCACTCGCCGCGGCAGTCAGCTCGTCACGATACGGGCTAACACAGTCTGACCTAGCTCGCCTCCCTACTTCCCGAGGACGTCCGCGAGAAATATGTCTCCGGCGAGGCTAAAGACACTGCTCCCGTCATCGACCTGCTGAACCTCGGCTACTCCAAGTTGTTAGGCAAGGGACGCCTCCCGGAATTTCCCTTCGTCGTCCGCGCTAGATACGTCAGCAAGTTGGCCGAGAAAAAGATCACAGAGGCTGGCGGTGTTATCCAGCTGGTACCGTGAGTGTAGGGGCAATGAGAACAAGGATTACGGAACTCAGGAATATGGGGTCACCAAAGCATTCAACGGTGTTAAGGATGGTTAGGACGGTATCACAAAACGAAAAGCCGCTTGAGGACGATAGATCCTAAAATGACCAAATTTTTTTTTCTCCATTGATGATTTTTCTTAAGACCAGATATGGTATGCTGAAGCGAGTCTGGAGCCAAATTTCGGAGGAAGGGACTTGGCCCATGCGCCTACTAAGTCAACCACGCCAGATGACGAGTTGTGAGAAAAGAGTTAGATATGCACAAGAAACGAGTACACTGGGAGCTGTACACTTCCATTGCTCCTAATTCTCGCGCCTAATCTCACCAACCAGGGTCAATGTATGGGCGGGCCTTGCTATGTTCAGGACTTCGCCCCAAAATTGTCTTGTATTTTGGAGAAGCAAAGGTATGTCACTGCCAGTGGCTCACATCTCACGCCGGCCTGAGTCCTTCCTGCACCAATCCACGATGTTTCACCGAGGTTGTGTATGTATTTCTGCGGACCATCTTAGTGAACTTAGGATCTTACGCGTTCATGCATACGGAGGTCGAGGTCGTATATGTCCATCACCCTTAGCATTGGCCTACCGTGCCAAGCCTGATTTCCATTTGCGACCCGACCCTATGTATCTATACCCATGAATCACCGCGATGCCTTTGGAAAGGGCGGGGAAAATGGAGTAGGTAGATGCTGCTTCCCTCTGGTACCGGATTAAGAGGTATTTTCGTCATTAAAAAGGTTAATCCACCGGCTCCTGTGTGCGGTAATCTTCACGCGACCTGACGAAGGTTCAAAGTCTAAAGAGCCCAGTCCTAGGCATAATATCGTGAGCGACCAATAGGTGTGTATGCCCTCGTCTGCGATTACCCTATATAGCTTCTTGTGTAAACCGTGTTCCCACGGGCTAAGAATAGGCTTAAAATAGTATACACGTCATTTCCACCTCTGTTGAGGATTAAATCGCTAGGTAATGTGAATCACGGCACCAATATTTTGAAGCATGTGATATGTATATATCGTCTCCAGTCGTGAATAAAGATATGGGTGTTGCTAAACGATTTCGTCGTGAGGGAAATCACATAGGTCTAGCCCGAATACCAACCAGCTGGATCGGGAAGGGAGAGGATTATTAAATAGTCGGGCTATAGATCGATAGACTTTCGGACATGGATACACAGACGTCCAAATCTTGGAACTTGACGCACGCAGTGTAGACAGGCAGCTAGATACGCAGGCACAAAAGTATGTACACCCGAGAGGACCCGAATTCCCAATAGAGTGCAGTGTTGCAATGATGAAAAGCTAGGTACATTGCATCGACGTACCTACATCTAGTACCCATTACAACGGAGGTTATATAGGTACCTGCGGGACTACTAGGTAGTAGATCTGGTATCGTGAAGAGATGCGATGCGATCTGATCGAATTGCGGGGATAGCGTGTGTACACTGCCATAGGCCAGAGTACGTCGCGGATACTTCGAAGTCCCAAGTCTCAGTATGTACAGTACCTCAGGCTTGGCACGAGAAACCTCTGGAAATGGAACCAGTCTTGCCAGTCTATTCTGTACATTTAATTCATGGAACTCGGTGCTTATTTTTCAAAAGAGTTTACTTGAGAGTTGTCATTAATTGGGATAGCCGCGCTAAAGTCTATCTAGACTACCTATATAACATTGCTATCTGCTTCAAACTCTAATTTTAAGAGCTCTGTTATCAATGCACTTGTATTCTAAACGGTATATTATAAAGCCCCAAAGTAGGTATGAATTGAGCTTCGGTGAAGCATTGTACTCAGTCTAATAGGGCCTACCAGGTACTCCTACTCTGTCCTACCTATCTATGTCCAGGCAGTGACTGAAATCCCCAACGGAATCCTTTCAACCTTACCAGACAACTGTCTCTTTAGACCATGGAAAGATGCATTTCTCTATGCACCAGTTACCTGAAACCAACCCATAGTTAATATGTAGTGAGTAATTCTTATAGGTATAGTTATCGATACCTAGCGCTAAAGTACTGCTAAATCGTGTATTGCAGCGCTACCAGTATCTATTGCCGCTCTCTATTTGCACACTGGTCGTCTGTTGGCTGAAAATCTTGTACAGGACGATAATGGTCCTGATTCATTCTTTTACCCAAAGTTTCTTGGAATGAAAGAAACTTACCGATGGGAGTACTCCACGCGGTATTATCACGTGTAAACTCTTAACGCTGGGTTGGTTACCTAGATATATCCAGGTGGTTGCCCACGGCTCGGCATGGGTGTTCGTTCTCATTCTTCGTTTATTCTATTTAGATTATTTCATTCTCTAAATCGAGTATGGAGAAGGGGGGGGAGGGTCAAGAGAAAGATCTACCTCTACTGTATATTACGATATATGGCATACGAGAAACGAGAAATTCTACGCCCAACCATTAGGATTGTACACTATCCAACCAAACCACGCAACAAGTACGGTACCCGCAGTTTTGTCCTCGCTCTACCAAGCCTTTAACAAGCCTCTAGCAGCCACTAGCTAGATAACTCGCTTCATTGGGCCAGATAATTCATAGCTCGCTGGGGAGGGAGTTGCGGCGTTTATTGCACGGCTGCTAGCCGTCATCCTGATTACAGGGGGGTGTCAGTCACCCTCACCTGGTCGCACAATACCTCTGCGTTCTCTGTTGGTGGCCGTGTGGTCTTACGGTATGCCCATCACATGCCCGTTTGCATTTTTCCCCACTCCAAATTTTTTTTTCTTAATCCTATCCAATCCAAGTGGACATCTCTCCCTCCCACGTCCAGTTCAAAGCTGATGTGAGCACCGGCCCTACTAGTAGATAGGGGGGGTGAGTTGGAGGAGGGAGGGTGAGAGAGTGTGAGATGGCGTATGTACCATACACGGTTGAATTAGAAACTGTGACTGAACATGCCCGAGACAGATCCACTTGGTCACCCAATGGGACCAACCATATCGTCGAGACCTACACCGCATTCCGCCGGTGCAGCTGATTTAGCAGTGGCCTGCGTGGGTGGGTGATGTTGGTTCGGGTACAACGGCTTCAGCTGTCCGACTCTACAAACTCTATCTAGCTGTGCTGCGCTGCGCTGCGCTGTTTTGCCCGCGGGGATACCACGGCACCTGCTGCCGCTCATCTCTGATCTTGCGTTTTGCAAATATCAAAGGACTGTTGGTTCTGTTGGTCTGTTGGTTGGCTGGTCTTACATCAGTTCAAGTCGCTGTTGGCCACAGCCCGCCTGCCCGCCTGTCTATATACATCTGATCTACACGGATTATATCGTTGCTGCTTCTTCTCCCTTTGGTTGTTTCTTTTACCGTCTTCTGTCGCTGCGTGGATGAATCCAGTTTCCCCGAGCTGGGTACCCGTCTATTGACTTTTTGGCGCCGTCTCAAAGCACGTGGCTGACAGAACTCGCTCGATTGCCGCAGGCATTGTCTTTGCAAATCGCGATACCTACCTACTGCACCTGATACCTAATTAATTCCCCATATACTACTATATACTCGTGGACGTCCTTTCAGCTTGGGTACTCTACTTGGTCGCTTCGCTGCGGTACCCCCCGTCCGGACACATATACCTGGTACTTAAAGTACATACTCTTTTCCTTGCTACCAAGTAGCAACTTGCCTTGTGCCAGTAACAGTACTAGCTACCTATCTGTCTTTAGGTACATACAACACAGTACTTAAAACTAAGGTAGATTGACCTACTTCCAAACGACCCCACCGAATGTTGAGATTGATTGACCAAGTCACCGTCTGTACAGAGATACTACAAACTACACGACGCGCGACGGGACACGATACGAGTACGCTGTACTGCCTACATAACTGTAGTCGGTACTCTTTGGAGCGCAGGTTGAGGTCAGACAAAACGGGACGGGACGAAACGGGCAAAGCTCGATCGCCGTGGACCAAGGTCCCCTCTCTTTTCCAGTCTCGGGTCCCGGTCACCGTGCTGTTGGCTGGCTTGACTGCTTTGCCTGCGCAGTACCTGCGTGAGTAACTGACTGATTGACTGACTTGACTGAACCAGCTCTGCGAGGCGACAAGTAAGAGTGATCTACAAGACAATTGGTAGACAGACACGCAGACAAGACAAGACAAGACAAGACGGGTCAGGACAGGACAAAGAGCCTTAAGCAAAGCCTTCAAGGTACGTATTATTGCCCTCGAAGTCACTCGACTCGCCTCGCTTCTTTCTCCCTGTTCCCGTCCTTTGTTCCTTTGTTCCTCGGTTCCCGCCACCCTTCACACGCCATTGTCTCTCTGCAAGTGTACGTACCTACTACGAAGTACCTTAGCTGCGTACTAGTAGTAGCCCACTACACTGTACTTAGCCCGTAGATACATGCAGTACCCACAGTACCACCTACCTACCTATGTAGCCTGTGGGTGGCACGGGCATGGTACAGTACAAGACGAGAAGAAGAGCAGAGAAGAGAAGTACCCGTGTGTGGTGTGGTGCTGGTACCTCGGTACTTACTCTACTTGGATTCCTGTTGGTCTCTCTTCTTCTTCTCTGTCACTCGCCTCTCGTCTCTCTGTCTCTCTGTCTCTGGGTCTGGGTCCCTAGAGACTTCATTGCGGTCCATTCTCGCCATTCATTGTGTGTGGCAGACCCACTTTTTCTCTAGCTCTTCCTTTTTTTTTTTTTTTTTTTTTTTCCATCACAATTTCTCCTCCCGACTCCACTCCACTCTCGCATCATCATCATCCTTCTTTTATTTTTCCCTTCCCCCTACATCCTCTAGTACAGCCACCCTGGCCCGCCCCTGTTCAACACACCCCCCGGTCGGTTTTGCCTCTCGCCTCTTGCCCATGTCGATGTCGATGCCGACCTAAATCACTCGTCCATCCTCGCCCACCCGTGACCTTGTCTACTTGTCCACTTCGTCTCTTCTCTCTTCTCAAGTTCTTCTACTCGGGCGCTACCTCGATCTACTTTGCATGCACCCGCACACGCACGCCTGTCTACCGTCTACAATCTGCCCACATACCGCGTACATCCTACATACATCCTGCCTACATTACATACTTCGTACTTACATCCTATCCTATCCCATCCCATCCTATCCTGCCCTGCCTGTCTGCGTGGGAATTCCCAAGTACGCAGTACGGTAGACACGCGCATCAGTGAGTTCTGTTCTACTTCTCTACCTCTCTGCTAGCCTCGTGTCTCGTGTCTTACCGAACTACCTATACGGTACGGTACCCCCAAGGCAGGCAAACAATCAATCAGTCACTTAATCAATCAATCAATCAATCAATCTGTCAGTCAGTCATACCATTACTGTCCTGCCAACAGTACAGTAGCCCAGTCTCATACATACATACATACATACATACATCCCCATTCCATAACCTAATCCTCCCCCTCCAGAGAGAGACACGGGCCCGATCCCACCCCTCCCCAGGCCTCTGGTGCTGGTGCGTACTGGTTCTGTGCTGCGCTGTGCGTCTTCTGGCCGCGACCCATCCAAAGTGAAAAGGTACTGCCGTGTGGTGTACGTATAGGTATCCGTATCCATACACTGGACTGGTGGCGGTACTTGGCCCTCTTGTTCTTGTCCCCCAGGTCCCAGGCCCCAGGCCCTCCCTCTTCTACCTCGTCCTCGTGTACCTACCTGTTCGTCTCTCTGTCCCTGCACATTCCTTACCTCATCCCCGCCCGCTCAGGTCACCCAACCCCAACAACACACCCCAACTAAACAGTACCGTACTACGTAACGCTCAGCTGCACTGCACTCGCGTATTTGCGCAGAAAAAAAAAAAAGTACCAACCAACAACTTCTGCCCTACCCACCCTGTACCCTGGACTTCTCTGACTTCCCTGACTTTCGTTGCCTATACAAGCTTCCGTGTACCTGCACGCTTCGTCACTTCGCGCGCCCTCTCCTGGTCACTCTCACCTGGTCGCTTTTGTCGCCTTGTCGCTTTGTCCCTTTTTCCCTGATTCACTGCTGGTGGTGTTTGCTTGCTTGCCCGAAGGCCTCTAACCACTCTATACATTAGTTCGCGACAAAGTCACCCATTACCCAGCCAGCCCTCGAGCACAGCAGCGTGGGGAACCTGCCACTACGTCGTCTACAGACCAGCAGCACCAGCAGCAAAGTAGAGCAGAGTAGAGTTGTACCTACCTACTTCCACTTGCCCATTGCCTTCGTCTGCTTCCGGTTGTCGTTGTGACGCGCTTGTGTTTTCCGGCACCAACGCACGCTCTTTGCCATTGACTTTTGCCTCTTCGACACTGGTCCAAGTACCTCATCGGAGCCCCGTGCTTGCTTCCGCAGGCCGCTTCATCAATCAAGGTCGCTAGTCGTCAAAACAGTAGCCGGTTAGTCATCTCGTTCGTTTTCGACATTCAATCAATTATCTTGTCATTTATTTTCATTTCGCTTTGCGCGTCGGTTCTTTTCGCCTCTGTTATCCTGCATCTGGTTTTGGTCTACGCGTTTCCCGCGTTACACGCACTGGCGCGACACGCTACGGTACACTTAGTACTGGGCCCATGCGCCTACAGCCTCTAACCACTACCATCCCCTCCCCTCCCCTCATGTACCGACCCTTGTATCGAGGTATCCCCTCGACTCTTCATTCCATGTTATACAAGTTACACAGCAACCGCTTTCACCATCAATCGTCTTGTATGTCATCGGGCTGTACTACAGACTCACTGCCTTCACACATGTATTTGTCCATTTCATCTCATCTCATATCATCTAGCAATCTTGTTCTTTCCTTGTCCTTGACCGTTGGTCTGAGAATGAGATTGGCTGTTTAAATTGTCTGTCACATATCCCTTACTGTCATATTTCCCTCCTTGTTCTTTCGTTCCGAAGTCTTGTCTCGAGAATTGTTTTGTTGCACGTTGGGGGTTTTTTCTCTGTATATACTGTTCTTGTTCGCGCCCAAATCTTGTATCGGCTCAAGTGTGCATGTATCTTTCAGGTTCACTTGCCTGCGTTTCACACATGATATTGACTGCATTTGTCGTGTACTAACTATACTACACTCACACTCGCCTGTACTTGATCAAGATTGCTTAGCTGACACAAACCTACCCACAGATCATGCAGCAGTGGCAGGTAGGCCCTGTGCCGGAGTACCTCTACAGCTCCACTTCACATCAGCCTGAGATGCAGTGAGTACTATGCCTTTTGCTATACCTTCCTCTAACGCCTAGCCCAACATCATCATGCACAACCTATACTACCGCCAAGCCCCTCATCCATCGAGCGCAATATCTGCCGCTTCCCATTGATCGCCTCCCCTTTCAGCAGCTGTATTCACTTCTTGCTACGTTTTTGGCTTGCCCAATACTCGGGTTCAGCTGAGCATGCAGCCTTGCACGGCCCCATACACGCCGGACGGAATGTCTTGCTGAATACTTTCGTATACATTCCCTACGCATGCACTGCGGGTCTGTGAGCGCTGCTTCTGAGCAGCCAGGAGGTGCTACCAGCGCTTCACGCCTATTTCTACTCTTGGTGTGCAATTATGTGACCGGGAAGAAACGAGTGTCCTCTTCCACAGTCATGGAGAGATGAGCTCTTCCGCAGCCTCTTTCCTTAGCTGCTCGCTCTTGCACCTGCTTATGTGCCTAGTAGCACGCTGGGTCTACGTTGTGTTAAGATGGTGCTCAGATATTTTGTTCAGTATATGATCGGGCTACGATACTAACCATTCTCCGATTATAGCACGACACACCCTTATCAGCCTGATATGTCACGCCGTAATGAGTTTACTGGCTACCCTACGCCGGGTCAGAATCCTGCTGCCCAGCAGCACCCGCAGCATGGCCAGCAACACCATCAACAGCAGGCGCAGCATGGCCAACATCAATCGCACCAAACGCATCAGACTCATCAGTCTCATGCTCAGCATGGTTCGCATGCGCAGCACCAGCAGCAGCACACGCAGCATCAGTCACAGCCACAGCATCACCAGCAGCACCATGCTACCCCTGTGCCCCCGCCAATCAATTTGTCGACATCAACTGCAACGACTACACCACAGCAGTCTACTCCCACGCAGACTCCGGCTCAACCAGCCGCTCGTGGCCGCAAGAGGCCAGCCCCTGGGCATCAGCAAACTACACAACAGTCCCACCAGGCCGGCCACACTCAGCCACACGCGTCTACCCCCACTCCAGCATCTGCTGCCTCTACTGCTCCGGCCACGACAGCTTCGGCTCCCATGCCGTCGACCCCGGCTACTGCGGCTACACCTGTTCCAGCCCCATCAGTCGCTCAGCAAACTCCCGTCCCTGCACCAACCCCTGGGTCTGAAGCTGCGGAGACCCCTTCACAAGCTCCCCCGGTCAAGAAGAGTCGCACCAACACACCATGGACGCCGGCTGAAGAACTGAGACTGAAGCAGATGCGCGATGCAGGTAACAGTTGGGCGGAGATTGCCAAGGTTTGTTCAATTCTAAGTGCTCGGATGGGCATGACAGCTAACTCGATGTTTGCCAGACTTTCCCAACAAGAACAGAAGGTAGCGTGAAGAAGCATTGGTACAAGGTAGGTTTGGATCTCTGAGAAAGTAGAGATCTGGGCGTGGATGCTAATGAGATCAGGATATGCATTATGCCGAATTTGCCGAGGATGAGAGCCAGGCTCTGCTCAACGCTATTAAAGATTACGAAAACAACAAGTGGAAGACGATTGGTCAGAAAGTTGGCAAACCTGCAAAAGTCAGTACATCTTAGTCACATATCATGAGCTCGGCTAACTTGTGGTACACTACAGGCCTGTGAGCAGTATGCGAAGGAACACTTTCCTGATCACTTTGCAACCCAAAAGGTACGTTACACGCCGTTGCTCTCTTTTCTTTGACTCGGCTCTGTGGAATATGAGTACTGAACGATATCCCCTCTAGGCTTAATAAATGGCTGTCAGGCTTGTTACTCGTGTGGGCGACGGTTTCATGCGCAAGTGCGCCCATTGTCAACGAAAGGCATCGGATTTAAAGGCCTAGCTCGGTAACATTGCCGCTATACCAATGAATATTGAGCATGTTCTACGGCTGCATGACTATATTTCTCGTATCCTGGCACTCGTGCTTCGTACCGAATCTCGACCATGGAACATTCACTATCAAGCTTGGATGACATTGTTGCTTTGCCTAATTGTACGACTTCTATCGGCGTGTCATGTTGTCACGTCACTGTATCATCTTTTGAGCTATTATGTAGCTTGTTTTGCTGTTCTCAGCATCGCGAATCTCCGGACATACTATGAACCATTCATATAGATGGCTGAACAGAGCGTCGCCAGACTCAAATTGCCAATGTTCTGATGAACAGCAGGGTCAACGACGACTGTAAAGCTAGTGCCGAGCACAGAAGGACCTCGTAGACATTGCTCCAGGATTCGCTCACTTCGAGTATCGCAGAGCAGTCTCTACGTTGCACCTGATTTTTCTTTACAAAAGTTGTTATTCTTCAGAGCATCATACCCATCTTGCGTTCATGGTGGAATAAGGACAATCATAGGAACAGAATTTCTGTAGAACAGGCCTTCTACCTTTTTTTTCCCCCTAGGTTCACGGAATGACTCTTATCATCCACTCGTTTCACCTTGGATTGTGGCGGTGTATTCAAATGAGGGATGGTATCAGATAGGAAGGAAATGAACGCTGGTCGGACGGATTGATTGATTGATGAAGGTGTCGCAGGGAGGGAGGATGAATGGGTCCGGTGGTGTTCTTTGATGGTTTTCCTTGATTGATTGATTGATTCCTGGAGGTATCTCCCATAATTTCAACTAGAGCTCTGCCGCAAGGCAGATTCAATGGAATGGTTTCTGTTAGGTTTCGAAACGTGTGTTTTGCTTGGTTCTTCTTAAATACCTAGCTAGTTACGATAGCGACGGTTTTTATGTTACGTTCTCTAGGCCCGTCTACCCGTGCTGAGTAGATGACTGACTGACTGACTTTATATATGATTTTGCGCTTTTATTGTAATGTAATCAATCAAATCATGTGCTTGTTCACTTAGGTAGGTAGGTAGATATCAGAAGGGCTGTGCAATAACAAGGTAGGTATACAATATAGTAAGACTTTCATTGTGTGTGTGTGTGTGTGTGTGTTGGCACAAGGTCTAAAAGGTCTGAAGTCAGAAGACATTCAGACGGACTTCTCTGACTATATATAGTGTATGTATGTATTTATCTATCTATCTATCTATTGTCTCGTTTGTTCTCCTCCGCCCTGATACCTGATAGTAGAGTAGGTAGGTATATAGATTTGGGATTGGTCTTGGGTTATTTCTCTCCCTGGATTAAGGTGCTGTTTTTACATACAGGAGATAAGAATTTCAATGCTTGGTCTTTTTTTTTCTCTACGCGTGAGATTTCTCGGTGAGGTTGTATGCTTCCTTGATGAGTTCTTGGATAAAACTTGGTAGGTGCGTGATGTATGATTTTGAGTTTGTGCGGCTTGGGTGAGTGGAAACAGGATTTGAGAGACATATACATACTCATATCCCGCTCATCTCCTACTCCTACTCCCCTCCCCCGTCTTTTTCTCCCTGTATGTAATGTTGTATATGTCATGGTCTGCCTGTCTGTCTCGTTGTCAGTGGGCTGGATGGCTGGATGGCTGGTTAGGTAGGTATGAATGGATGGATGGATGGATGGATGGATGGCAAGCAAGATGGCGTGGCTTGTATCGATACCTCACTCGTCATGTAGTATCTTTATCTAGTGCCCGGTATCTATTGTCTATCATATGGCAGGCATCAGGCATCCAGCATCTATCTAGCATATGGTGTCCGTCAAGTCCTATTCCGGCATTGATGTTCTATGAGCGTTCCTCTAGATACTACCTTGCTGGAAGCTAGTCTGCCATAGATATAGCTGAATACCTCGGGAGCTGGGTAGTTGAGGAGCCGAGGAGCTGGGGTAATAGCATCGATTGATGGGGCACGCTTCTAACTCCTACTCCCATGCCCTGTTCTTCTTCTTCGTCCTTAGGGTGTAGTATTCAGCATCCGGTCGGGTTCTCTCACGACATTCTCTGAGCGTCTTTACGTAGCTAGAAGCTAAGGAACGCATCGACCGACAGATGGAGCACGCTCCTACGCCCCTCTTCTTTTCCTTCTTCGTCACGCGGGATTACAATGGAATGTCACGTACATCGACATAACGCTCTTCTGCCTTCTTCTCCTTCTCCCAGGCCTGGACATCACCACCGTGCATCATGGTATAATTGTCATTCGACGCAGACCTGGACGGCGACGAGGAATTGGGGACATCTTAAGCTGGATAGTATACCCTCGTCATTGTTGCCGGAACAGAAATGTATACTGGCGATGTCAAAGGCAAATTTCTTAGGGTATATAAGTTCGTCTTCTACTTCTACTTCTACTCTTGCGATATCGATTTTATCAGACGAGAGGAAAGCGGTGTCTTCTGAGGACCGACGGGATAGGAGTAAAGGGAATGGAAGAAGTGGATGGGAAAGGGGTGGAAGGGAGGATATGGGAGGGGACACCGTGAACAGCAGAGTGTTGTTCGTGGGCGTGTGCATTTTCCGCTTGGATAGGGAGACGCTACAACCTGCTGTGCTGCTGATACGCCGCCGCGAACCGAAGTCCCCGGGTTGTTGCGCGTTCGCCACGACGAAGACCAGGGCGGCCACCGGGTGTGAAGAGGCGGGAAGGCAAAAGGAAAAACAGAGGAGGAAGAATCGGAGACAGACGCATGTGGTTGGTGAGTGGGAATTGCCTGGGGGAAGAGTCGTGGACGACGATTTCTGTATCTCGGCTGCTGTTGATCGGCTTGTGAGGAGGATGCTTGGGTTAAAGGTTACGAAGATCATGGTCATGCTTTCGAGTATGGAGTGGAGTTATGAGGACAGGGTTTCGGGGTGGAGGAGAGGTGGGAGAGATGGTGATGGGGAAGAAAGTGAAGGGAGTGAGAGTGATGACGATAAGGGCTTTGGTTCTTCAACGGATTGCATTGATTCCGGTAGTGGTGATGGTGATGTCGACGAAATGAGTGAAGGTGATAAAGGGCAAACACAGAGTACGAGTCAAGTTAGCGCCAGCGGTCACGGAGGCTGGAATAGGGATTCTACGTCCGTTTCCGGGTCGGTGTATTCGACCGATGAACGAATTGGCCGTGCGGAAAGTGAGTGGGATCCTAACGAAAGAGTCACGCTCAACACGGGTATGCCTGAGAATTACCAGAGCTCGCCACCCTCATCACCATGGACACTCGTTCGACCGCTATCCTCTTCCGATCCCGATCTCCGTTTCGACTCTACTTCCATCCCACCACCATTGCCGCCTAGACATCGTGGACGAGGTGGTCATGGTTATATACAAGAACATACAAATGAGCATGGGAACAGCAATATCAACAACAGGAATAATCACAAAATTAACAGTAAAAAGAACAATCACTACAATAAGAATAGAAATAATAGCGTCGCTACGTACCTGTACGACTCAGGCTCCGACCACGATCCGTCGCTTGAACCAGCACCCCTCTGTGTGCCGAGGAAACCTGTTGCGGGAGCAGCGAGAACTATAACGACTACTGAAACTATACCACTGAGAGCAGAGAAGGAAAAAAAGGGAAATGAGAAAGAGGGAGAGATAATAGATAACCCTTCCCCTTTCCGCACCCGCGGTCGAAGCAATACGGCGTCGTCCACGACATTATCGCTGTATGACGATTTTAATCCCGGGTCTGAAACTACGAGGACGAGGTCGAAATCGAAATCGAAATCAAGAAGTAGAGGAGGACTGAAACGTAACGCGCAAATGATTCCGCATGACGTCGTGCGGAAGACGTGTATGCAGTTGAATTTCGGGGTCATTGTTGACGAGGACAGTGATGGTGGTGGTGGTTTTCTTGGTGAGCGTCGTGATGATGATGATGGTTATGGCGAGGATGATGATGATCATAATGGGAAGAAGAAGAAGAGAGCTGAAAATGGGGGAGAAGAAAAGGGGGAAAGAAAAAGTCAGGAAAGAGCAGGAGCAGGAGTACAGAGAATTAAAGGGGTTGATGATGGTGATTTCGGTGGTGATATGAGAGAACGAGAAGAAAGAAAGAAAAGAGGAAGAGGACGAGAGGGTAATGGAAGTGGAAGTGGAGGTGGAAATGACTTCTTCTCCTTCGAATGGGCGACGTGCGCACGCGTGCGCGAGATGAATATGAGCGAGGATCTGAGGACTGTTGTGCTTGAGGGCTTGGGTTGGATGGCTGAGTTGAATGGACAATTCTTTTGATGTTTTTGCATGAAGGGAAGGAATGTGTGGATTTGGCGCCGGTGAAAGGAAGGAAAGGAAAAGGGAGTGGTTTTTGGTATTTTAGTATTTTGGATTTAACTATAGAGGAGATGGATATATGGTAATTAAGACTTTTGGAATTATTGCGCGAGTCGATGAGGCTTTAAGAGGCTTTGGGGAGTAGGGTGTTTAGAGTTCGTTTATTATTTATAAAGATTAATTACATTTTGAGCTAGATGCTCCCTCTCTCTCTCTCTCTATAAGATAGGGGAAGGAAGGAAAAGGGGTAAAGCGGCCAGAAAAGGGAAATAAGAACAATGTTCATGATAGTAATTTATTGTTTCTGAAGGGAATTTTTAAAAGCAGAGGATGAAATTAACAAGAATGTTTTGTGAGGCTTGTTGATGCATGAAATTGGGACAGGAAATATACATACTTGAGTAGGTAGCTAGGTAAGTGATAGCGAGATTCATCTTAGGTGTAGAGTATGAGGTTCACGATGATGGGGCTGATTTCACTTATTGGTCTATCTTGCCGCTCACTTAAGGGATTAGATACACACATATATGTAGATAAATCATAACTACATGTACTTAAATAGATGAATAATACACCGCAGTTTTACTGTTTTCATATATCTTATTACAGTATTATAGACAAGCCTATTTTTCTCTAAAGTCTGACTGAGGCATTTACTGCACCTTACTCACTCTAACGCACTGATCATATATATATATATATATATATATATATATATTGTGCAAATTCAATTTATCTAGAGAGTTGATCCTGGCGGATGTACGTGGCCCGACAGGTACGGCACAGCACAGATCGGCTATGAGAACTGGGGTCATTGAAAGGTTAAGCACAGCTGAGGCACAATGCAGCGGTATCCTGGGAGGTCTCAATGCTTATTTTTACGTATGACGATTAACTAGATGTTTCATAGATACTGTATCTATTCCAAGTACGCATAGGTATTCGTATGTAAGTGCTTATATAGGTAGGTGAGTGTATTCATAGCTAGACAAGATGGAGATAATCTGTTTCATGTAGTTAGAAGCTAGAAATGATCTACATGATACTTGTTGCTCGCTGCTGACTTACTTGCCTGTCGAACCTGTGTGTTGCGTATGTAGATGATAAGGGAGGACATGATTGAGATCTGCACATCTAGGTAAGTATGTATTACCCTGTTGCAGACTACCTATTCCTTAGGTAGGCATCAGCTTTTACACCATTACGATCGGAAGACCACCGCACCCCATCATGAAAAGGAAGGACATGAAACAAAAACCCGATAGACTTGAAGTCGTATCGCTACGTCACAGCAGATTCGGCACTTCGATCACGAGCCGTGCTTGGCTATTCTTGGTAGGTATATACCATCGGCGGCTATTGGTGATGGGGGAATTCCAAAGAGAACAAACAAAGCCAGTGTGGAGAAGAGGGTAGAATACGAGGTAGTCGAGGTGGGAAGAAAGGATATTGCGGTGGCCACACACTACACCGGAAAGAGAAGTTGGGATCGAGATTTCTGACACAGTCGGACTTTTTGATTTATCTGGTGTAATTCAGATGACTATTACCATGTAAACTAGGTATACGATGCTTCGCTGTCTCGTTATAGTGATCTCGGTACCGCTTCTCTCGAGTATAGTACACTAAGCCTAGGCAGTTAGACATGACCAATTGCTGAGTGGTACACTATGTAAGTACCTACAGTACCTACAGTACCTCCTTGCATAGCACATTGCTTAGCATGAATGCTACCTTTGATAGCATCATCACGTACACCATCTATAAGTATACCGGGTAAGTTGTTTACTATCTCGATACATTCAAGTCTACCTATACATAGTATGTATATCCTACCCGCATAAGATCTGTGCCTAGTCGATAGTGTACTATTACGGGGTATCATGATGGTGCTGCTAAATTCTGCTAAAGGTCTGCTAAGGTACAGAGGGTTCTGGGGACTTGGAGAGATGGAGATGGAGTAGGTACCTACACTAGGTACACTAAGATCCACCTCCACAAGTACTAATATACACTAGTACCTAGCACAACGGCTATCTGATGGAGAGACTTGGCAGACGATGGCTGAAAACGTTGCATCGGGGAGTTCTAATTTAGCTGTCGTGGCACGATACCTACTTATGTACCTACTTTGCATATCCTCGGTTCTTCTCTCTTGTTTGCGGCGTCAGGTACCTACCGTATAGTGACCACTATCGATATCCCTGATGATGGCGCCTGAATGTACGCCTGACAGCTTCCCAGATAGGATGTTCCCCCTGTCCAGAGAGCCCTGTGCTGCCCTGTCTTTCCCTGTTCTTTGTTCTTTTAGTGTGTTCCAGTAGCGCCACACTGGTCGTGTACTATCAACGTCCCTGCCTTCATACGAAGTCCCTTAGGTAGGTATTCAGGGCACTAGCCTCTTTCACCACACAAACCTCCTTCTCTTTCGTTTCTCCTCTCCTCCATTCCCCCCCTACCTACCTACACCTACCGACCTCATATTCATTTAATCCACCGACTTGTGCTGGGGCTCTCTCGTTTTCCCCTGCCTTCGTCAATGTTCTGATCCCGATATTACTTGAATATCGGCTTAGACCATTCAGGGACAAAAGGTCAAGATAGCTGTGGCCATACTGTAGTTAATTCTATCGTTTGCCACGTCTGTCTTCTTCACCCCTTCATTCGCTACCCCCATTCCAATCATCGTGTCGACCCGCTAGTTTGCCATCTTCGGGCCATCGTCGTTGTCGTTGTCGTTGTTGTTTCGAGTCCATCGTTTTCAACCCAACCGATCACGACACTCCAGGAACATCGTCACTCTCGTTGACAAGCCTCCTTCATCGTCTTCTGTCGTCGATTGATTAAACCAACGGCATCTGACACAACGTGCTCCATTATCTGTATATAACGCCGAATACGCCCTACGCCACTAGGCATAAGACACCTCCAAGTCAAAACTGGTGCCGGCTTTGGACTGAAACATAACATTGCTCTGAACCACTTAACCAGCCTAGCGTATCTCGCCTTTGTCTCGGCCCTCGCGCCCATTTGCGTCGTCATCACCGTGCTTCTCACCGCGCCGCCGTATATACCATCTGGTCGCGTTGTTGTGGATTAATCTCTTCTCGCCTCATTAGTATATACCTACTCATCAATAGCCCCCCACGTAATATTATAATACCAACCCCTCCGGCCTCCGGTTGACGGGCATCCATCATGGTGCCTTCAGTTTCGACCTTGGCCACCCTGGCCTTCTTCGGCACGTCGGCTGTCGTTGCTCAGAATACTCCAACTTGTTCACTAACCCAGAAGTGCCCTGAAGAGTCGCCTTGCTGCTCCCGTACGTCTTCGGCCGTCATCTGTCTGTTTCACTTAGCCGTCGATTGTGACTAACGTGGGCGTGTGTGTGTGTGTAGAATATGGACAATGCGGTGTCGGTGCGTACTGCCTCGGTGGCTGCGATCCCCGAATGTCTTTCTCTCTCGACTCTTGCGTGCCAGCTCCTGTCTGCCAGGATAAGACAATGTCCATGAAGGACACGAGCGGAATAGTGGATGTCCAAGATTATCTCGGTGACCCCTCCAAGGCCGATTGGGTATCTCAGGGTGTCCCTCTGACCTACAACGGCAACGTCATTCTAACCATGCCGCCCAACTCGGTCGGAACTGTGCTGGCCTCGACTGTCTATATGTGGTACGGAACCGTCAAGGCTAGAATGAAGACTTCGAAGGATGCTGGTGTGGTCACTGCCTTCATCCTCTTGAGTGATGTTAAAGACGAGATTGATTACGAATGGGTCGGTACCGAGCTCGATATCGCCCAGACCAACTACTATTTCCAAGGCATTCCGAACTGTAAGTATTTTGTTGTTTATGAGTCGCGGATGCGAACGTTTGGGGTACTGATGTTTGGTAGACCACCATTCCGGCAACATTACCAGCCTTTCCAATACCAATACCGAATGGCACGATTACGAGATCCGCTGGACACCCGAGAAGATCGAGTGGTATGTGGATGGAAAGGTGGGACGTACGCAACTGAAGTCAGACACATGGAACGAGACAGCAAACCAATGGAACTTCCCCCAGACCCCGGCACGTGTCCAGTTGTCCATTTGGCCCGGAGGTGCTGCTTCGAACGGAGAGGGAACCATCGACTGGGCAGGCGGCCCCATCGATTGGGACAGCGACGCCATCAAGAAGGACAAGTACTACTATGCCTCAGTCAGCGAGGTCAGCATCGAATGCTACAAGACGGACTCGGGAGCCGGCACGAACTCGGGCAAGAGCTATACGTATGATAGCTGGTTGGGCACGAATAACACCGTTATCGACGGCGACAAGAACACGATCCTCAAGTCCCTACTTGGAACAGGCCTCGACATGGACGCGGATTATCCGAGCGCTAGCGGCAGTTCTGCGCAGACCTCGATGGAGGTCGTACCGGGACTGAGTGGTGGTGGCGTTGGCACGAATGGCCAGGCCGCTGGTGAGGCCCATGGTGGGAATGGTGACAGTGGCAACAATGGTGGTTCTTCCACGCCTGCGAACGGAGGCTCGTCAGATTGTAATAGTGGGTTCTCGCAGGACTGCGGCTCTTCTGGAAATGGTGATGACTCGAATAAGAACCAGGGCGCGAGAACACAGGAACATGCGCTTGGGGCTAGCGCATTTGCTGCTCTTGTTGCTGTTGCGGGGATGCTTTGGTTGTAGAAGATGTGTGTGTTCGTGATGTGATGTGATGGGAAAGTGGGGCGGACTAAGTAGAAAAGAGGAGAGGAGAAGAGGAGGATTATATATACTAAATGAGTTGAAAGCAAGCGAGCGAGATGTTGCGTTTATTTTTATGTGTTGATTGAATGAGACTGAAACTTGAGGCATTGGAAGCGGCGCATTTATCTTTTGAGTTTGGCAGAGGGTTGTAATATGATGGGATGAGATGTACTGGGTGTAATAAATGGTGGTTTGGGTGGGTGGGTGAAGTACCTATTAATGTCTGTCTGGCTGCTCTAGCTGTACGGGTGGATGGATGATGGATATATAGATGAAATGATATGGGATGCTAGGGAATGAGATGATAATTACCTATGTGTATGTGTACTTATTTACGTATAGGCATAGGCGATGGACGTGAGGGGTTTGAGTATATATGTTACCTGTAAGTGAGATGGACTGATTGAACTAGAAGGGAGTGAATGAGTGAGTTGAGTTGAGAGCTGGAGGAAGACTTTTTTTTTTTCCTCTTCAGAAGTATATAGGTGGGCATGTATGTATGCATATATGAGTAGAACTAACTGCATAGATTATGTAGTTGGTAATTACCTACCTACCTAGGTAGTTGTTGGAATTAATTTTTTGAGTTGTTGGTTGGTTGTTAGTTCAGGTATATATACGTGGCTGATATTAAGAGATTACGAGAGTGAGGTAGGTGAGAGGCATAGCTAGAGCAGGCGGATTTGACCCCCATTTTTTAAGGTGTACGTATGTATGTACGATATATGGATGGATGTTACTGCGAATTACCTAGTAGACAGAGTGCGATCTTGTGACGGTTGTCACGAAGCGCTGCCTAGGCAGATTCCGTATCATCTGGGTAGTACTTCTTCAAGTGGGCTTGGCTTGTATGGGGCTGGCTAATTGACTCACTCCATCGTGAAGCATACTGGTGCGGAAACATGTAAAGTTGTTATCTTAGCTTCTATCTGTTCTGGTTACCGTTGATATGTTACTGCTCGCTAGCTAGCTGCTTAGTCGACCTTATTTACTTACTTGCTTGCTTACTTACGTATGTATGTATGTATGTATGTAGGTATGTAGTAGGTATGTAGGACTGACTGCCTTCCTGATAGTGACAAGTCGAATGGAACGCGATATGCGCGCTAATGGTGAAGAGGGAATGAGGTTGGGTATGTGTGAAACAATCGCGCCCCCGCGTGAGTGACGTTACAAGTAGGTAAGAGAGGTAATGTTAGCTAGCTCTGCCCTTTCTTCGAAATTTGGGGTTTCCTCGGGCCGACTAGGTTGATTGATAGATCATAGAGATTCGTTCATAGTCAGGTAGAAAGGGCCTAACCTTAGGTAAGCCAGAGGTAATACCTACATGGTAGTGTAGGTATGTACGATATTCGAAGCGCCCCCGATTGATTGAAACCTCGTTTCTCCTGATGCACCTAGGTAATTTGTCGTTGTTTGGCAGTGCAGATAACTACTGTGTAGGTCACATATTCGTAGGTGTAGGCGACTTTCTCGTCCAATCAGACTCGTCAATACGACTTGTCTTCGGACAACACAGCTGGGTTTGACCGACTGGGCTCCCTTTGTGTCGGGCGGCGCTTCAACAAGGCTGATGGGGAAATGACCGGACGTGTATGAAGAAATTGTTGGTTTTATGTACGACTGCATGCAGCGTACATTATGTTTTTCTTTCTTTAGTTGTTTGCTGTACTGTATGTTTGAGGTTTTTTGGTCCCCGGCTGTGGAAAATGATATACGCCCTCTCACCTGGTTACATGGGTCTTTTTGGTGAGCTGTGAGCCTATCGTTTCTGAGCTGTCGCGCTGTCATGCTACAGCGTCGTTCATGGCAGGGCAGAACAGAACTACCTACTATAGCTAGGGAGGGATTTATCTATCCATATTGGATTTGTTTCTTCATGGGGGCTAGAGGATCTATGCTGCTACTATACAGTATGATGATACTTGCTGCATGCCATGCCATGATGCAAACAATCCGTTGGAGGTGGCTTGTCGAATCTTGGGTGAAGAGCAAATAACAGCCAACGAAACATGAAGCTGTGATAGACCCCCCGACCGAGGGCTAGGTAGATTCTTACGTCCGTATGTGCGTCTGCGCCTATCTGATCTGTTGAATTTTGCAATTGACGTTAGCTGAGCCCTCCGGAAAGATACTTATCCTTTGCTTTGAACCACCCATGATTCCTATAATTAGCAGAGAATATAAGGGGCTCCGAGGGGCGTCCGTTGAACGACCCCAGAACCACCCGGTACCTTGACAACTTGACAAGATGTGGGTAAGGCTGTGTGTGTCTGTGGCCAGTAGCTGGCCTCTCTCTTGCCTCTGAAGCTCTGCTAAGCACCGTCGATCGTCGCTTGACCCCTGACCCCTGACCAGAATTGGCGGCTCGGCTTCCAAGTCACTAGACGCCCCCAAAATGACTGGTCCTGGCCAGTTCAAAAGGGAAGGTAGATAGGTAGATGTACGGCTAAACCGACATTTTGGTTGGAAGCGCATGAATAGAGCAAGTGATATATGTCATTTGACTGCTATATAACTCGGGTAGGATCCGCGCAACATCATCGCTTCATTCCAGTCATTTCATCCATCCACCCATCCATCTTCCCGCCCTCATCCCATTTCAATAACCGACTACCCCACAGTCTTTTACATAGGTGTTACCTATCGCCATCACAACTGTGTTGTTCATTTCTGATTTCTGGTTTCTATTATCTTATCTGGTAAGGCACCACATATTCCGAGTCATTCTTCTCGCTTTGTTAGACATCTCAAGAATAATAGAGAGAGCTTTGGACTAATCAGAGGGGTGCCTAATAGCCAATCAATTAACACCCAACTTGATTCATTCTTTGACGTGCTAGCCACCTTTTCTAAAAGACAACCCTACCAACGTATTCCCCTTCAGTTGTCTATACTTATCCATCCTTCGTTGATCGAAGAAAGAAGACCAAGAGACGAGCGGACAAAATCACTTTTGTCTGGCCATTGTGAGTACTCTCTTTATTGCCCATCAAAGAGCCTCGACAAGTCATTGTGGCGATACCTTGGATTTGTCAAGGATATCAAGCAATTTCCTCGGCGGCGACATATAAAATAGACACCACTCGGTGTCGAAGTCCTACCTACCTACCTATCGACATTTATTGACATTGATTCTAGACGAAAACATACCTGCATATTGCATAACCCCACTATTACAAAAACACAAAAGCAAACAAATCACACAGCCTTCAAGATGTTGTTTCAATCTCTCACCACTTTACTCGCTCTCGGCAGCATGGCCTCCGCTGCTCCTACTACCAAGGCTGCGGCCCGCAAACTCCTCGTCGGCGGCCCCGGTCAGCTCCTGCTCGCCAACTTTGACGGCACTACGTTCGAGATCACCGGCAAGAACCAGACAGCCGGCACCGCCCCAAGCTGGATGCGCTTCAAGGGTGCCACCAACACCCTGTACGCCGTGGACGAGAACAGCGCCAACCTGAACCTGTTCACCCTCGACCTCAAGGCCAAGTCGGACCCCAAGTACGCCTCCACCGTCGCGGGTTCAGCAGGCGTCGTATTCCTCGAGTTCAACAAGGACCAGACGCGCATGGTCGGCGCCGCCTACGGTAGCGCTACGATCGACGTCTGGGACGTCTCCGCCACCGGCGCCCCCAAGATCTTCAAGCAGATCCCTGTGAACGGCACCCTTGGACCCGGCCAGACCGCGCACCATCCTCATCAGGCGCTCCTCGACCCCACGGGCCGCTTCATGGTCATCCCTGACCTAGGCGGCGACCAGCTCCTCGTGCTCGACACCAAGGACGACAAATACGAGATCAGCGGCCGCCAGGCGCTCTTCAAGGGCGCGGGCCCGCGCCACGGCAGCTTCATCACGCACAAGACGCACACCTACTACACCGTCGCCTGCGAGCTGAGCAACAAGGTCATCCTCTTCGAGATCACGTACACCGATGCCGGGATGGCGTTCAAGGAGGTCTCGACGCAGTCTACGTACGGCGCTGGCTTCGGCCCCGCGAACGCCACGAGTGCCGCCGCCGGCACCGTCGTCGTCGCGAACTCGGCCGCCGCGAACAAGGTCGACGTGTACATCTCGAACCGACTCTCCGGAAACGCCACGGACAGCATCGCGCACTTCGTGTTCGACGCGGACAGCGTCCGGCTGGACTTTGCGAACTCGGTGTCCTCCGGGGGTATCTTGCCCCGGGACATGAGCCTCTCGAAGGACGAGAAGGTCCTGTTCGTCGCGAACCAGGGCGGCGAGAACGGCCTCGTCGCGCTCCATCGCTGCGGCGCCACGGGCAAGTTGGCGGCTAAGCCGGTGGCGGTCAAGGCGGTCAAGGAACTTGTTGCGCCGGGGCTCGAGGGCCAGGCCAACGTTGGTCCGCAGTTTGTGCAGGAGATTTAGGGGGGCAGATATGCATACCTAGGTATTTACCCATCCTAGTTAAAAGTCCCTTTTTTGTTGGACAAAGGTGTATTTATCTCATTGCATCGCATTTAAGTGGCGTTTTTGGCACGGACGGCGGGCTGGTTCTGTCATGATGCGGATGGGATTGGTGAATGGAATGGAATGAAATAAAATAAAATGGATGGGTATATCTGTAGACATTTTCAATTCAAGTAGTTACTTGATCTTTTGTGAAGAATTCGTGCGTGTTTTTCATTTTGCTTGAGATATTACTCGTGTTCTATATACCAGTCCTCATATTGTAACGTGATGCTATCTACACCTCTCGCAACACTGCAACCGGGCTATACTTAAATTTAGTGCGCATTCAGATACACAGTCCCTTGAGGACGCACTAAGAGCAAGTCACCTAGTTACCCGTCATCCTCACCAAGTACAGGTGTTAAACCAATCCTTAAGAAATAGAATTCAGCATTAAACTTACCTCGAGAACCATACCCCATTGATTGATTGGGCATCGGTCGCGTATTACCTAATAAGGAGCTCGCGTCAGTAAGGAAAGCCGAAGCTCGGCGCGGGGAAGAACTAGATTAGGTACATGTACATTAGCTGCGGATGTGGGGAAGAAAAAAAGGAAAACGAAAAGCGAGTGACGCAAGGCGATGCTTAACATCGGGTGCGTCCCGATTCGCGATATGATGGTGGTGGTAGTGTAGTGCTTTTAGGTCGTTACATGTAAGTGGGATCCTCCCCTCCGTTGCGGGCATGTTTGCTATTCACACCGATTCTACGTCTTATATCTCTTCGCCATTTTTTTATTATTTTATTTTAAGATAACTATATGGTATAGATTAGTTCTTATTTACAATATATAAGGTTGTTGCCTCCACTGGATCAATCGCGAGAATGAGCACCGACGCCTCGGAAGCCCATGAGGGCGGCGTGGGAGTCGTCGACCCTAAGTCTGACGATCAATATATCCGGTTCAGATGTCTGCCTCCTGGCGGCCCGCTGAATAGGTGGTCGCATATTATTACGAGGGAACATGATTTTCCGGCTTCGCAGGTACGTAGTAGTGTTGCCTAAGAGAGAGAGAATTGTGATTGGGGAGAGGAAAGGGGATGAAAATGGGTATGCTGATGAGATTATTGATTGCGATTATCTAGGCTATGCTTTACGGCGCGGGCGTCCCGAATGAGGATATGATGAAGAATGCGCCGCATGTCGGCGTGGCGACGATATGGTGGGAAGGCAATCCTGTGAGTTGATCTTCTGATCGGATGAGCAAATATTATATGTACTCTCATACTGACTAATTTCTGATTTGGCGCATGTAGTGCAAGTAAGCTGATTTCTCATAAACTATTCCTTCTTGTGATAAATGAATCTTTGTTATCGCCATGTTGACAATTCTAGCACACACCGTAAGCTACACATCTCTACATCTTGTTACTGTAGAGGCATGCTGATGAAATCTAGTACTGGAGTTTGGAAAGATCGTGAAAAGAGGCCTGGAGAAGCAGAAGATGCTCGCTTGGCAGTATAATGCTGTGGGTGTTTCGGATGCTATTACTATGGGTGGTGAAGGTAGGGCATTATTAACACTTGGGACATGAACCCCTATCTATCTCTGATGGACATCGTATGGTGAGGACTGATGTGGTGAGCAAAGGAATGCGATACTCCCTTCAATCGCGCGATTTGATCGCCGATAGCATCGAGACGGTGACTTGTGCCCAGCATCACGATGCGAATATTTCTATCCCGGGCTGTGACAAGAATATGCCTGGTGTTATTATGGCTGCCGCTAGACATAATCGGCCGTTCATTATGATTGTGAGGAAACTTTCCCTTCTTTTTCTCTCTCTTTCAATCAGGATTTCAATGTTGAAATAGGCTTAACTGATTTGATACCGGCAGTATGGTGGAACTATTCGCAAGGGTTACTCGAGCCTTTTGGAACGCGATGTAAATGTTAGCACTTGTTACGAGGCTGCTGGTGCTTTCTCCTATGGCACGCTTCAAGCTAAGACGAACCCTGGAGCTTCTGGGCGAACTCCTAGTGATGTGATGTCTGACCTGGAGCAACATGCCTGCCCTGGTGCTGGCGCTTGCGGTGGTAGTAAGTCCTTCTGAATACGTCTCATCTGACTGCTAGATGTGGTGCTATGAGATATATAGACAGTGCTGGATTGCACCTAGCAGTTAATCTGTTCCCCTATGTGAAATACTGATATTTTCCAAATAGTGTACACAGCCAACACCATGGCAACGGCCATAGAAGCAATGGGTCTGACACTCCCCGGATCATCCTCATACCCGGCCCTCTCACCTGAAAAAGCGCGTGAATGCGAGCGCGCAGCCGAGGTGATCAAGACGACGATGGAAAAGGACATCCGACCCCGCGACCTACTCACCAAAGAATCCTTTGAGAACGCGCTCGTCATCACCATGATCCTAGGCGGCTCGACGAACGGCGTACTGCACTTCCTCGCCATGGCCAACACGGCCGAGGTCCCGCTCACCCTCGACGACGTCGACCGCGTAAGCAATAAGACGCCGTTCCTCGCAGATCTAGCGCCCAGCGGACGATACCTCATGGAAGACCTGTACAAGATCGGCGGGACGCCGTCCGTGCTTAAGATGTTGATCAAAGAGGGTCTAATCAACGGAAACATCCCCACCGTGACGGGACGCACGCTCGCGGAGAACGTGGCGGACTGGCCTGATCTACCGCCCGATCAGCCCATCATCCGCCCCCTGTCCAACCCGATCAAAGAGAGCGGACACATCCGCGTGTTGAGGGGGAATCTAGCCCCCGAGGGAGCGGTCGCGAAGATCACGGGCAAGGAAGGACTGAGTTTCACGGGCAAGGCGAGGGTGTTCGATAAAGAGCACGAGCTGGATACTGCGCTTGCGAAGGGCCTGATCCCGCGGGACGAGAATCTCGTGCTGATTGTCAGGTACGAGGGGCCTAAGGGCGGCCCCGGGATGCCGGAGCAGTTGAGGGCTTCGGCGGCGATTATTGGGGCCGGGTTGAAGAATATCGCGCTGGTTACGGATGGGCGGTACAGTGGGGCTAGTCATGGGTTTATAGTACGTTTCTTCTCTTTTTTTTTTTTTTTGGGATTCCTTTCGTTCGTTTATTCGTTCGTTCATGTTTGCATATATATATATATATATAGTTATATGTATGTGCGTTCCATCTAATTTCTTGGTATAGGTCGGACACGTAACCCCCGAAGCAGCAGTCGGCGGCCCCATCGCGCTTGTCGAGAACGGCGATACCGTCGTTATCGACGCTGTGAGGAACCGGATTGATATTACGAATGCCGATGACGCGGTCCTGGATGCGAGGAGGAAGAACTGGAAGCCGCCTGTTCCGAAAGTGAGGCGTGGTGCGTTGGCGAAGTATGCTCGGCTTGTGGGTGATGCGAGCCATGGTGCTGTTACGGATCAATGGGGGGATTGAGGGTGTGGTGAATGAGCGGTTTGGACTGTCATCCGTCTGTTGTTTATTCTACCTGTGGAAGGGGGTTATTTATCCGTGGGAATATCTATCTATTCGTTGGTCTATATAGATAGACACTTTATCAAATCGAGGATCAGCAAGTGATCCCTCAGCTATGAGTTTCTCCAAGTATATCTCGAAGTATATACGTCACTCTGCCCATTACATATATAGCCTTGGACGCAGAGGTTATGACGAGAGTTGAATCATCAAAGTAAAATGAGACAAGGAAAGAAAAGATAATAGGGAAAACATTTGACCATCACAGGCGTTGGATACTGCCTACGTTAGTACTTGGCCATTGTGCTGACAAGTGCCCTCCGTACAGATTCAAATAATTCATTTGATAAATCTAGATATGAATACTGTAGGTTATGATTGTTTAGGTATTTTATTCAGTATTTCCTTGAGACCCTTGATATGGTAGGTCATACATAGCTTCAGGAGACATCGCCAGCTGACAGCATAAGTGTCAGATTGGTCCCAGGTGTTGTGCTTTGACACAAGTGCCAAGCAAGCCGCTAAGCCTGCAAGCTGCAGCAGGCAGGTACAGGCTATGGGCAGGTCGTCCAATCAGGACCATCGACAACGCGAACATTCCAAGTCAAAGATTCAACCCATCCCCAATTTCACAGCCTTCTCAACACTTCCCATTCATCTGAGCCGCCATCGACAGTCCAATTCTACTGAGAATGCTGTGCGCACGTAAGTTGGCCAATGCGACCCCCCTGGTGCCTCTTGTACCTCCCCTATCCTCATACTGACGCGCCAAAAAAACAGTCTCTGGTGAAGCTCCCCAGGAGCCTGTTGTCTCCAAGCTATCAGGCTCCGTCTTCGAGAAGCGATTGATCGAGAAATACATCGAAGAGAACGGCAAGGATCCTGTATCGGGCGAAGACCTCTCTCTTGATGACCTTCTTCCTATAAAATCCGCTCGCGTCGTGCGCCCGAGACCACCCACCCTTACCTCCATACCCGCCCTCCTCTCTACCTTTCAAAACGAATGGGACGCCCTCGCCCTAGAGACATATAACCTCAACGAGCAGCTGGCGCGGACGCGCGAAGAGCTTGCCACAGCCTTATACCAGCACGATGCTGCCGTTCGCGTCATTGCGAGGCTGACTCGGGAACGCGACGAGGCTCGCGATGCCCTCTCCAGAGTTACTGTCACTGCCGGTGCACCTAGTAACGGTGACGCCATGGCTGTCGATAACGAGGGTCTACCGGACGAACTAGTTGCCAAGGTGGATGAGACACAAGCAAGGTGCGTTGAGAAATAGGCCTTGTCGCTAGGCCAGAGTACAAAGCTAACAATGTTTTACCACCAGATTATCCAAGAGCAGAAAGAAGCGGTCCGTACCCGAGGGATGGGTGACAGTCGACGAGCTTACCACCTTCGCCGTCAAAACCTCCAACTCTCTACCCATCACCAAACCTACGACTCTTTCGGCTGAAGGGGGTTATAGTGCTGTTAGTGGCCTGGAGGGCGAGGTGGCTATATACTCGGTCGAGGCGGATAAGCTAGAGCGTTCCTTCACAGTCGGCGAGCCGGTAACAGACTCGATATGGGATGGCCCCAGGCTCTTCTTTTCGACCGCGAAGGGCTCAGTCAAGGTATTCGAGAGTGGCAGCGAGATTGCTTCGTTCACAGAGCATGCTGGGCCAGCTACTGGTCTTGCCATACACCCGAGCAAGGCTATTCTAGCCTCGATCGGAGCGGACAAGAGCTTTGTATTCTACGATCTAGAGAACCTCCAGAAGGCCACTCGTGTCTATACTAATGCTGGTAAGTCTTGCTACATTCATGTGAACCGCCTTGATTGCCAACTGCCATTGCTAATCATTATCCACAGCTCTGACGGCTTGTGCATTTCACCCCGACGGCCACCTCTTCGCCGCCGGTACAGGTGCGGGCGAGATCAAGCTTTTCATGACCAACACGGGCGAAGAGGCAGCTGCCTTCTCCCTCGGCGCGCCCATCCAGGCCATCGCCTTCTCGGAGAACGGCTTCTGGTTCGCTGCCACGGCCAAGGGCCAGACCACAGTCACCATCTTTGATCTGCGAAAGCAAGGCGATGCGGCACAGGCCAAGGTGCTGGACATTGGTAGTGCGGTGCAGCATCTGGCATGGGATTACTCGCAGCAGTTCCTCGCGACGGCGGGGCAGGCTGGCGTCACAGTGCAGCAATACAGCAAGGCTTCCAAGTCGTGGTCGGAACTCCTCGGGTCGGCCATCAGCAACGCGGTAGATGTGAAATGGGGACCGAATGCGGGCAAGCTATTGGTGGTGGACAGCGAAGGTGTCATCAGTGTACTGGGACCTACGGAGTCTTGAGGTTTTGATTGGTTTAGCTGACTAAAAAATAATCACGGATCGAGCGGTCTTTCGAGGTTGGACTCTATTAGCTGCGTTACGCGAGGTCGGAGGATGCATGGCGACACGATGCGGCGCGTATGTAGAGGTACCTACCTGCCTACCTGCTGTGTGTATATCATAAAATGTGAATGATACCTATCTACCTACTTACCTATCTATCCAACTATCTATTTTACATGGGACGTTGAAGTTTGGATGATAATGGAGAGGATGTCGAGTGAATTCGGTGCTGCGATTGTGATTATGAAGAGTTTGATGATCGAATGTTTCCGAGTAACCTGTCATATCTCATTTACCGCCTCCGTGCTAGTGGTACCGGAAAGCAAAGGGAGTCTGAGATTTTTTTATCTTTTTATTTTTATTTTTGTTTAGTTATTGTGAGTCTGTACTTAGTTAATATCGTAAATACATGAGGCATTCAAGTATTGTACTCTTTTCTTTCCTGATTTTTAATACTTCTTCTCCATTTATAGTAGTTATATATAATGTATAGTAATAGAATGCCACGAATAGGCGATCAGTTGGCGACTAGGATGAAGATCCGACATATGCACGAATGGGAACTATTGAACCATTTGGTTTCAGACATTTCCATTCCAATCATTGCCGGTTTACAGTATGTGCTACAGTGTATGTACATGATAGGTAGAAGTGTGCATATTAAATCAAGTATTTTGTCCATTTTGTACCTGTTGTACTGTAGGTACTTGTACTGTGTAGGTATCTGTAGGTATGTATGTATGAACGTGACTTGAGGCTGAGACTGACTTGTTTGTACAGGGCTGCAGCTCCCAAATTCCCAGCTCGCACCTCATCGCAGCTCTCTCTCCTCTCCCTTCGACCCTCATTTGACCAAACAAACATTTACTCGTGTCCCAAAGGCGACACGGTCCATTCTCAGCGACGCGTCAGTCCGCTCTCGTCGGTTCTTTGAGTGATTGATTGATTGGTCGATTCATCCCACCCGCTGATTCGATTGTCCATATCCAATTGTCCAATTGTCCAATTCTCTTGCCTTGGACACGGACGGCCTTGGACCATTGTTGCCTCGAATTATTGTGGTCCTAGATACACCTACACAGTAGTAGACAGACACAACAAAACCTTAGCTTATCCCCGACAATACCGGTCTCCTAAGCCGTCTTGCAGCCCTCTTCACGACATGGTCGCCACAGTATAATACAGACATACATGTCCTGGCCTTTACCTATTATTGTTTACATGTGCATGTAAATGTAATTTAATAACCGGAACATTCCTTCTCCATCTCTTTGCCACCACCACCTCCACCACGGCCACCACGGCCACCACACGTTTTGACCGCCGTGCCTACCCGTACCTTTTTTATTATAGTAGCCTCGCTATCAATGACTCGGAGCACCTACCACTAGCCTTATAACTGGGCCACAGCCCATTCGGTTCCTCTTACTTCTGGCCATATACAAAGGCATGGCAGAGATACCCAACTCCGATACTCCAAGCGCATACGCCTCTTCTTCTATCCCCCAATCTCCAACCCACAACCCATACGACGGCCTCTTGTCCGATGGTGATTCTTCACGAGACGGTTCCGAAGAGCACGAGGACAGCGATTTGGATCTGAGCATCGACTTAAACGACCTAGACGACGACGATCAACCTGATTCCGCCGAACAATCGCCAGGGGAAGAGGACGACGAAGACGAAGACGAAGACTTTTTTGACCACGACCTCGACTTTGACGATGACCTTGATATGAGGGACGTTGACGTCGACTTGGACTTTGGAGGATTTGGGTTTCCCGACGACTACGAAGACGACGACGACGACGAAAGGCTGTTTGTAGACGACTATCTCGACTTCCCCGACGAGTTTCACGACGACGACCAGTTCAACGTCCTACAGCAGGCATTTATACACCAGCTTGAACATCAGCTCGCGCATGAACCTTGGGGCGCTATCATGGACCACCATCCTCACCCCGCTCAGCCTGCGCGGCCCGGACCCCAGAGAGACCAACTGGTACAGGTCGAGGTAGGGGGCCAGGCGAATGCCGCTGGCGCAGCCGGAGGTTCGCGAAGACAGCAGAGGCAGCCGCCCCCCGACATTATAGATCTCACCGGTGACGACTCCCCAGAGATGCAACAACCTCGACCTCCGCGCGTCGCGCAACCAAGACAGTCAGAGAATCAAAGGAGGCTACGCTCGCAGCCACAGAACGCCCCTCCACGACTAAATCGAAGTGACGGAAGCTACGTCGATGACCAACAACATGTCATTGTCCTATCGGACTCGGATGACGAAGACCAGCCTATGCGCGCCTCGCCTAGGAGGAATCCACACCGCCACGCCCACCACCACAATCATCCCGAAAACAACATAGCCGCCCGGAATGTTAGAAACGCCAGGTTCGGCGACAACCTTCGAGAACTACCAAGGCCTGTGCAAGCACACCCTCTCAACAATGCCAACGGCAACAATAATAATAACCACCTGAATCCGAATAATACCTTTGGCCGCCTGCGTCCTTTCTCGCAACTTATTCAGAATAGCCCGCTTTTCCATCTTTTCGGTGTCAATTCCGCCTTGAATAATCACAACCATCATCACCATAACTACCACAATCACAATCATAACCCGGACGACGACATTGTCATTACTGGTGAGCGTAATGTCGGCAATTTCGGCCCTTTCGCCGGTCCACGCCATCTCCTAGGCATCGAGCCCATACACCTCGACTACGGCGCCCACCCTTTCCCCGCCATACAACCTCCTCCCATACCACCTGTTGCTCCTCCCAAGCCCGCACACGAACCCCCTAAACCCGCTAGACCTGGCTTCACCCGCGATACGGGCGAGGACGTGGTCGCTATCTGCCCTAGCTGTGAACAGGAGCTGGCGTATGATCCCGTAGATGACGATAACAATCCTTCCGGTGCAGCGCCGAAGAAATCAAGTCGTTCCAAAAAAGCTATGGCCGAACATCACTTCTGGGCTGTCAAGGCCTGTGGTCATGTAAGTAACCTACCTACCTACTTTGATGATCATTTTGTTTGCGTACTTCAATTTTAGTGGCAGCCCATGTGTCGACAGCGATTAACCTCTGCTGGTATAGGTCTACTGTAAACGATGTTTCGACAATCGTCGAGCTACTGCCAAGAGCAACGTCCAAGTAGCGTTCCGCGCAGGCGACGAGAAGAAGATCTTGTGCGCCGTCGAGGATTGCGACTCGGAAGTTAGTGGGAAAGCTGCTTGGGTGGGCATCTTTATGTGATTGTGATGATGGGTGCGGTGCGGTGCAAGAAGGACCCTACCTACCTATCTACCTACCTACCTACCTACCTACCTACCTACTTAGGCGATCGATCGAATTACCCGGCAAGGCAACGAAGTGCGGATGATTATCGTTGTTGTTGTTGGGACTGTTTAGGGGATTGCGAGGAAGGATTGTTTTTACGAAAATACCTCCGTAAATCATGAATACCCGGTATTGATTGATTGGTTTTTTCTCCCTTCTCGGCTTGAGTTTGTCCATTGAGTGAGCTAAGCCGAGGGCATTGCATTGCATGGCGTCGATGGGTGATTTCAGGGGTTAGGGGCAAGGGCTACGATGATGGGAATTGCATGGTATGATATAGTATGGAAATCAGTGGCACGGGATGGAGACGCGATGACGATGGGATGGGGAATGAATTCTATTTGGATTCATTCTTCCCCTTCTTTGACTCCGATGCACATGGTATGAGGGCATGGAATAAGGAACCTGTGTGTATGTATGGATGGATTAGCGTGAGTTTTATTATTTATACCCAAGTTTCGAAGCGTATGTATGTGTGGATTGATGGATGGATGTGGTTGTGAATGTGAATGTGAATGCAAGCGAAGGAATATTTGGGGGGAGGGGGGTTAGAAGAGATACATGAAGTGGGAATAGGGGAGGGAGAAGGGGGAGAGAGGGTGTATAGATGGATGGCCCGTTGGACCTGAATGAGTAAATAGCCTTCCTTACCTTGTCTGCGTGACCTTCGTTACTGGATGAATGAAGATACTTAGTGAACCGATGTGATGGAAAACCCTGTGGGAAGAATATCATCATGGGAAGTGAAGGGGGGTTTCTGACGCTGCGGCGTCGATACGGACCTAGACGGTCTAGTGCCTATATCACAGAGAAGATACGTAAAGCTTGGAATCTAGGCAATTCAGATTATAATGAACAACTAGGGCTGCATGAGTCCTTGACCAGCCAACTCCTTCTCGGCTGTTGGTGGCTTGACTCGACTCTATATACAACTGGTCTGCCAGCCCAGACCGCCTAGGTCTCTGGGGTCTGTTTCAAGAAGCGAAGTCTGTATAACCTCACTTTCCAACATTGCCTGCATGTCTTGAAAGATCATGAACAGCCTGCAATGGTCCTTCGTACGGCCGGAGTGCAAGGCGAACTGCATATTCAGCTGGCACAGAGGGTTGCGCGTGTAACAGGCAGATAGGTATAAGTCTGTTTATATATTGCTGTTTTGGTGTGCGGGACTCAGGTTTCTCGATTGCTTTCGGTTGTATGATAGTAGTTACAAGGAAGGACTGTACGGGCGGGTAATTAGCGGAGGAGTTTTTGGAGCTGCGGCTTCAATATGTTCATGCTTTTGTCGCCAAGGATTGGATTATGTATCTTGTGAGAATGTTGAGGTCTGTAATAGTATTTATCATATTCAACCTCCCTCTCCCTCCCTCTCCCTCCCTCTCGCGAGTCAGGGTGTAGGCTTGGATAGGTAAGCCCAGGGAGGCGGCGATATTGTCAACATTCTCACACTAGAATCGAAAGTTTCCTGTTTTTCTTGCAAGTGGTTTTACTATCTACTCATTGTCTTATAATTTTGATCGTGTGTATGTGAAATCTTGCCGTTATGCCATGTTTGCCTGTTCCCGTGTCTGCTCTGGTGTCTGTTAGCCTTATTTGGGGATATCATGCCTTAGTTCAGATGGGATATTAGGAAATTGTGTGATAATGAGCTATGAGTCAGGCTAATAGACGATCTTTCTGATAATAGATATTGGCCTGAGGAGGGTTCTTAAGAGACTGATACTGTTTGGGCTGCCGTTGCTAGTAAAGAAATATAGATGGAGATAAGAGAGACTACTCTTAACTTGTTCATTAGTGGCTAGATTCAGATTTCGGAATAACAGTAACCCCTAGTCATGGCCAACTTGCTCGTCACTGAGGATGCCTATATGCTTCAGCTCTGTTGGGACGGAACTCAGGTGGAATGCGTGCGTATAGTGGCAGCCAAAATATGAACGAAGGCTGTCTTGGTCCTACATTCAGAGTCGGTTAATGTAAAGGGGCGCTTCTCGGAATACTATATCATAAAATCTCGACAAGTCCTGCATTTTCTGAGTGGCATGGCATGAAACGTTTCAGCATCGTTGGCTCATACGTCTGGTATTTCTGTGGCCACAAATCACTTGACATCGAGTTTACACAGTGAGTTTACAAGAGTAATAAGGTGTCTTTACGCTCAACACACCTAGTCGGTTACTTTAGTTGTCTATTCAGCTAAATTTACAATTACAGCCTATCTAAACCTGTGCCTTTACTTCGACCGCCCAGATAAGTATACTAGCGGAAATTACAGTTTCAAGATGAAAAGTAGCAAGACGTAAAGTATGGGGCAATTATGAGATGTATACAACAGCACATAGTCTAGTCCGTTGTATGGGACGAGTTAAGGGAGTGGTGAGAGAAATTGCCATGTAACAAGCAGTCAAAACCAATGGACGGTAATGAAGTAGGAAAGTCATGTCCTATTTGCCACCGGGGCGAAACTCTGGGGAAATTCGCAGATCTTCTGGGTCTCCATGAAGGACTGATAAGGTCTGGAATGAACATAAGGCTAGGAATAAAGATGAGAACCTATATGTGATATGTATACTTGAAAGTTGTAACGCTGATGAACTAGGGATAGGCAATACGTATCGTTTAGGCAACCATGAAATATCGAACCCCTGTGTCTATAGATTCAGGTTATGCCAAATATGTAAATACAGCTGATGAACCCGATATCAACAGCGAATTGTCGTTCAGCTATCTAACATTCATCAACGATCCACTATCTAGCACAGTATTGTTCCGACCCCCAGCCTAGCGTTATCTAATACGTTGTCACACGGCCAAGACCCGTTGGCGGCAATAGAATAAGAGGAAGGCTGTTGGACGAAGGACTAAGGCACGAGGATCCCCTCCATCTGCAAGGAGGACCAACAGCCCAATGTACTCCAAAAAACAGCCCAGTGTATGCCAAATAGCCCAACGGGCAACGGGTATAAATAGGCCATGAAAGTCCCAGGTTCAAAGAGACCAGAGAGAGAGGAGAATCATGGACCTTGAAGCCCCTAGAGAATGATTAGCTGAATAAGAAATCCATGTTCCAAGCCCTAGAGTACTAGCCCTTGTCACATACGCGGCAAAGGCCTATCGTTACTCTCGATTTCTTCTCTCTCCGAAGCTATCTTCGTGTTTCCAAATTTTAAAAGTAAATAGTATCCGGGGAGGCTCATCTTAAAAAGATTCACACCAACCTCTGCAGCCCTGTTAAAAGAAGGGAGCAACGATGTCCTACCAAGGCAGCTCTGGCAGCGATCCTGAAGAGGCGCCAAGACCCGATCCAACGTGTGACTATTGTCACGGAAATGGCTACTATAATCGACGAAATTCGAGACAGGAGTCCGTACGGTGCGTCTGCAGGACCGGTTGGCTAAAGGTCCCTAGAAATGATAACGACTCACGGGTACAAACAGTAGCTTGCTGTGAGAATCGTCCTTGCCGGAATTGCTGTGGTCGCGGTTATTATTACGCCATGAGCCATATAACTTGTCGGGGAACCGGATTCAGGACTAGGACGGTGAACTATACAGAAAGAGTACGATGCGACTGTTGGTATTAGTCACAGTGCGGCCGAAGTGCAACAGCCTTGTCGAACCAAGGTCTGCCACATCAGCTTTGGGAACCGTGTGCTACATACGTTGACTAGTTAGGTTATGAGAAATCGCCGTTGCTGTGTTGGGTAGCTAGCTATTAGGATGTGCTAGTTTTTGCCGTAATGAAATTGAGTTTCTTTGTTACCCCTACGAGGATGTAATACTAGTTGGTTTTTACATCGTCCACGTGCCCATCTCCCCGATATCTTCTCGTTACGTATTTTACACGAATATCAGCGTTAAGTAATCGAAGCGATCTGAAGAAGGCAGATCAGAGGACCGATTTGAAACTCTGCATGAATGAAGCTAAAGAAGAGGGTGTGTTCCGCCGTGGGGTACGGAGGAACTACGTAAGTAGTGGCCTGCTTTAGCATAGACTATCCTTGACCATTTCGTGAATTAGCGAAGGGCTCGAATTTTAACCAAAATCGAGACTCGATATGATCTTTGAGCCATTTTGCTTCCTTGGGATGCTCCCTTAGGAATTCGAGATCGCTATCCGAGAGACTCATATCGGAACGAAGTTTCGATCGGATACTCTTGCATCTAGTAATGGCATCTAGTGGCACCCTCGCTGGCATATGTTGGGTCGACCTTGTAAATGGATACTCTCGAAGCTTCATTTGTACTTCCGGAGGTAAAGCTTGTGGCATATCCTTGCTATATAACTAACGTTAGTTGAATGACAACGTTACTAGGACTGGGGGGTTTTAACAGAGACTCTCCTGTCCACTCATAGCATAGTACTGGTACGTCACTGTCGTTAAGAGATTGACCATGATCAACAAGGAAGTAACAGCGGCGGTTATCGTAACTAAACCAAGCACCGTATACACTCCAGCGGTCTTGGTCAGGATCGAAATCACGATTCCAGTGGTACTGGCAGATAAGATCTAGAAGAAACAAGCATCTTTGATCATAGCCGTCGCCCGGTACAAGGTGCGTCTTCGTTTGGACCAATATCCGTTTAGGTCCTGTTAAGTTTCCTTCAATACGTCGAGCTGTGCCCTCAGGCTTGCTGGCCGTTGTCTCCATACTTAAGAATAGATGTTACAGACGAAGGCGCATGAAGAAAGAAAAAAGGGGTGGGGTTTACGAGGTTTAAACGCTGCTTTTTTGCAGCCGATTCGATCAAGCACTAGAGACGGGCAGTAGCTCGGCTAGTGTTAGAGCACGTGATTGTTAGATAAAGTCGCCTTCTTTTGATGGCCCGTGCCCTACCAAAATGCCCGATCCCAGCAATTGCGATGATTGGCTTGAGGCTGTGGACGCCTGTAGCCAGCTATTTTCTACACGCCGAGATAAGAGGCCCAAACTGTCGGAATAGGTCAAAACGAAACGGGTAAAGCACATGACAATTAGACCGAACATGTGGAAAATTCTCGATTCAATCTGTTTATACACTAAGCTGAATAAGGCTATAGATCCGATGAGATGGAAATTTTCTGAAGGAGAATCATTCATACCCATAGAAGTACATTTAAAATCAAGGCAGCGGTGTAGACAACTGACTGCCTACCGTACCTTGACAGTCGAATAAGAACAGCCCAGCTGAGATGTATGTTAGCATTCCAGCACGCAGTGCATTCTAGCTCGTCTCACGTGGATATTTTCAGCCATTACAACTACAATTATCATTGTTAGTAGCGCCATGCATACAGCACACACACATATACATAGGTATATATATACATATTTACCCTCCAACACAACGCGCTATCAAAACGTCGAGCCTCATTCGCCGCTCGGGACCCTTACATCCGTAATACACGCCTATTTTACGTACCTACCCACTTCAGTGCTATCGGCCGTTACAAATATAATACACTGTTGTGTATCTATGCAATGTGCCGCACAGGCGCGTTATGCGCCGTAAGGCTCGGAAGCTCGGTTCTTGCTCGTTCCTGTGGGTTGTTGCTGCCTAGGTAGGCGCTCATGTGCGGCACAGAAAGCTGCTTTTCCGGTGACAACGGTGATGGTAGCGAGGAATAACGTTCGTGGGGTGAGAGAGAAGTATTCCCGGCTCGGATGGGTGGCGGTCTATAAGCCGTCATGCGAGTTTTCTATTAGCATTGGTCATACGGGAACTGAGTGTAGTGTATATGTGGCTGGTCGGGGAAAACACCGTGAATGTATACTGTCTCTGTCTCGTCTTCGGCTTCGGCTTGATACGAGCGGCGACGTAGCTGGGTGTGAAGGAGCTGGTTTGTATGGATGTTAGATGTTAGCACGGATATAGATTCCGTGGTGAATAGCGAGTCTTGTATTGAGTTCTGTATGGAAAGGATTCTAAGTAGTGTAGATAGTAACTTCCTGAATTACGAGTCACTCGTCCAAACATTCATGATATTTTGACGCAGTGAAATCGAAGGAAGCACATAGAATTAATGAAATTATCTCCAATCTTCTGCTCCAAGGAGGGCCCTCTAGCCTTCTCATTATCTACATCTAGTAAAACAAATGGCCTATCTTCAGTTCATATCAGCGCATTGCTTTATCTGCAAGGCAATGCCAAGCGTTACACCACCGACACTGGTGCAAGCCTTACGAGGAGGTTCAGGTCCAGTCGCTTACCTGGGCGGCTTGGTGAGGAAGCGATCCTTCACGACGCGATGTTACGTTGACGGCATGCATACTCAAACGTCAGAACCGGTGTATTGGGTGCGAAAAGGGACCCTTGCATGCCGAGTTATGTAGGCAGACAGGTAAGTTTCTAAATGTAGTATTCACTGGTTCGATAGTCGGCTGATGGGTAGTAATACCTCGAAGATGGACATCATTTTTAGTGTCAGTAGACCAAACCAAGATGCCGGAAATGAGGGGCGATGGTGTTCGTGAATTATTCGTTCAGATCATCTTGTATGATTTGCTTGTTTGCGCACTGATTTGGCTTCTAGTGTACCTACACATGCAAAGTACGTCAGGTAAGAAGTGACATGTATATGGTGGTGGTGATGATGATGGTCTCATATCCTCATATTAGGAGTTCATTTCAGACGGCGCTTCAACTCGGGTAGCGGTGTGATTCCGCTCCATCGGAATTCTTGATACGAGGGCTACAGTGAGGTTGCTTGATGGTGATTGCTGTGCCGTATAATGGTGTACTTATTAGTATACTTTACTGTAAGCGCACGAGAACGCCTGGGGAACAGTTCATTCTCGCTGAATCAAGCTAGAATTGGCGTTTGATGGCGAGAATGAGGGTAAGATATGCCCTAATCCCCCTTCAGCCTAGATAGCCCCTCCAACTAGATGAAAATGGGTCTTTCCCCGGATAGCGAAAGAGTCGCGTGATCATGACAGGTTTACCTCAGTGGAGAAACTTTGTCTTTCACTTACATGTACTATGTACAAGTAAAGTAAGTACAGTCAGGAGTCAGGAGTTAGGATTGATCGGTTGGTTGTCTTGTTGCATGCCAGCAACTGATCGAATATCACCACAAAGTTTTGGAGGAAGATCTCGTTTCAGTTGTCTTCTTATACACATCTGAGAAATGTGAATTAGTCCACGGGTAATTCACAAAATCGGGGGGATGTACCGTATGCATGTATGTGTTGCTACTTACAATACCTACTGGGAGATAGGTGTGGACCAATGAACAACCCTTCTTACATACTTACCGTTATAGTCTAAGTATAGTTAGAGGCGGTCTCGGAGGTAGCCTCGGGGCATCTAGCCGCTTCAAGGTAGAATGGAGATTGGCTAGGTATTCCCACATTACCAGCCCCTCCCATGTCCATGTCCCAAGACACATGCAACTTGCTCGGCAGGTCATTTTCAGCTCCAACGCGCCAAAGGGCGGCAGGCGTTTCTTGGTGTTGCTTCTCTCTCACATTTACCGGTAGCGGTAGTCTTCCCGCGAAGACAAACACCGTTGCTTCTTGAGGGACATACTAAAGTAGCGTCCGCCGTGCTTCTTTTACTTAAGGCAAGCCTCCCGAGTGTCGGTCGGCTTTATGGCTCAGTCCATCGTCAGACAATATGAAATCGTCTACTCCTGTGGTCTTGACAGTTGCGTGCGATCATAACGCTATGCTATTGCGATATTGTTAGATCACTGAATTGACGGGCTGGCGCTAGTCGCACCTAACCAGCGCTGTTGCTTATCTGCCTTCTCTATGAGGGCAGGCTGGACGCCATGGTGTTTAGCATCGTGCTAGTCATGTTCACACCATCAGAATGGTAGCGACGCCGTGCACTGGCTCGACTGGTAGGAAGTAGTACAGTACTAAGTAGATCGATAGTGTGGTACTCGGACTACTAACGGCAGACCCTGTACTGGTGGCGACACTTGCAGGCTCAGACAGTGCTATTCATTACTTATTGGCTGCTCGTGTGTGACCTTTCGAGTTTTCGATAATCGATCAATGAAATGGCCTTGTTGCTGTAGTTCTAATGGCATGTGGTGTTAGCCGGGCCGAGGTCCACAGACCTTGTTAGCAGCACCTACTAGTAAGTAAAGCTTGCAAAATACCTACCAGCCTTGCTGTTAAGCATCTAGGTTGACGGAGACCTTCTGCTCTCGGCTTGGCCGTTTTTCGCCGCTTCCTTGCGTACAGGCAGCTCGGCCGTATAAGAAAACCGACCCAACATACATTCTCTTCGGGGACGTTGACTGATTGGCTATAATCCGACATTATTACCTTCTGCGACAGCTTCACCTGCGGGATGACAAGCATGTACAAGGGTTTAAAACCAATGTGAACAGATGATTGCATGTGTTTACAAGGTTAAGTAGGCTATAAAGATACCGCAAGTGAAGCCGCCGCAAAAGGGATAGTGTAAGATATATAGTTAAGGGTGATCCAGACGAGTAGAGTCGTTGAGACAGCGTATAATAGTACTAGAGGCCGGAGAGGAATTGGGGACTACCAGGGCCGAAGTTGCTCTAATGCTTCCGTCGCTCAATCTCCTGTACATAGTATACATAGTATGTGTACTTAGTGTGTTCTTCCCTTAGACATTGGGGAGGGGAAGTGTTCGGATAACGGCCGTTGGTGAGGGAAAAAGTAGCGTGGGTTATTACTGATACAAAGTGGCACATTGAACTGAGCTGAATATGCAGCATAAGAAATACCCGTGTTGGCCCCGAGCATGCTTCCCTAGTCTTCGCGTAGGGATATCACGATGGGAATCGCCACTAACCTGGAAATAAAGCATGACAAATTGCCCCAACGACAAACTCGCATCTTCCCCCGCGTTGGCTGGCCGGCAACCTGAAGAGCCGATGAGTCGTTGCTCAACCTGATAAGCCATCCGTGTTGGCAGCAAGATGGGAAATTTCTTCGGCCTGAGTTGTTCTTAGTGTCTCTGTGTCTCCTCAACGATGTACCACAATCTTCGTATTGAGACACAGGAATCCTGCTACACTACCTAGTGCAATCCTAGGTCTGATAGACACAATCTGGAAGACGAGAACGCATGCTAACGGCGAGCACCGCTGGTCTAAGTGGGTCGAGAAAGCCTGGGGTCTTAGATTTAGTGTAGCCGTTATCTTCCTCCTAGGCGAGTTGGAGCTTAGGCAACTTTGACGAGCGGGGCGCCAGATATACTCAGTATGATCGATGGGCCATACTGGTAGTGGATTAGGTTTGCTTCCTCATCTCTTAGCAACGGATGATAGTAGTACAGCCGACCCTAGTCGACATGCACAGTTATGTAGGTCGTGCATATATGCCTTTTATCCCGTTAGTCTTGGGGCTTGGTACGGGTGGTTGGCGAGTAACATTAGGCGCTTAATTTGCTTCCAGAAGGCAAGCTTCGATCCAAGCTTGAACGACTCTTGGTGCGGAATATCGGGGATCGACACAAGAGGTGTACACACTGAACCCTGTAGACCAATTCTAGTAGTGAATTGACGATCTCGGAGACAAGCGAGGTTGCTGGAAGCACAACACAGAACACCTACAATAGCAGTAGGTTCTGGACAGGCCGGGCACGGGCAAAGCGAGTACTGAATAACCATGAACTTTTAGCAATCTATGGAACCTCGATGCGTGCTTGTGGCACCAAAGTTTGTTCCATTGATACAGGCTTCTGAGGCACATGGCAAGCTAAAAGTTCCACCATCGATCTTATCTCGACACTCTGAGAAAGCTCATTGATTGGGTGCAAAGCCACAGACTAGAAACCAACACTACAGTAGGTTAAGCTTGAGCTGAACCTGACGATGTAGGTCTGGGCGGACGGTGTCTGTATCCCAAGCCTTCCTGGGAAGGCGAGGAGTTGTTGCGGAGGCTCTGAACGCCTCTGTGATAGAGCGACTTATCTGCCTTCCTAATGCGGACCGGATCTTGGATTCTCGAACCCGTGGGCTCCTACCTACACCACGCTAGGTATACAATGTTGGTACTACTAGACCATGGTCTAGGTAGGTAGTGCATTATCAGCCCCTCGGCCGTTTAGCGTACCAGAACACTAGCACTATCCCTCCAGATACGGAGCCGGTCCCTTGGATATGCTCTGCCCTTGCCACTGGCCCGTGGGTGTATTGAATGTCTTGGTATATGAACCACGCTGCTCCCCTCGTCTCCTACCACCATCCCTTTCAACTCTTCGGATCTATTCTGACATCGAGGAGCTCTCAAGCCCGCTCTGTGAGTTCACTGGTCGCCAAGGAGATTGGTCATAGGCCACACTCGCAACCATGGCATCAACTGAGGCGCGTGAGGCCCATGTGGCCGACACCATTCCCTCCCCTGTGGAAGTGAATGCCGACGAGAAGTACGACGACATCAAGGTCGATGAGAAGGAGATTGCTGAGGAGCTCGACCTCTACGTCCCTTTGAAGTTGGACCCCAACATTCCCTTCGAAGAGAACCCTCTAACTGCTCGTGCTGTTATCGTGGGTATCCTGCTGGGTGCTCTTGTTAATGCGTCTAATTTGTATCTTGGTATGTTCCACGCTCTACCAACAATCATCTTGCTTGTTTCCATTGAACTCGATATTGACTGGTATGCAGGTCTCAAGACTGGTTTCACCTTCTCTGCCAATATCTTTGGCTCCATCTTCGGGTACGGTATTGTCAAACTCATGTCGAAGCACTGCCACAACTGGCCAATTCTGGGAGGCAGCTTCGGCCCTCAGGAGAACTCCATCATTCAGGCCGCGGCGACCGGTTCTGGAGGTATCGCAGGTATCTTCGTCGCTGGTATTCCTGCCATCTACCGACTCCATGCCATTGAGGGCACACCTCAAGAGAATTTCGGCCCCCTGATCACAATCACACTCGTGTGCTCTTTCTTTGGTTTGTTCTTCGTCACACCGCTCAGAAAATTCTTCATTATTCGGGTGGCTCGCGAGTTGAAGCTACTTTTCCCCACACCCACCGCCGTGGCCCTGACTATCCGGTCGATGCATGCTGGTGCTGCAGGTGCACAGGAAGCTATCAGCAAGCTCAAGGCTCTGTCTCTGGCTTTCTCTGCCGCTCTTATCCAGCGTGTCGCATCGTATTACGCCATTGGTATCCTGTACGATTGGCATCCGTTCACCTGGATCCACATCTGGAGTAAGGGAACCAGCTGGGCTCTCAACATCGAGTCCTGGGGTTGGTACTGGGAGTGGACTCCTGCTTTCATCGGTAGCGGTATTCTGATCGGTATGAATGCAGCCATCTCCCTGTTCGCTGGTGCCATCCTCGCATGGGCAATCATCGGACCCGTGCTCGTGCACTACGGCGAGTGCGTTGGAAAGCAACTATACCCAGACCGGCCATACTGGGATTCACTATACACTTTCGCATCACTTAGCAACCTTGGTCACGAGACTCCCAGCCCGCGATATTGGCTTCTATGGCCCGGTGTGTTGATCATGGTGGCGACCTCCATCGCCGAGCTTCTCGTACAGTACAAGGTTCTTATCCATGCTGGCAAATCTACTTGGAAAGCTATTTGCAGCGGTCTGAACGATGCTAAAATCAAGCTTACTGGCAAGTCATCTCCCTACCTTGAAGCCCAGGCCAGCAAATACTCGGATGATCCCAACATGGTTCAAGATTCGGCTCGGCCTGAGGACCAGGTCCCCATTTGGCAGTGGTCGCTCGGCCTTATCGCGAGTATCGTTGTAGCCATCATTGTCTTCCACTACCAGTGGGGCATGAACCCTGGCTTGACTATCCTGGCCTGCTTGCTTGGTTTCCTGTTCTCGTTCCTAGCCATCCAGATCGGTGCCGTGACGGACCAGACACCTCTCACTGCAGCTTCCAAGGCCAGCCAGCTTATCTTCGGTGCTGCTACGTCAGGCAAGGGTTATTCGATCGTGGATGCGCAGAGAATCAACCTTGTTGCTGGAGGTCTCGCTTCAGGTGCCGCCGATGTGGGTAATGCGTTGACATCTGATTTCCGTACCGGTTTCCTGCTCGGCACGCCCCCGAACAAGCAGTGGTACGCCCAGTCGATGGGTACACTCATCAGCGTGTTCTTGGCTCCTGGTCTCTTCGTCCTCTTCACCACCGCCTACCCTTGCATTCTCGATGGTAACGAGGACTGTCCGTTCGGTGTCCCCTCGGTGGCTGCTTGGGCGGCTGTAGCGCAGGCTGTGACTGACCCGGCTGTCAGCATCCCGTGGACGTCGGGTATCTTCTCCATCGTCATTGCGATTGTGTGCGTTGGGCAGGTCATTGTCCGCCACTTCTACCTCGTCGGTGAGCGTGAGTGGATCCGGGACTACCTCCCCAACTGGGGTGCCATCGCGCTGTCGTTCGTGCTGCCCAGCCCCGTGTTCACGACGGCGTCACTCTTCGGTGCGCTCCTGGCCTATGCATGGAGGAAGTGGAAGCTCTCATCGTTTGAGCTCTACGGCTATGCCGTGGCTGCGGGTTTCATTGCCGGCGAGGGTCTCGGTGGTGTCGTGGGCGCCATCCTCCAGATTGCTGGAGTCTCGGGCGATGTCTACGGCACCAATGTTGGCTGCCCGGCCAATTCTTGCTAGAAAAGGACGGCCGAGGAGGAGAGGAGGCTGTGATGGCCGGATGATGAATGCTATACCCTGTTACGGCGAATGATGTAATGTAGTTCATAGTTTTAAGATACCACATCTCATTGAGATATTTCAACGTCCCCCTTGGTCTTGTTCTGCTTGTTGAATCATGTAATGGTATAACTGTCTGAGGTCCATAGTGAACAGGTTGCCGTCATGTTGGTCCTCTCGACCAGCAGATGTGTCAGTCGAGAAGCGATAGTTTGTTGATGAGAAAGTATTCCGACACATCCGACTGACACCAGCCAGCCTCGTCGAGAAACTGGACCAGGCGACTCGTAGGCATTGAAAGCGCAAATAAGTACTGACCTTCTTCCAGAGGCCGACCTAGTCCCGTCGTACAAGGCAAGGGGAGGGCTGTGCGGACTTTAGCAAAAAGACTTGGCGGTGATGGGAATGGTTAACCAAATGGCAGCAGAGGAGAAGAGTTTCAAGGTTCACGTATAAGATGGGGTTCACAGGTTATATCGGGGATTCCGAGTCGCGAAAAGACGTAGAATCCAAGTCGTATTCCGATGCTCACTCACTCACACCACTAGCCATTCTCAAGAAAAAGCACCGAGTGGACGCGAGTTCCGAAGCTACTACCATCGCTTCGCTTCTTCTTCCCACTGCTCTTGCCTGGCCAGAGAAGGAATATTGCCTAATCGGGCAACAAGGCAAACAGTGCAAGAAATAGACCGACCCTCGGTATCTGCACTGTGGACAACGTTCGCTATTTCACAGTCCACTGTCCACTGTCCACTGTTCACTGTGTTCACTGTCCCACTCTTCAGCAATGGTGGGGAGGTACTTGGGTACTTTCGGATGCATTCAGCTGCCCCCACCATCAATACACGCGTTTTGAGGCGACGCGGTTGTATCCATTAACACTTGTTCACTACATGTACTTTTACTCTTCAGTCATACTCTTCGATTTCTCTATCCATCAATCAATCGCCCACCAGCGTCGGCACTCTGGCAGCTCAGCCCAGGCGACGGCAGCAGGCCAACCGGAACGCCACGTCTCGATGTATCATATGTTGATGGCCCTTGGCTGCGAAGTCGGGCATAGCCGCGGCCTGTCCCCCCTGCACATCACCTAGCACTCAGCCAGCCCGAGAGTATGCCACAGAATACCTTCTCCATTATACCCGATATACCTTCCGCCCTCAATGCTAATCGAAACGGCGGCCCCGACGACGCCGCGAGCGCCCGTCCGAGCCGACCCCCCATGACCACCAAGCAGGTCAAGAAGGCATATAAACAGGCGAACAAGGGCCCCAAGCTCTCCAAGGCCGAGCAACGCCGCCAGGAGCTCTTCGAACAGGATCGCATCCGCAAGGAGTTTGAGAAGGAGAAGCACCAGGCCCGCGCTAGGGCTGCCCGCGAAAAGAAGAAAGAGAAGGAGGAGCGGGAGCGCGCTGAGAAGAAAAAGAAGGGCCTGCCTCTCGTTGATGTCCGTGCTTCTCAGGATACCATCGCCCGTTTTGTTCGATCCAAGCCGAAGAGCCAGAGGGAACCTAGTACCGGGCTCTTTCTCGCCGAAGAAGAATGCCAAATCGATATGGAGTATCGGAGCTTATCTCCGAAAGCCCATGATTCTAGCCGCTTGGGTTTGGCAGGAGAGTTGAACGAGATTGACAAGGAGAACATAGACCCTCGCGCTGAGTTGAAAAAGGGTTCTCCTACCATGCAATCGGCGCTCATGGAGAATGACTTTGTTGTGGACGAGGAACCTCCCATTTGCGACTACTCAGAACCGCAGAAGAAGAAACGCAAAATCGAGGTTTCAAAGGAACAGGAGGAAGACCTCAGTGCCCCATTTCCCACAACCAACGGAATTGCTTCACCAAAACCCGACCACAAGGTATCAATAGCCAATGACCAAGTGAAAGGGACTCCTGATCCCAACGCGCAGCACCGTGAATTGAATCTTGGTGACAGCTTCTCAACGGTCGATTTTGACGAGGAAGACCTTTTTGATGATTTTTTTCGCAAACCAGAGAGTGTACATAGTCCCGCAAATGCATCAACCAAGAGCATGTCTAGCCAGAAACAAAGTCAGCACCCCCAAACTGAGTCTCCCCCGCCCAAAGCACATGACAATGGGACCCATCTATCATCGCTGCAGAAAACCGAGAAAGCCTCTTGCCCAGATTTCATAGGAGGACCGGCGAACCCATTGTCATCTTCCCGGCAGGAAGCCCATTCCGCCTCTCCGAGGAGTGCGGTAAAAGCACCCTATCATGCTTCAAACCCCGACCAGAACAATCGAGTGCTCACACCCAGTCCCGCCATCAAGCCACCAGTTGCAAGCATACCAACACCTCAGCCAGTTGCTTCAAGCTCGCGATCTTTTCGCCAACCTCGAACGCCTATGGGGCCCCTTATGGGTCCTCCAAAGTTTCAGCCTTCCAAGCCGATCTCTTCTCATCAGCCTAAACCGCCTCAATTTCTTAAACCCCCCTTGCCTTCTCCTCGCACCCCTTTTGGAGGACCCTGCCGTTCTCGCGTCACCAAGCCGGAGCAGGTCTTGGAAGAGCCACCGCCGCCGAGCACGCAGCTTTTCGTGCTCAATCACCTCGATGACTTTCTTCCTAGTCCTTCGCAAGAAATGCGTGAGATCTTCGATGAGCCAAAAAAAGAATATTCTAAAAACGGAAGTATACAAGCTCCATGGATGACCACGCATACTGGACATAAAGTGTCCGAGCCGAAACCACGTGTCTCGCAAGTGCCCCCCATTTCGTACAATAGGCCTATGATTTCCAAACCAGCTATCAGCCCAGGGCGATCTCTTCTCACTCAACCGGTTGCGAATCGTCACGAACATCAAGGAGCTTCATCCCATCAATCCATCCAGCCTATACATTCAAACTTAAAAAACACATTTGACGTGCCTTTCTTCTCTACGCAAGACGTTTTACTATCTTCTCAGGATGTCAAAGATATCGAGGAGGATCCTCTGCCACCGCCCAAGACTCCAGCCATCACTCCCACGCCCCAGAGAGACGATCCTAAGCCACCAGAGTCGCCCCGGCGCTCACCAAAACCATTATTTACATCATCCTTTCGTGAAATGCGATACAAGTTTGTGCTTGAGCGAGCTAAATCGGCGAGATGGGAAGGCCCTGCTGCCCGACAGAAAGCACGCGAAGCACTAGACAAGCTTCAGGCGGAAGAAGATGCACGACTCGAGGCACTTCTTGCTAATCCCGACGGAGAGGGAGAAGGGGAACAGACCAAGGGAGTTGCTACAGAAAGCGCCGCGAATAAACCCGAGTCATCAAGGAAATCCTCGCCAGATACCCTACCTCGCCTCAAGCCCACGCCTCAGGCTCCGTCTTCTCACCCTGCTGAATTCGATTCAGCTAGTAAGAGCGCACGGAACTCGCTTCCTACCTCAGGTTCAGTCCCAGATAGAGCTGTGCGAAACCCCACGCGCAAGTTCCCTGATGCGCAGCCATCGAGACTGAGAAGTAGTGGGAACGGGGGCGGTAGCAGCAGAACAACCCAGCGGCCTACTTCTCGGCCCAAGAGCTCATATGAAGCGATGCTGGAAGCACTAGCAGCTAAGGAATCTGTGCCGCCGCCGCCGATAGATCAACAGAAGCAGAAGCAGAAGAAGCAGCTATCAAGCGCACATCTCACTGAAGAACAGAAAAGGGGTGGAGATGCTGTGGTACAGCTTGAGCGTATGAGTGAGGACAAACAAATACCTTTTAGTGAAAATAACGCGGCGACGACGATGAAGACGGGGATGATCATGATAACCGCGTCTCAGGAGACGGATTATGATGGCGGAGAGGAATGGGACGATGACGATTTATTACGCAATGTGATGTTGTGATGTGAACGGGGTATCGGTATCGGTATCTTTTTTTTTGTCCCTCATATTCTAGGCTTTTCGATGAATTCTTCTTTCCGTTTACATATCTACCTACCTACATAGGACGGGGGAAGCGGGTGTACCTATGTGTTCATACAACCTTTCGTTATGCCGGTGGGAGGTATGTGTGCTCGCACTTGGTCGCAGATAGGGGAACTAGATGAACGGTATGGGGTGTCATCGGGATTAAATTAGGGGTTTCGGTGATGCATAGCCTGGGGCGTAGGATACCTAAGATTCGGAGTTCGGAGTTCGGGCTTGATATAGGTAATAAATATAAGATATGAATACATGGTAGATCGCATCAATGGGTCTGTTTTATTATTTTTGGAGGTGTTATAGGTGTTAATTGCCCACCTATCTACCTACCTACTCGCCTACCTATATACAATATATATATAAAGCTGTGAAACTACCTACCTGCTACATTTATTATGTGACACTGGATTGCTGGCTTCTCTAACACGGTTGATTGTTGACATGTAGATGATATCTAGATAGGTAAGTCGGTATGTAGGTATAGAAGCGCCAGCGAATCAACCTAATAGGTTAGGTAAATATAGATAAAGAAAAGACGGAAGAAATATTATAAGATGATGAAGTGAGTTAAGTTGAATTGAGTTTTAATATATCACACATAGCTAACATATAACATGTATATAGATTTCAAGGTAATTGTCAATGAATAATCAATTGAAGTATTGCAATGTGTCATGTAATTCGGTCGGGGGATTATATTCATTAATACCGCGTACCTAATCATAACATAGCATGACAAAGGAAAAGTACTTGAAACGTCAATGTCGACGAGTGGGTATGCGAGAAGAACAGGAACAAAAACATTTTGATTACCATCACCATCCATTCCCTCAATCTCATCTTTACTCATTATCCTAGCCTAAACTCGAGGTATCATATTCGTAACGTAATAAACCGTCGTTCCGACGCCTCTTTACTCCTTTTTGGTTTTGGTTTTTTTTCTCTCTTTTGTGGTGAGGGTATCAACGAAGCGACATAGAGTGTCTTCTGCTATGAAAGCGTGCGTATTGGTGTCGATTTAGATATGTGGAAACTTAGACAGCGACAGGCTTGTAGATTTTGTTATCCATCATGGTATTCCCATTAGCGTTGGTGTATCCACCATTAAGCGCTCGACCATTCATGTTCGCGTGACCATTGGTGTATCCGCCGTTGGTATAGCCGCCATTGGTAGCAGTGGTAGCAGTAGAGGTGGTAGTGGTTTGTTGTTGAGCAGCAGGATTGGTAACGGAGTGTGGCTTGCGGGTGACCTTGGGCGCGGTGGGGATGTTCGTGCTCTTGCCCGAGCTGCCGATTGAGAATACAGGGCTTTCCCATTTCTCGCCCTTGCGCGCGAGTTCCTTGAACTCGGTGGCCTTGGAGCTGATGCCCCCGGGGAGGTGGATGTTCTTGAACATGCTCTCTTCCTTGGTTACAGCGACGTTGACCTTCTTGTCGGCCATCTTGTCGGCCATCTTCTGAGCCTGCTGCTTCTTTTGCAGAACTTGCTTCTGTGCGGCGTCGACATAGCGGCGGTAGATGTTGGGTACGTTCTCAGGGTCGTTCTTGGCCTCTTCCATAGCGCGGTCGGCCTCTTTCTTGATCATGTACAGCATCTGATCAAGCTGGTTGAACTGGTCCTTGATCTGCTTCTCTGCCACCTTCTGCACGACAGGACGCATCACCTTGAGCAACATGGGCTTGAAGATGCCGAACAAGAGCTTATGCTGCGACTTGACGAGCTTCACCTTGAGGTTCTGGACATCAACATCTACCTTGTCAATCTTGAAGAAGTGCTGCTTGTCCTTGGGGTCCGCACTGGACAACTTCATGCGGAAGGAGAAGCCTGAACCGCCGAGGAATAGATTGGCAACACCCTGGTCGGTGATGGAAGGGAAACCTTCCTTGCGCTTGATGTAGTAGCTCACGTCGCGCAGATCCATCTGCACACCACTGACTTTGACGTCGATGGAGTTCTTGCGGTGGCTTGGGTTCTTCTTGCGACCCCAGCTGAAAAAGTTATCGCTGGCAACCTCGAAAACGTTGGGCATGAAGTTGTCGCTTTCGAGAACGAGGTTCTCAACAATAGCGTCGATCTGGCGATCCGAGTACTCAATTCGGGGGATGGGGATATATGCCACGTTCTCCATGGTAGCGGGGATGATGACTTCCGTCAAATCCTTGACAAGATGAGGCTTGAATGTAGGCTTACCGTTCTCGTCGTTACCCAAGTGCTTGAATAGCTTTTGCACAGAGAGGCTGAAAGCCTTGTTCTGGGGGTCCTGGTCGAACTGGTTGGCCATAAACTTGACCTCATCGACAATGCGATCGGTGTGTGTTCGGTACTTCTCGCGAAGTAGATAGTTACCATGATCGTAGAGTAAGTTCCACTGACGGTTGCATTCCTCTTCCATGATGTAACCTTGCTGCTGAAGACACTTGCGAATGTAGGTATCCATGGACTTGAACCAGTTGCGCAGTTCAGGATCCTTGTCAGCATCCTCGTAAATCTGGTTGATGGAGGCCCATATGTCATCGCTGGATGTACCGTTGGCGAATCTCTCAATGAGAACTTTGAGATCGGCCTCTGCCGCAGCAAAGGCGGATCGGGTTTGCTTCACAGTTCCGGTACCGCCGGATGTCAAGTTTTTACCATGGCTGCCGTATTGCTCGGCCAAGTCCAGGAGAGTTGTGATAGCTTGCTGGTAGTCAGGGTGCTGCTGGCATTCAAGTACCATCTTCTTGAGTCGCCAGACAGTCTGATCACGGCGCTCTTGCGGGACCTTTTTGCTCAAGTACTCGCGGGCTTGGCGGCGGTACTCGGCTGCCGTGTTCTTAGCTGCCTCGCGATCTTGATCGGAAACATTAGCATTAACCTTCTCAGAGGCAACATTGGAGGCCGTCACAGCTCCTGCCTGAGGGTTCAAACTGCCATCAGGCTGGCGAGCTCCCTCGAGAGTCGTGTTGGCAGCATCCTTGGCATCTTCAGTAGGGGCTTTCTTGGTGAGGCTCTGGAACTGAGACCTCATGTTCTCCTTTGAGAAGTCTGGAGCGTCGTGCCAAGTGTTGTCATCTGCAGGCGCATCGATTTGGTTCAACTTGTCCTCTGAAGGCCGCACTTTAGTGGCAGCATTGGTAGCGGCATCGCCGGCCATATCACGGATAAGGATAGTGGCATCGCTCACTAGGGATAAAAGTCAGAATCAGAAGTCATTGAATGAGTCGTTGGCAATATGTTCACTCACGAAGCTTTCGGAACTGGCCGTTTGTGATCAGCAAAGTTCCCAGTGTCCTGAGGCCTTCGAGGGCTTTGTCGCCATGTTGCTTCGCCTGTTCCTTGGTGACGGGAGCATCAGGCGTGCTGATGGTGCTCGCATCGAATTTCTGGGTTTGCCAAATGAAGTCTTGGAGCAGGTTCCCTTCATTCTTTGAAAGCAGCAAGTTTTTGGCCTGCTTAACGACATCTACAAACTCGGCAACCAGTTCCCGACCTTCAGGTGACAGCCTCTTGGAAGGGTTGGACAAGGCCCTGCTAGAGATAAAGCTGTTGAGGGCAACATCGATCTGGTCGTTCTACACCAGAAAATGAATGGTAAGCCTCAATTCATACTCACGGCGTGCCATATATGTTCGGATGGAGCGTGGAACTTACTGAAGGTACTTTGCCCAGTTGGAAAGCGCTGAAAATGCCGTACAACTGCAACTTGCGGTTGACGTCCAGCTCCTTCTGCTTCGTGTCGGTGGGCTTGTTAACTGTCGCCATGGTTTCTTGTTTCTAGACGTATCCTTCCTTTCTTCTCACTCATATATCGACAGTTCCTGATGGTGACAGGGTCGAGGTAGACAGAAGTCGAGAGTTGTAGGTCAGAGTGTGAGAAGCGTTTGATTATGGTTTGTGGTTGGGTATCACGGAATGACGATATGATTAAACGCGTGGGTATATTTAGGAAAAGGGGTATAATAATAATGATGATGTTTTCTCAAGGTTATGAGTGTTATACAGAGTAGGAGGATCAAGATTATGGAAACAGAGTTTGGCTTCGGGCTGTAGATGGGAATAAATAAAGGCGCTGGTCGATGTGAGCCCAGAGACGAAGGCTGGAAGAGTGGTTGATCTGCTTCGCTGCATCATCGAGCATGTGGGAGAGCTGAGATGTACCGGCCACGGCCATCCATGTATCGGCTGGCCTTGGCCATACGGTAGAGGGCCTGTTGGCATTGGAAAAGGTACTTTGGAATGGGTTGATGATACAGGTTGGGACCTTGGAGAGAGCTCAGGGAGCTTCGATTCAATGATGACGTGAAATGGGTGAGACACAATCGATTACGTCATGGCGGCGCGACAAAACCGGCCAAGTACCAAAGTCGCACACCTTACTATGTACTAACAGCGACAGTACCAGCGACTACAAAGCACCAAAAGCCACGGACACAAATGCAATTTGCTCTGGCTCGTTAGAGGCTTCAGGTAGCCCTAGATCGGCAACGTGGTGGGCATCGATACTGTCATTTTGACAAAGACTGGGGCTCGGCTGCATATTAACCAGATCGTCATCCTTACAAAATATGGAGACTCAAGTAGCTACCTAGGTAACCATGCTGTCACTCGCACGTCTCAAAGGTAAATACAGTAGAAACCTACATTATATACCTACCTAATGTGCTAGGTAGGCAGTATGTAGGTAGGCATCTTGGTAGAGTTCAGATATAGGTATCTGCAAGTCAAGTCTGTACAGCTTGACATGTAAGTATCTCGGCGTTTTCGATGGTCGGGCATAGGTCGGGATTCTTCAACTTCATCATTAATAGTTATCAGCAACGATTCTGAAAACATAGAGAAATGCGCTTATCATTAGCCAGATCTATGTAAGATGTATGCTTCTCTCTCCTCGTGGCAGCATCGCGGGGTCTATCGTGGGTACCTATCATAGGTTCTTGGTCTACCTAATGCGGCATAATTCTTCATTGAGTTACCTTACGTCAGTACCTTAGCTCTTAGCAGCTCTTAGAGACCTGCCGACTTGCCGATATGCCCAGTAGATCTGTATCTGGGCTGTATTTAGGGATCCCCACATCCGCGAGCTAAGTATGTACAGTAGTCGCGACATTCCCACAGCAATCATTCTCAGACAGACTCAGAGCTGTTTCCCATATCCACATGAGGGTCTAGATGGGATTTGCCAAGCCATATTCTAGATAGAGTCACCATCTTCTGACGTCTAGTCACACCGGCGCAAACACCTGTGAACATCTTCCCGAAGCAGAGACCTTAGAGTAGGTAGGCAGCGTCGAACTCCACCCCACCTTCCGCATTCGGTATTCATGACGTCGTGGCGTCGACGCCCCTTCACCCATGAATGAACTACTACCTAGATAGGTACAGAGTATGGAGCTGCTCGTGGGCGACATTCGGACATCGTGGAGGAAAATGGAGACTGAATAACGTTCAGCGCTTTGCCAAAGCTTGTGAATATTATCGGCATCGAAACACCCAAATTACGTGTCTCAGTCGCCTGTCCAAGTTTCCATGCGATTTCCTCGGCAAGGGGAAACTATGCAAAAAGTAACTATCCTAACTCCGACCAAATCAGGGTATAATAAACGAGTCAATGCTGCAAACTGTCATTTACTTCTCAGTACAGCTTGGAATTATGATATCTTTATGCATTTCACATACCTCAGTTAGATCACTAGGGACTTGTTGAAACGGCTACCACCTTTGGTATGCAGCTATCGATGACTAATCTCTAGACACCTCAGTCTCACCAAAGCGAGGTCATTCCTTATGATATCCCTTTGGCTTCCACGAAGCCTCCGATACATTGCTGTCTCCAGTTTTACTCACGTGCTTTGTCACTGGCTATCCCTGCTAATGGATCAACAGTAGTAATACCTATATTCCATATGAAAGATACTCTAAAACTGATGTAGCGATTCGTAGTTATACATCAGTTCAAATGAAATACAAGTTCAAAAAAATTCAGAGCTCTGATTGGATAATCAATTTCTTGGCATGTATACGGAGGTTTCGTGGAAGCCAAAGGGATACAGTGACAAATATTGGAAATTAATTCGGCACACTGACTAAACTGCATGTAAACTGACAGAGATACATCTGGAAGTTACGGAAGCATCCGAGTCGATCACATGGGGTACAGCTATAATAGATAAATTATATTATGAACAGCTTCATGTATAAACCCTGTTCCCTGCCCTGAGATACCGCAATTCACTGATACCGATCAAGTCCGCAATTCATTATCTGGGTATCTAACTTTAGGAGCCTGGTAGCGATATGTTGGGTAATGCGATTGTATTGATGGTGTAGAGTAGAGGCCACACCCCAGTCGCACCCGCATCAGGCCAAATTTGATAATATTGGCAACTCAAAATAGATTTACTGCACCTTTCAGATGATGAGATCAGCTTTTCCAACTAACTAGCGAGTTCGGGCATATTCTGAAAATTATACACATTCAAAATGGCTTCACTTCATCAACTATGTTCTATTCTTAAATTCAGGAAAAGGAACAGTGAAGCACTTGTGGTCTAATACCCTTATAACTCGGGATTACCTGGAATTAAGGAGTTCAATTTTCATCCGTAGAATCAATCCTATTACGCTCTGTTGAATTATTAAATTCCGCAATATGATAAGTCGTGTACCCATATTCCCATGAGCGTAATTCCTGATCTATCTTCCGATAGTTATACAAGGTCACCCTAGGATGATGGTAGGTCAGTACTGTGTTTCAGCAGAAGTTTCGATTTAGGTACGGCGTGCTCCTCTACTAGTCATTAGGAATGTGATGATAATCATTACGCCCTCACTTTCTCTAGAAAAACAGAAAGATGCGAATCCCCTCAAAATGAATATAACGGAAACTTAGACTGTCTGGGTGTTATAAACAAGAAATATACATACCTTGTATGTTGCTAAAATCTCCATGAAATGATCTATGGCGCAGTAACCCCGATAGAGAACTTACCGCCGGGTGGCCCAGAGTGCCTAAGTACCTACCCGACTCGGACATATCAAAAATGGAGTCCGGCATGGCAGCGAAGGGAATATGAACAACCGGCTCTCATTTTTGATGAGCAGATGAGTAATGACATCGGGCTTCGTGAGGATTGAATTAACTTCGGCGGGGACTAGAGCGTAAGGGTAGAAAATCTTGACCCAATGAATAAGGCATGCGTTACATAGACAGGGCGACTACCAATCAAATCAAGGAAAATAACGACAGTGTACTGCAGCTGTTGGAAGCGAGATGTAAAAGTAGATTCTATTACTCTCTTGTCATGGTTGATTGGTTGTGGCTTCTGAGGTAACGGGGTAGGTATATGATCTGACCTTTTGAGTTCCAATCTTGCTTCACCACAATGTCCTAGTGGTCCATGACAACTGAATCCTCAAACTGAGTATAAAACTCCATGTTGTCCACCTAACTGAGCTTCCGCAGCTCTCTCCCGAGTACACTCCTCCAGACCACTGAGTCGAAGTGGCACAATTAGAGAGACTAAGTCTCGTTGATTAATGTTGTCGGCTCATGTCTTCATCCTTTCAACTCTAAAATTGCTTCATCGATATCCGCTGGGACTGATCTTATGATTTGATCCCGGCAGATATAGCCAAAGAAGTTGTCTTCTCGACCCACTACCCTATCCAATCCACTGAAATCTTCTGGACGGGAAATTACAGTCGATAATGCTATGTTGCTTTAAGCTGTAGTCTTCGGAAGAGTGGTTTTCGAAAGCACAGGTTGACCTACCTATCTTGCTCAGTGCTCATTCTCCCACCACATTCAGCTAGCTTTTGGGAAGCTTCTATTACCACATGTAGATCTTGCCTATGCTCTTATACGAGAGCTGAATCCATTGATAATGACCTGCGCTGATTCCTAACAGTTGCCGTCCGCAACCCTACGGAGCTTTATTCGACTAAGCGTTTGGAAGGCTGAACGCTGGCGAATGCTCCAGCCCGTCCAGAAACACCGTGTACAGCAAAAGCCGTCCGAACCACTTGTTGGATAATTCTCTTGGATTACAGAATAATACCAACTGTAATCAAAAGTCAAGTCAAAGATGGACTCCAAGACTCAACACTCGCAATTCCACGGGGCGCGAACGCTTCGGCAAATGGGCCTCAATAGGAGAACCTGTACCCTCATCCTGCGGTCCTGGTACGCGTCTCCGACAGCTGGCGTCCCAGACGGTCTCCTGAGAGAGGTACTAATCTTCATCGCTCAGTTAAACGAGTACGAGGACGACATGCCCCCCCGTCCTGTTTTTGACGGCTCGACAGGTAAAAAGGGGCCCCCGCGATCTCAGTGGGATAGCATATTCGCTGAAGTCTTAACACTCAGGACCCGAGCCATCCTCCGAGAGATCGGCGTCTACGATGCGCCTGACTGGGTAGAAGCCAAGTATATCGTAGGCAGGATGCTCCGGAGAAACTGGGCCACTTTCACTGGGCTCAAGGACGCTGATGATCTGGAAATGACAATTCCGAGAGGCATTCTGTATCGCTGCATAAGATCTATATTTTTATGGCGGGAACGGACGTTGGCTGCCTACGAGAGAATTATCCAGAGCCTCCGTGCGAAGAAGAGAGATTTTGTACGTACGGAGGCAACTAAAAAGGATGGTTAGCACTATGTGCTATCGTGGACGTAACCGATGGAAAGCAGCCCCTGGTAGACTGTTTGCTTTCTTCTCCTTTCTTTTTCTTATTTTTCTTCTTATTTTTCTTCTTGTTCTTGTTCTTGTATTTGTTTTAGAACTATTTGCTTTTTTTGTCGACCGATGGATGGAATTGGGCTCTAGCAGGGAGCTCTAGGTACAATCAAATCGATGGCCACGATTTTGTACTGTCCAACTCCCTTGCAACTGTGCAATACTCCACGGTATCGTTGGCACAAAGAGTTTTCTCATTCGATTTTGATATAGTTTCTGCTAGTTATCGTAAGTATAGAATTATATTAAAACCAAACAGCACGCACTTGAAAGAGCGAACGAATAGTCAACATCATATTCTAGTAGTGAAAGTACTGCGAGTATAGACGTAGAATTACAGGTAACCTCCCGAAGCCTCAAGGCCGCAAGTGGCCCGCTACTTGCTCTCAATTCCTTATCGTTACTGATTCCACGTCATCTACTGAAATTCCTTGCTTTGAGTTCTGAAAACTAGGTACTTACTTCTAGAAACCCTAGGCATTGTGAAGGTCTATATACCCTTAGAACCCTAGCACCATAGCTTACGAGTCATAACCATTCATACCGCCAAGGTGCCCTTAAGTATAGCTACTACTAAGTACTGAGTACAACAATTCACCGAAGAAAAAGAAAACTTGATCGGTACCTATAGGTTATCTATAGGGGTAGCCCTTTCTATATGCTTATGTATGATAGCTACATATACCCGCTTTACAAAGCTCATTGCTACCTAGGTATGCGTCTGTCGAGATAGGTACCCGTTGGGACTCCACTTCCGTCGCCAACCTTCTGACTTCCAGTAGAAGGGTTGGGGTCTTTGACTTGAAAATGACCAGTTGACTTGAT